AGTTTCCAGCCAAGTCGAAGCAGAACGGCTAGCCGAGCGGGTCGAAGTCTCCAGAATGGTTTCAGTGACTCGAAAGCCTCGCCTGGATCACTGTGTGGGTGATTCCGATTTCCGGAGTCAAGTCGCTCACTCGGTCGGTCAGTCGGTCCGTGCGTCTGACGTCCTTCCTCGACTCCACGACGAGCGTGGGATGAGGAGGAGGAGGAGGAGGAGGAGCAGGAACGTGTTAGAGAAGCCCCGAAGCGAGCTCGTCAAAGGACGGTGTTGATACATAGTTACCATGTTCAGAAGGCTGCGTCACTAACCTTTACGCTCGCTGGAGACCGAGTTCAAGGCCGTTGCTGCTGCTGCCGTCGCCGCTACGTCCTCCTCTATGCAAGACTCCCAGTGCGGAGTTTCCCATGCAAGCCTTGTGAAGAAGGGCTTCGCTCGTCCAGCGTTCCCGCTCGCCACTCTACCGGCGAACCCTTCGTAATTCTCCGATTACAGAAAACTATTACGCCGCGACGCTTAGAATCGAGGCGCACTTTGATACCATGTTTCTCTTCGGCTTTTTCTCTGTGAAGAGTTTCCGGCGATTCGTGGCAGAGATAACGATCAGTAGCTTCCTTCGTCGTCGTTCGAATGCTTCTAAAACCACTGTTTGCCGACCTTGACGGATCGACACGCGACGTGGACTGACTGAGAGAAAATGAATCAAATTGAAACCTCTCAACTCGCTCGAACATCGGTTAACGCGATTCTAGGAGATCCGATCCATCCGAAGCACGTTCTCCGCTAGACAGCGACGGCAATCGCTCCGAGGGAGAATCCTTCACGGGGACTAATTTTTTCCCGATCGTCATCAACAGTCAGCCCATCAGAAAACGACGAATTTCGTCGATGCCGTGCTCGACCGTGAACGTCTTCCCGCAGGCGTTCGATGATGATTCGGAGCCCTCGGAGTAGATGAGAAGCGCAAAGACGCTGGATTCGATTTTCTGATCGAAAGAACGCCTCCTAGTTGCACTCTCAAAAGTATATTAATCATCTCCGCCCTTGTCAAAAATATCGTTTAGAGTCGCTCTGGTTTGCGGAGCAGCATGATTATCTCGCTTCTTAGACGCCGCCGCCGCCGCTGTCGTCGTCGGCGGTGTTGTGGTGGAGGCGGCGGCGGAGATGCCGTCGACGGCGCGGCGGTTCGCCACCGGTAGTTTCGAGCGAAAACAGCCACAGTGTTACCAAGAGATTGTTACTTTGTGTTGGCGTGACCTAACGTAACCGGTGGGCGAGCGGACGGGAGAATAGGCAGGTTATCGTCGTCGGCGGCGGCCGTGGCAGGCATCTCTCGATTCGAGGAGCTGTTTCGCGGACAGCCTGATTAGAACGTGGCCAGACTTCAACGCTGACGTTTCAGAAAGTCGCTTATCGTCTTGACATTCATGCGCACTCGAATAGATTCACTCATCAGGATTCATTATGCGAGAGCTATGAGCGCCGTTGCTTCCGAATTACCGTAAACCGTCGACCATGACGGATCCCCCAGTCGGCTGATGCTGACGCAAATAATGGCATAGTAAACGTTGTCGGTATCGACTATAATCACTCATTCGAAACGGCCGAGAAGCTTCATTCATTCAGAACCGTCGGCTTAGTAAGAGATAGCTCTCCATCGTCGTGAGCGGTGCGATTGGGTGCGGAGAGAGAGGTATCTGTGATCTTCGCTACGAGAGCTCCTATCGAAGTGTTTTCGACCCTACACGGCGCAGATGCGGGCCATTTTTGTGAAAACAAGACTCTTCCCGGTATTCCTCCAAGCAACATGCGTTCATCCCCTCGATCCTTGTCACTTATCATCATCACAGGAATGGGAACGTAGCCATTGATCGCCACCTGAAGATGATTCAGCGTTGTACGATGTACTCGATCTTGTCAGTCCATAAGGGTGTCTGTGTCCCTCCGAATCTCTGTCTACCTAAGGGTAAAGTTTTTGCATCGAGATACTTTGGGACGTCGTGATGAATCCGATCGCTGTTCGGATAGGGATAAGCTCTCGATTATGCTTCCCGGTCCCTTCTGGTGTGCTTGACGATATCGACCTCGGAAAGACATCGAGACGAAATTCAGCGAAAGCCATTGAAAATTGTTTTCGCGTGAGAAGCATTTTGCTCAAGGAAAAAGTCGAAAAACTCTCGGTCTCCCAGGGAAGCCACGGAATGGAGCGTTTCCACAATAATTATTGTCGAAGACGCTCGAGCCCATGCATCGTCTAACGCTTCGCAAACTTCCTGTCGAGAGCAAATTTACGAAATATGCGCGCATTATAGTGGGAAATTACAAACTATTGGAAACCGCAGCGTGTAGCCGAATTCAGGATTCCGAATACAGCAGAGAATCCAAATTTATGCGGTCTTCGTCCCCGTTTTCGTAGGAGGTTCTGCGGATTATACGTACAATATGCGAGCTCCCCGAATGGGGAGAATTAGCATCACGCTTAATTGTGGGGCGTGTTCGAAGCTAGAATTCCTTCAACAGAAGCTCCAAGCTGATGCCCACATTCCGAATTCCATTTAGAATCCAGAACGTCGGTCGAACTTTTTCTCGGCGGTAATTTCGATCACCGATACAAATAAGGGTGAATCACCCCAGATGTGCCGATTGAGATAGCAGAGCTCCCTCACAAGGCACATGACGCTCTCTCTGATCCTAGGCTCTTTGTTTCGGAAACTGTTGAAAGACGCGAACGACAGCTCGATAGAGAAGGCGATCGATCCGAGTACTTGACGCCAGCTGAGAAGCGACAGAATCACTTCGCGTCATCCGACGCAGGAGTCGCGTACCCAACAACAGGCTCGTCTTCCTTGCGTACCTCTAAGTGAATAATTCGGAAATCCATGATTTACGATGCGGTCCGCTGATTCGCCCGGAATTCCCTATTCAGGGCCGGGTGTCTCCTCGGCGCATCTCATGATGTCACAACTCTTTTTCGCGGTAATGAATTGTCTTGCCGAGCATTTGCTCAGGGCGCCCAGACAATATCGATGCTGGCGAGAAGATCTGCCGGCCAATACAGGAGGATCCCGGGCGAGCGAGAGCGAGGGAGTGACCTATGACCCTGTCGTAGCGGTGACACGTAGTCACAAACAGCGGAGCGTGATGCAAGCGTTCTCCGTAACGTTTGTTCCCTCGATCGGAATGATTGTTCTTCGCTGGGTCATTGGATTTATTCGGATCGCGTCCATCGAAGTCGATAAGCGTAGCCGCTCGCGGCTGGCATTCTCGAAGCCTCCCTTTATTGCATGGTCCTCGAAATTGCCGGCTACGTCAAGGACCCTCTCCGAACTGCGCAATACTTCCAGCCCGCTCCAACAGACGTGTCCCAGTCCATCACGAACGGCTTCGGCTAAGCGATTGATGTTCGAAAGGTCTTGTTTAGTCTGGACAACGTTTTAGCGAGTCGGGCTAGCTTCGCGAGCTCGCGTACATCGTACGGCCCGTATTTCGGGTCCGTACGGCGAAGGCTGACGCGATTGCGAAACTCCACGGATTCGAGGGGGCGAGGAACCCCCTCTGCTTTCGGAATTTGTCGGTAGGCTCTCGGTCGGGTCTCTCGAATAGGATAGCTTCAATATCTTTGGGTCACGGTTACTGCGTCGCGGCGTCCATTCGTTTCTTGTTTGCTGCCATCCATCCAACGTGGCTTTCTCTTTCGAGAGCGGCTGTTGTCATAAATTCTAGCTGATGCTGCTTCGTCTCTCGAGCCATAAGAAACGGAGGGGAAGGTCACTCTCCGCCGCCAGCGCCAGCTCTGGTTCGGATCCTGTCGTCGTCGTTGCTCGATGATATATCTCTCAGTCAAAGGCTTCGATATTTTAACTTCTGCTCTGATTGAGGAGAATGAGATATTTCGTCTGGCCTGGGACGGCCGTCATGGCGCAGACGAAAATGAGAGAGGTGGCATTGGATCAGAATAGATGGTCTCTATTTCGCCCCATTTCGAGGTATATCTTGGCTAGATATGGATTGTGACTATTCCCTCGACCGGCGGTAGAATATTCTTGTGGACGCGAAGTAATCTAAGCGGAATCGTAACGAGTATACTGTGCATCCCCGTGCTGTTTTGATAGCGGAACTTTGGACGGACATGCTTCGCTCCACAAAAGGCAAACGGAAATGGTATTTCTCCCCGCGCATGATTTCCGACATCAACGAATATTTTCGACGAACGAACTTGAGAGGACCAGCGCTCGAACTGCGCCGTCTAGGAGTCGTCCGTGAATGAAACGAGCCGACCGATTCTCTGAAAGCTGAGCTTCAGTTTTCCAGCGAGCCTCCACGAGATTTCAAAGACTACCCGACGACCCATATCCTCTCTCCCCGTCTGCATCGCGGAAACCGTAAAGTCTCTCGAGGCCTATTGAGGAGGGTCGTTCGACCGAAATTTTTGCCAACTAGCGAATTTCCTCGATGAATTGGCTCATCCTACGGCTTCTTCCGATTTTTATTTTGGAGTTCATGCTCGCAGCTTCATCGTGAAATGTCATGAAATTCGTCCCCGGGCTCTCGAGCGCACTCCCGGGACAGTGGCTCGTGAAACACGAAGTCACTCGGTTCCGATCTGTTCTGGCGGAACCCGACGAAGCTGCTCTATAGTCAACGTCTTCGACTACTCACTCTCAATCGTAGCTCGTCGGAAGGTTCCCTGGCACCAATCCGGGTGCGAGGGTCTTTGGTAGGAGTGCCCGACGAGAAGAGCTCAGTCTACCGAGCCTGGGCCAGAATCCAGATTCCACCTAGAACCCAATGCAGCCTTCTCCTACGTGTCAGAGACGAGCTCAATCTTGCTATACGTACCATTGGCTCACTCTCCCACTCTCTATCGTAATGAACCGGAGCGTTATCAGCACGAAGAGTCAGCAGGCTAGGATAATAGCCGAGGCGGCGACTCGCTCATCCTTAAATGCGAATTGAAATCCGTTTCGAGCAAATGCTGCGCGGCGGGGAAGGAACCGATGGACAGAATGAAGGCCATCGGTGACGTCACGAAATACGAGGGCAAGGAAGAGGCTGAGAGCAAGGTTTCTTCTCAACCGCTCCTAGCTGGAATTATTTGTTGTTTGGTTTCGAAGGCAGAGCGAGCAGTCATCGCGCTCTCTAAAAACCCTCACAGACGCCGAGTCAGCATCGCCCCAGCTTCGACGACAGCACGACAGGAGGGGCACATTTTCACGCATTCGGATCTGCTGTCCACAGGTCCGTCTGCCTCTGCTGCCGAAGGGTAGCGCAGCTGTGACGTCATCGGTCGAGCTCCGGAAATTTCTCGCCCAATCCATCGTATTTGTATCCATATATATTTTAATGATCAGAATACGGAGTCGTGTGACCTTGCGCCGGGAGAGCTTCTTTCGTCGTACTCTGTGGATGAATTTGGGGAATACGGGCGAAGTTCGCAACGCCGCCAACGTAGAGTGAAGAGTGTCTCCGGGCCAGTGACCTACATTAGCGGGCCGTCGTCTCTGATGGAATCCCATCGATGGAGGAGTGAGAATCACCCACAATTATGAGCCGCATATCCAGTATTCAGGCGGTAGACAGTCACAGAGCTCGCCGGTTGGCCACCCGGCCGGCTTCTTCTCACAGGTGGCGGCACTTCGCGGATCATGGCCACCTAGCTGTTGCAATGATAGCGATAGATTCCTTCGAATATTCCGAGAATGGGTGGAGCTCGCTTTGCGTGCGATTCCGTGTTTCGGATCCCGCAATGTCGGGTGTCGAGTGGCCGTTCCAGCGGCGGAGCGCGGTTAGCTGAAGACTGCTCTCAGAGTTTGAGCTACAGCAATCGAACATGCCGGAATTACCGTGTATAGAGACCGTGTAGGCAGTAGGCACACGGAGACCTAACGACGAGTATCGAGTCCTCGAGCTCATAGAGTTACAATCAGTCTTATCGTAGGTCTCATGAATCTTCGCGTGATGGTCGAGGTCCGCATCTGCTCGGCAGGGCAGCCTCGGAAACGAGAGATACTCGGCTGCCGACGGGTTGCAACGGACGGAATTCCTGACGTATTTGTTGCTCTACGATCTCTTTCGATACGGTATCCTCTTTCATAGCGAGCAAACCGGACTTACACCCTGAATTAATAGTTCTAGTGTAGACTGTGATTGATTGATTAAGTTCCGAGTCGCGGACAGTCAGCGTCGTTCAAAGGAGCTCGACGTGAAAGTGCAATACTCCTCTTGATTTGCGGCCTAGCTATTGGTCGAGGACGCGTTTCGCGAGGCATAGAATCGCTTTAGGCATAACTAGTTCTGACGGAGGCATTTCCTTTTCAGTTTGTTCCACCTTGCGTGCCAAGACTCAGTTGGATCGATTGGAACACCTGAGGAACTGCAGCGTCATCGAGGGGTCTCTGGCGCTAGCCGTGATGCAGTATCGCAACGAAAGCCGTCCTGACGATCCAGATGTTCTGAACATGTCTTTTCCCGAACTGCGTGAAATCACAGGCTTCCTACTCGTGTTCCGATCGCACTTCACGAACTTGACAAAGCTGTTCCCGAATTTGGCGGTCATTCGGGGCCTCGAACTCTTCGACCAATACGCGCTGATCATTTACGAGAATCCACTGATGACAACGGTAAGAAGCAAATAAGAAGCAGATCGTGGATTGTCGCTTCCATCTCTCACATGAATTGCCTTTGTCAACAGAAGGAAATTCCAGGACGAAGAGTTGTTGCTAACTGAGATTCATTCCCATAGCTTGGACTGTCCAATCTGACTACTATCCAACGCGGAGGGGTTCGCATAGAGAAAAATCAAAGGCTGTGCCACGTCCACAGCATCAAATGGGATAGGATAGTTCAGAGCCGCTCGAAAATCCTTTTGGAGCATAATCAGGATGAAACCCTCTGTCCTGGCTGTGACAAAAGCTGTCCCTTGGATCCTGTAGCGAATCGGCATCTCTGTTGGAGTTACAAGGACTGCCAGAAAAGTAAGCTATGCAATGCGGGATTCCTCATTCCTCACCGCAAGTGACAGTCAGCTGAACGTCGGTGGTCAAGGCTCATATTTCTCCCGATCTCACTACTCGTCTAGGGATCAATCTCTAACTTTCGCCCATTTCAGCTTGCGGATCGTTGCCTGCCAACAAGACCTGCATGAAGGACATGACTCCGTGCAGCAATCTGTGCATCGGGGGATGCTCGTCGCCCGACAGCTCTCATAGCTGCTACGTTTGCAGGGACTTCCTTTTCAAGAAAAACTGTGTGGATATATGTCCTCCGGATCACTATGTCGTGAGTTCCGCTAGCAATTACTCAACGCGGCGATGTGTCCGGATGAGGATAATCGCTCATATCGGGAAAATTCATTTTGTTCCACCGCTAAACGAATGATGAACTAACAAGGGTGCCTGAATTTTCTTCAGCTCAATGGCAGGAGGTGCGTTTCGAAAGAAGAGTGCAAAAATGCCAAAGCGACCGGGTCACGCCGGTACAAAGCTGTACCGGCTTCGTCGAACAGCTCGGTCAATTTGTGCATAGCGAATTGTCCGACCAATTTCATGGAAAGTCCCGACGATCCGACCTCATGCGTGAGATGCGAGCCCAGATGTCCGAAAACCTGCGAAATAGTGAGGTCGGTCGACTCGCTAACGGAGGCGAAGAAACTGATGGGCTGCACGATAATCAATGGGAGTCTAACGATCGAGATCAAAACTGGCGATAATGTCGCTGCTCTCTTGGAGAAATACCTGTCGAGCATCGAGGAAATCACCGGTTACCTCAATCTCGTCCGCACTCCGGCGGTTGTGTCCTTCAATTTCCTCAAGAATTTGAGAATCATCCACGGCCAAACTCTGCATCTCGAGAAATATTCGCTCGTCGTCCTCGACAACATGAACTTACAAGAGTTCTGGAACTGGGGCGAGAGAGAGGAACAGAAGATGTCGTTCACGATCAAGACCGGTATGCTCTACTTCTACCACAATGAGCGGCTCTGCTACCAGAAGATCGTGGAGTTGAAAAACAAGGCCGGGCTCGAGAATCTCACCCTGTACGATAATGACGTGAGTCGCGCAACCAACGGAGACCGTGTATCCTGCGACGTTTTCCCATTGACGTTGAGGGTTTTTGAAATTACGGCGGACGAAGCCACACTCGAATGGGATAAGCCCGAAGAGACGATGACTTTGTTGGACGACCATCGGTATCTCTGGGCGTATACGGTATTCTACATGGAAATGTGAGTTATCTCTATCGCATGAATTCGTTAACGACTCCACTGCTGTTTCCACTCGTCATATCAGTCCGAGTCATAATGTCCCGGTTTATCCGGAGACCGGTCATGGAATTCATGGAGTTTTTCCTAATGTCGGCCAAACTTTCAGGGAGGATGAAACAGCGAACGTCACGGAGTTTTACGGCCGTGACGCATGCGGCAACGATCCGTGGATCGCGAAAGACGCCCTGTTGTCTACGGAAGGCCACAGCGACAAGCACATGGTCTTCACGTTGAAAGACCTCCAGGCTTACAAGCGTTACGCGATCTACGTGAAGACGAACGTCATCACCAAATCGGAGAAGACGGCTAAATCTAACATAACCTATTTCAAAACGGCCATGGCTATGCCAAGCGCACCTCAGAATCTCAACCTTGAACCCACCGGGTCAGACTCATTCAAAGTTACTTGGGAGCCCCCGGCTCGTCCACGGGGGCTCGCAAACCTCTATCTCATCACGGGTGAAATTCAATTGGACTCCGCTCATTCGATGAGCGATGTGAACTACTGCTCCATGAGCGATACTCGTAAGTTCTCTCGACCCCATAGCGTTCGCAGATCATCTCCTGTCGACGATTCGAGGATCGGGATGTCCTGATGGCTGATAGCTCGAGATCCACTTGTGCTTCGCTCTGACTTTTGCGGTATTTTTTCAGCGAGCGAAGCCGTCACCGTGAAATTCCCAACCCAAGAATCACCGAAAAATACGACAATTGAAGCGAATATCGATTGTTCCAAATGTAAATGCGACGAGGGAGTCGCGGCCAAGAAGAAGTACACCAAAGAAAACTGGCACGACGCAATCGACTTCGAAGACCTTGTGCATGATCTGATTTTCCAGAAGAGAGACGCGAGCGCAGGATTGAATGAGTCGCGAACCATTTCGAAGCGGGATCTCGTTTCGGTTCTGAAGAACGACGAAAACGAACACGAGAACTTAATCGACAATGGAACCTCTGCTGCCACAAGCGGCAAGAGCAATCGCGACGGGAGCGAGAACGCGACAAAATTAGATTATGCCTCCAATAAGAGGGTGCAAGCTTGCCCCACCGACACTTCGGTCGAAGACGAACACCGTCGTGTTGTGAAGTTCTGCCGTTGGGCTACCGAGCCGCAGATTCCAATCAACCGACTTCGACACTTCAGTCAGTACATCGTTACGGTGAGTTGAGGCGCAATCGATCCCGAGATCTCCGAGAATCGCGAGCGCCGCCGAGCTGTCCCGAGTGCGAAGCTTCAGAGATTGCTTATCTGAATCGGGTCGAGAGATTCAGTGATTGACACCCTTCCTCTGCAGGTACGAGCTTGCCACCCGATATCGGGGGTCGCACACAACTACGCCGCGATCTGTGATAGACAGAATCGCCGGGAAGGTCCGAATGTCACTACAATGTGCTGCGGTCCAGCTAAAGTAGCTTTCAAGAGAACTTTGAAACTAGCCGAAGCAGACGACATAGATTTTAGAAGCGTGCAGATAGAAGACGAGGTCAACAACTCCACTGATGACTTCCATCAGAGCGGCATCTTCATCAGATGGAATCCGCCAACGTCTCCAAACGCATTCATCCAGAAATACGACATCGAATTCTACATGGAAAACAATGTGGTGAGCGAGTCCGGGGAGACTGAACGTTCCTTGATAATTTCAGCTTCAGACGGAGAAACAAAGAGAGAGAGAGAGAGAGACAGACCGACAGGCCCAATAGATTCCCATCGCGAATCCCGACTCACCTGGAGCGATGATTCTCAAGCGTTGTTTCAATGTTCGCAGAATTCCAAACACTCGAAATGCGTGGACCAGACCGTGTATAAGATACAACGAGGAAGCCCTGTTAAGGGTCTAGCTCCAGGCAATTACTCGTTCAGAGTTCGTGCGACAAGCGTTGGCGGGCCAGGAAACTGGACCCAGCCAAAAAGCTTCTTCGTCAAAGATAAGGGAGCAAAGTACATGTCACTTATCATTTCACTCATCGTCATCATGCTCCTGCTCGTCATATCAGCTGGCCTCGCTCTCTACTTCTACATCAAGAAGCGGTACGTTTGCTATCGCGAGTCGAGCCCGTCGTTCTGATCATGATTTCGGGGAATTTCTCTCCTCCTCTACCACGGAGTCCGGCTCGAAGTCTAACGTTCGTTTCTCTCTCTCCCCCAAAACAGAGTCAACCAGCCGGTCCCAGATAAGGTTCAGTACGCGTCCATCAACCCCGAGTACATGAGCCAAATCTACGAACAGGACGAATATGAAGTCCCAAGACACAAAGTCAAACTATTGCACGAATTGGGTCAGGGATCCTTCGGCATGGTTTGGCAGGGTATTGTGTTCGATCTCAAGGAGCCTTGCGATCCGAATGGGACCCACTGCGCAGTGAAGACAGTGAAAGAAGGAGCCAAGTTCCACGAGCGCCAAGAGTTTCTCAAAGAAGCCTCAACAATGAAGAGCTTCGACTCTTATCACGTAGTAAAACTCCTTGGAGTCGTTAGCAAGGATCAACCTCTGTATGTTATTATGGAACTGATGTCGAACGGAGACCTTAAACGATATCTCCGTTCTCACCGTCCCGACCAGGACGAACCACCAAAAGGAGATCCTCCTACTCTAGAACAGGTCCTTCAGATGGCCGCTGAAATCGCTGACGGAATGGCCTATTTAGGCTCATTAAAGTTCGTCCATCGAGACTTGGCGGCCCGAAACTGCATGGTAGCTGAAGATCTCACTGTGAAAATCGGAGATTTCGGTATGACCCGAGATATTTACGAAACAGATTACTATAAGAAGGGGGGCAAAGGCCTCCTACCAGTCCGTTGGATGAGTCCGGAGGCTCTCAAGGACGGCGTGTTCACAGTTCAGGGTGACGTGTGGAGCTACGGCGTCGTCCTTTGGGAGATTGTCACATTAGCAACGATGCCCTATCAAGGTTTATCGCACGAACAGGTTCTCAGATGGGTCATTTCTCGGCACATAATGGAACGTCCGGAAAACTGTCCGGATAAATTATTCGAAATCATGAAGCGCTGCTGGCACTACAACCCGAAACTTCGACCTAAATTCACTGATATCGTCGAAATGCTTCTAGTCGACACGCACGACCGTTTTCGTGAGCTCTCCTATTACTCGACGAAGGTGCGTTCGCTGGAACGAGATGAGGGCCCTGACGGGCGAGCCAGAGTTCCTTCGGTCGAATCGTTACCGTTACTTCCACGACCTTCGAGTCACATCGCCACAACAGGCTTACAGTCGTTAATAGAGAACCCACGAAACGCGGTTGACATGGGAGCTGCAGATTTAGACGAAGAGAGCAATCTTTACATTTCCGATGATGTGATCTCAGACGGTGAAGCTGAAGACAGCGGTCAAGACAATTGGGCCAATCCGAGCAGCCATCGGCGCAACCAGCCGGGCTCGTCGATGCCCAACCACAACAACAGTGATTACGGCAGTGGGAAAAGTCCACCCATACCGTTGTTGTTGGAGACAGGCGACGAGTTGAATCCTTCGCCCCTTGCTACCGCTTCGGAGAGCGACGCTGCTCAGCCATCCTCATCTCCTACTACGATCAGCTCGGCGCTTCCACAAGAATTGATAGCCGCTGGTCAAGCAGAAAAGCGGAACAAGGTTGCTTCGAACGGGACCATTCAACCCAACGGTCGAATGGTCTGTATACCGATCAACAACCGAACTACGGCGTTTTAGAGATTAGCCTGCGCACCAGGAGATAGCCAGTCTTTCGAGTGACACCTGAAAGTGAGATCACCATCGGAACGTGGACGTCTCGTGCTGTTTCTCCATTGATTGGATGTTGGTCGATCGATCGAACCGTGGAGGATTCGTTGAAGGCATCCGGAAATGCGGAGCTGTTTACGATATTTTTTCTTGTGTTCGTTTCTCAAGCGTGGGGAGCGATCAACGCCGATCAAACCAAGCAAGTGACAACAGCCGTGCCCCACGATGATACTGCCAGCAGTGCCTCATGTGATATTTTTTACATTTTTTTGTAAGGTAACTACTATGTAGAACGTCAGGTATGCAGTTGAAACACGAGAAGTGGAATCAATTTTTTTAACAATCATCATCTTCATAAAGAACAATGGAACGCAGTCCTCGACCCCAACTCATTATGGTCATACGCCTAACGGGATACAGGTTCCTTTGTGTTGTGATACTTCGGGGTTTTCTCTCGTCCCTGGATATCGTCAGTGTCGACGGATATCGGGGGACATTGCGCACGGAAGATCTTCAGGAATGGTCGGCTCGAAGGGGAGATAGTCCAAATTCGCTCGTTACGGAGCGGCTTTCCCGATGTTTTTTTCCTTCATTTCTCTCATCTACCTACCATGGAAATCAGAAATCTCTGAGCTGTGATCTTGGAAGCTGCAAATTGTCCTAAAAAGCTAAACACTGATTGTATATGACTCTGATTCTCTTCTCGGTCCTCCCGACCGAGCCGCGCATCAGATCCATGGCTGTGAGGTCTCGGGACGATATCGCTCTGAGAGACCCCGAAGATTGAGGAACTGCTTCCGACGACTCCTATTCGTATCTGCGAGTCTTGCGGAGTTTTTCGGTACCGCAATGAGCCCCCTAATGCGCGTCGTGACTTCCCTCACCCCCAATCGTGTATTCGGGATGTGTCGTTTTTCTTTGCCATTTGTTCCCCTGGTAGAAAAAAGAGGTCCCTTCCTTCATTTTCGCAATCGAACATCCAGGTGAAGAATCTCTAATGAGTCGCGCGGTCCTCGATTTGCGACACTTTTCGATTCAGATTCAGATTTCGATGGAAGAGCGATCTATTTCGATTGAGTTCCACATCTCACCGTCTAACATGAGGTAGATTTTGAGCCAAATTATCCTCCGACGAAATTGTCCCCATACACTTTTCATCGTGTAGGTGTCTCGATCCAGCTGTTGCGAACATTTAGCCAGATCAGCCTCCCTCTCGATTACGCCTCCTCACAGAATTACGCGTGATGCATTCGAATTATCGCACGTCGATGGGGGCGAGGAGCGACGGCCCATCGGTGATTTCGGCGCTCCTCCTTCCGAGTTTTCTGAACTAGGAAAAAGTTTGAGCTGAACTTCTGCCAAAATCTAGCCATCCACAATTGCTGAATTCTGTGATGCCCGATCGAGGAGGTCCGAACCAGCGCAAGCACAGATGGGAATTAGAGCGGGAAAACCAGGTGGTATATTAAGAAAAATGATTCGGGTGCATTAGCACCGGCTCAGATAAACATGATTGATGATTGCTAGAGTTTTGTTTTGCCGCAACCTACTTCTACGAAGTGAAGGGCTTCTCTCGTGCTACTTCTCAACTTAGACTAGCTCTGTACATACGGACATGATTCCAAGCAAAGAAAAAGCTACGCAGTAGGACACGGATGAATATTAGCGGAAGCTTTTCCCAGTGAGAAAGCGTTGCTTAAATCTCGAGATCTGATCTGAGACCAAGTTCAGCTGTTTCTGAAACACGCGTGGAAACGCATGCATGAAATAAGATGTAGATAGCTGTACAAAATCGATGTACATTCGAACTTCCGAACGAAAAACAACAGAGAGACGAATCAATAAATTATATTTATTTGTGTAAAAATAACATCGTGCTGTTCCTTTATTACTCTGGAAGAGTCATACATATGTATCAACCGTCGCCCGACACCAAACATCCTCCACCGTCGTCCTTGCCGACGAGCTCCTGTGCTCTAACGTTAATTCAGACTCACGGAATCCCCGTCAGTAATGATGATATTCCATAATATTTGAGTCCTAGTCAGGCTGGTGAGATATGGAGGTGCCTCGCTGTATTCTGAGATTGCTCCTGCCATGACACCACGGGGGTCAGAAGTCAAATCCCTCCACTCGAAGCAAGATTGTATCTGATATTCAACTCCCTTCTGCTGATCAACTCGACGGGAGTATTTAGACTGCTGAAGATGCCTTAGCTCGCATTACAAACTGAGAGGGTGGAACGCACGGTCGACGGTAGCATACATGCGATAATTCCGCTCCAAGTATTCATCCCGCTACACGAGTCCACTCATTGTCCGTCAGCCGGAGGGCAGAGTATAGTATAGTTTTGAAATTCTTCTTCCGGGGCCAATCAGAAGGATGCAAAACCGGCGAGCCAGACTCCTCGACTTTCAAGAATTAGACCTCTATACATCAAACTCAGTACCGCGCAGCCTACGTCAGTCGCTGCGACTCGGCACGTGAGCGGGCTGAGATCTGAAAGTTCGCGCCGGCAACTTCGCTCCCGAGATGGATATCCGAACCAAACCGTGACCGCGTGGAGGCTCTTCTCCACATTACGAACATGGCGAGTCCCAGCGAGCTTCATGGGTGAGACTTCTTGTCAGATACCATCGGTACTTGTCGAGGTAGCCCTTTGTTCCAGCGAGGAGCTCCCATGACCCCACAAAGGGGGCGGAGCCTACTGCTTCAAGCAGAAGTAGTTGCGCTAGTGACTGAGAGGTTGGCGTGAGTCACGGGTGTCTCGGTGCTTGAGTACTGTTGGACAAACACCTTTCGATGGCTCTTCGCGGATTTGACCAGCGACAGAGTCTGCAAACTTAGGGGATCCGCTTGAGCGTTAGTCGTAGATTCATTGAAAACAGACGGCCACCACCAGATCCCATTCGTGTGCGAATCGAACCATCGTTTCTGAGCGTGTATGCATCGATAGTTCGAGAACCCTGAAAGAGCAATGATTTCAATCTCGCCTCCATAAATAAAGTATTCTAAGGAGTTTACCCCTCCCCCATCCAGTGCAACTCAGGTTCGAGAAGAATACTGACGATATGAGCTCAGTGGTCAAGCTCGGGCTTGACATGCACCTCGGAAACGATTCGGACTCCGGGCGAACCCAGCGGTCTTGAAATTCCCCAGAGTCCCGCATAGAAAAAACCTCTCGTTTACCATAGGTCCAATATTTGAAGGATTTTCCTTTCTCATAGCCAAAAAGGTCAAAGCCTCTCATCTTACAAATGCCGTATCGGCGGGACTGGAAAGTGATCCGATGGAATGGTTCGACTCATTCTATTCTAGACTCAACGGTGTGGACGGAACCGGAATGGGAGTTACAAAAAAACGTCCAGAGGAATTCTCACTGACCACTCGGAAGGCAGCACTCGGTCTCGATCGGTCGACTTTTCATCCCGCAAGCTGTTGGACAAGTTCCAGGCACTGGTGAGAAATAGTAGTAACCCTCGCAGCAGAACATAGGGCAATACTCAGGACCTTGGGAGTCATTAGGCCGTTAGTACGAAATTCTATCATAGATTCCGACCACTGGTATATGTTATCGCTGATTTTGACGCGAGCTTACAGATGCAAACTTCGCCGAAGGGAAACTGTTGGACGCCACGGATGCATCTCCTCGGGCAGAAGTTCTCCCGTTGACCGAGCGCAAGGCAGACAGCACTCATGAAAATCTGCGAATTCCGATTAATGTCATCTTGAGAATCACAGGAAATCGTGTTCTCTCGCACAGATTCGATATCACTTTTCAACTCTCGTCACACTCACGCACAAAAACTGAGGTCCAGCGTACATCGCGTTCGGTGTTTCGCTTCTAGTAGGGAAGAGCTTCCGCATTGAGGGTTTTTATGTTCACTTGTGATTCACGCTCCTCGTCGACTCGCACCTTCGCCCAACCTGTGAAGTGTTGGGGCCTACCAGAAGTGACATGTGGGCGTCTGTCAGCGGTGTTGACGAAGACACAATGCCACGAGCGGTTGAGATGAAGATTTTCAGCCGACCTTGATACATCGAGGGACCTTACTATTCCAGGTACCGAAACAATGACTCACTCGCTCAAGAGTCTTTGAGCCGCGTGCTCAGTTCCTATGAAACCGATCGGACCACCGAATCGATCTCGCATGGCTGTGAGCGCGAGATGCGTGGTTCCGAGCGAAAGGTCAACGATTCGACGGGGATCGACGAGACTGGCTAATGACATCCCTCCGCACTGGACCTCGATTCTGCCAAAGTCACTCAGTCTCTAGTTTATGTACATATGTAGCTCATGACTAATGATTTCTAATCATTTCGCTGAGACTTCGCAGAGCTCCCTGTCTCAACCAACCTCCGGCCCTAATGTGTCCTAATCCAGCGACAAAAAATAAATTGTATCCATCAACCTCCGGCATGCTCCTCTCGGGCTATTCGGATTCGATTCTTATATCTAGGCCAACGGCTGGAGCTCCAGGCTGCGAAGGCTTGCCGATGTCGATCGGTTTGAGTGGATCCTATCTCAGAGAAAACGAATGACGAAAGTATTCCGCGCTAGTTCTGTGCGCGTAGACTTCCCCGTCCCCGGTTCACCCCGCCTACTGAAAACATTTGTCGGTGCAAGCCTCGCACATTCATATCCGCTCTGCCACCGCTGGAGAATCGATGTCCCGCGCCGATTCTCCGGGATGTCCGATTGTAGTCTGGACCCGGACTCGTCCTGAGACTAGAGTCTGCAATCAGGGATCGAGACCCCGTCGTCGACTTTTAAGCCTCCGTTTCGGGCGAAGAATCGCGGAAACAGTCGTCACCGGTCTCTTTAGAACACAAATTCCAGAAAAGCTCGACTCCTTTCCCGACGGAGAATTCCAAATCGTGATTCCCATAAGAATTGGCCAAGACAAAGGAGTTCGGTATCTGGATCTGTCGGATGACCGCCCGTATGTCTCCATCAGGTTTTGGATGGACTCTCGCTGTGATCCCAGGAGGAGAGCGAAGATGTCCCGAGCTATTGTTTCCGTCTGCAGTCTGAAATAAAAGAAGCTTTGAGCTGCCGAAGTTATCGTTGCCAGTCTCTTCGTAGGTCCCTCGAAGAATCAAGTCGACAAATTCGAATTCAATAACTTCGATACAAGAGCCAATCAAGAGCTCGCCCTCATGAGACTGGCATTGCACTTCTGAACAGTGAAAACTCGATACTCAGAAAAACTCATCGAGGCCGTATGAGGCAGAGAAAGGCTTGAGCGAGAGTCAACCAATGATTTCCAAGCATATCCATAAACAGTACTGATCCATCCCTAAATTTATGGCGGCCGTGAGGTCCGACGAATTCTTCATTTCTTTGCACGGGCTGTCGGAGAGGAGCACTCTATCAGGGGCTTGCATTGCTCCGCAAGGTTTCGGTCCGCTTATGATGAGTCCAGCACTTGTAGTAGCGGTCGTTACGACCAGGCGCTTCCATCCGACGCGAGGTCGGACTGATTTCCGGGATGCTATTGTTTCTTGGCTTCGATAATTCGCCACTGACTTCAAACTCCGATCCGGATCTCCTCTGCTTCGGTTCTTACATAAGTTTCACTTGACTACAGCTCTGGTATAACGAGCTGTCGAGGACTCTTCGGGATCATGATCGCAGTCATTTTTGAGCTCGAGATTGTCGGGCCAACACTCGGAGAGAATCCCTTTGGACTCTAAGACTCCGAGTTCTTCCTCCTATATCCCAATCTTGCGAATCGTGACTAGACAAAGCGCGAACCCCAAAGAATACGCCCGCTGAGTGAACTCGACAGTATCACTGAAAGCACCCGAACTAATGAGGGACAACAATCTTTATGAGCTTTTCTTGTTCAGAGGTGTCTCTCACGATAGCTATATTTTGTCAACACGCTGAATTCCTGCAAGCGAGATGCTTCCGGAATCGAGAATAGCCAACGGTCGTCGCTGAGCCCGAAGATGCTCCCTCCGCCCACTTTCCATGAATGCTCAGTCCGACAAAATACAAGGAATGGAGGAGAATCTGAAGGCTATAAGTGGCCTGCAGGCACACGGTGGAACAGATAGGTCGATAGAGTCGCGCCTTGAGCAGGCCATCGCGCCGAGCCTAAGCGGCAAGCCTTTTATAGTATTGTAGTGCCTGGCTTCCGGTCGAAATTCACTTTAAAATCGTACTCTGAACTCTCGGGAATATCTGATGATATTCTTCCTCCAATGAGAAAATTTTTCTTTGTGATATCCTGTCAACCGGAGAAATGAAGGAGTTCCGAATGAAGTGGATAAATTTCCACCTCGCAGCGATGTAATTCGTTGCTCGTACTCGTGATCGATCGCGCTCGAACAGTACTCAGAGGCAGGGTCATTTGTTTGTACTGCCCGTAATCTTTATGGGTAGCCGGTCCAGAATCCTCTCCGGATAAAGATTTTTATCCGCGCTTGGGCGACGGATTACTACCTGGCCTAGCCCGAAGCAGCGACTACCGACGCCGCCCGCCTTACACTAGCCGACTGAGGATCCTCACTGACGTCCAGCTCCAGGCATCACACCTTCACTCCAAGCACGGAAATCGACCACTGGAACCGTAAATGAATCTAGACCCCGACCAGAGTTCGAGCGAGATCCATTCAGACGATTCTCTGCGGTGAGTTTACTTGGAATGCGTAATTCTCTCACAAGACTCCTCTCACCTGGAGCTGTCGTCCCGTGATTCTAAACTGTGTCAGCGATGACATCGAACGCTATATCATTCAAAAGACAATCCAGAGCGGTGAAATCTGCATCGAACGTATGTAGTGGTAGTTGACTCTGCTCGGACATGCGCTTCTACAGATCCGACAGCTCGACCGAATCGAACCCGAAATCCAGCGTGAGGTTCCCGGCCCACCTAGAGCCGCAGCAGAGTTTTTGCAAATACGGAATCGATCAGCCTCTTCAGGATGAAGTTCCTGAATGCACTCGAAAAGGACTCAGTGAGTAGAAAAGATTCGATTCCCGAGCTCCCGGGCTGCGAGTTCCGGAAAAGTGGAACTTATGCGAGCATGCTGACACCATGGTTTCTGCTGCTATTTCAGACCACAGCTGTTCCTGTCCTGGCAACATGGACAAGAGCTGCTCGTTCCAGTCGAGCCCGCCATCGCAGAGCGGGTCGAGAAAGGCGTCGCTGATCTCCGAAGAAGACGTCATTAAGCAGCGCTTAATTCAGAAGCAGTTACGCAGTTTCTTCCAGCCGGCGAAGACCCGGAGAGCTTCCCTCAAAGCGCATCAGATACTCGATTTGCTCGAATGGCAGAAGCGGAGACCTCACAAATGGATAATCCACCCCCGAAGCCGACTGAGGTATGTCTCGAAACTCGAACTCGGAACATATCACGTCTAAACGTCTTTTCGATGGTATTCCTGTGACAGTATGATAATTTCATGATTTGCTCGTGCTGCAGGAAATACTGGGAGTTGATTATTGTCGTCGTTTCCATAGTGAACCTCATCGTTATCCCGATAAGCGTCGCTTACCTCCGTGGTTTCGAGCCCCCCCACGTAATCGTATTCAACCTGATCTCGGATTTCATTTTCGTAGTCGACATCAGTCTCAACTTCGTCACCGGTGAGCTTGAATCCCCGACAAAGAGGGAAAAAACTCGTTTCTTGAGAAACAAATACCCTCTCGTATTACGGACGGGTACGCGACTCCAGGCGCTCTGAAAGGATCGACTCTCTAGGGGGACGAGTCCCATGCAGAGCATTTTCTCGATTTTACCACTCGTGCTCCGCGTTCAAGATTGGAAAATCTCCGCAGGCTTCGTCGATAAGGACAACCCTCAGACCTTGGTCACTATGGACCCTATTCTCGTCCGCAATCATTACATGAAGACTTGGTTTGCTGTGGATTTCATCAGCACGTTTCCGGCGGACGATTTTATATTACTCATTCTGAAACCTTCGAATGGTAGGTCGGACATCGAGGGCCTGCGCGATGGTTGCAGCAAAAACCTCACCTTCGAGGGATTCATCGAGTGAGACACTTCACGCGCTCTTCAGTTTAGGAATCTCTCCCTTCTCTGATTCCTTACAGTGACGGACTACGTCTCGATGTCCCAAGTGGTCCACATCACCAAGTTCCTGGCTTTGCTCAGACTTCTCCGGATCTTCCGACTCGTGCGCTATCTTTCGAGATGTCAGGAGTCGTTCTACACTTCTTCGACATGGATATACATTCGAATACTCAATTTGAGCCTCTTTATGGCATTGGTCGCTCACTGGAACGGCTGCCTCCAGTTTCTCGTCAACTCGTGCTTAGGTTTCCCACCGAAATGCTGGATTTCGATCACCGGTGTGCGGGTGAGTGTCTCATCTTATTTCGGATGCTCTCGAGCTAGATTACTCTGTGCCATCCTTTGGAACTATAGAAATATTCTAACATGTCGAACGTCCTCAAACCTCGAGCATCGCGCGGAGTGATGCATAAAATTTAGGAGATGCATGATTGCATTATTCATCCAAAATTTCGGCGGGGCGATTGCATCCGGTCGTCCCGAGTATATGTTACTACTACAAGACGTTTTACAACGGAACTCCTTCGTATGTCGTAACCACGCGATGGAACATGTGATTTATCGCAATCTGATCATTCTAATCGCAACCAACAATTCACACGCCCCTGGCTACTCGGTATTCGTGCTTCATCCGAAAATCATGCATACAGTGTACTCGATTATGTAGACTATAGAAGGTGCAGTCGACCGCTCGTGCGACGAAGCAACCACGACCGAATGCTCAGTCACCCTGACACGATGTTCACCCTTCCAGCATGCCCCGTGGTTCGAACAGTGGCAATGGTCGCTTTTCAACGCATTTTCGCAAATGTTCAGCATCTCGTACGGGACGTACACTCCTCAAACACTGGTCGATATGTGGTTCACTATGGTAGGCATGCTCACCGGGGCGTCATGCTACGCACTCATTCTTGCAAATATAGCCACGATGTGGCAACACGCGGACGTTTCAAGGAAGCTCCATAGACAGAAGGTTAGCGTAGTCATTTCTGGAGAAGGCGTTATTACCTAATAATGTCTGTCGACGCCATGACTAACACGAAGTGAAATCGGCTATTACAATAACGGCGTGGCCGGTATTCAACCAGCTATAGTATATTGAAATGAGGCCGACGCAAAAATCCACAAGAGCTCTAATAATAAGCTCCGTGAAGTAATTGGATTTTCGGATCACAGATGCGTGAAGTCGAAGACTACATGTCGTTCCGACGATTTCCGCGCGATCTCCGTCTCCGAGTTCGGGACTATTTCGAACGACGTTACCGAGGACACGTGTTCAACGAGGACGACATCCTTGAGTCGATGTCCGAACCATTGAGAGAAGTACGCTATGAGGAGAAATTCCTCGCTCGCCCGGGAGTTTACCGGCGCGGCAGCTGTGTACTCAGACAGATTCGAATAGGGCGGCGGACATCGCTCGCGCGATATTTCAAAGCTCGAATAACCGACTTCAGATGGTGATGCTGCACAACTGTCAAGCGACGATCCGGATGGTGCCGTTCTTCGCCAATACAGAGCCAGCTTTCATTAATGAGCTCGTAACAAGACTTAGATTTGATTTCTATCAACCGGATGACGTAATCGTCAGCGAGGGAACGATCGGTCAGTTTCCACATCAGCTCATGGACTTGTTTTCCGCTCGACTCCCGTCTTCAATTTGATTTCACCCTACCCACCCCCTGAACTCGCTCCGTTTCCCCTAGTCGATTCCTCGTAGTCTTCCCGGGACTGGGAATGTGCGGAGGTATCCGGGAAAATGACGGAGTGCAGGAGCTTTTCTGGACGTGAGACTCGCAACGATTTCTCGTCGCAGGCACGAAAATGTTCTTCCTCCAGTCGGGCAAAGTGACCGTAGAAAATCAGAACGGTGACTTGATCGCGACCCTCGGGGATGGTTCCTACTTTGGCGAGCTCGCCCTGCTGATGACGTGTAAACGGAACGCAACAGTTCGCGCGAAAGTTCACTGCAGTGTGTTCACGCTTGGTTTCGAAGACTTCCACGAAGTAAGTGTTCTTTATTGAATTCCGTTTTTCGTCGGACCGGCGCATCGGCGACTCGCCTTATTCACAATCTGACAGCTCCGAATTCAGCGACAGCTCCAATCGATATGCTCGACAATGTGGCTCGATTCCGTCTCCCATTCAGAGCTCAACAGCATTGCCGATTCCCTCCAATTATCACAGTATTCCGTGCAGATGGCATTCCGAAGAGAAATAATAAGCGGTACGAGAAAACTCGCCGATCATCGAGCGGGCTAATATGTCCCGGCCTTCGATTTCAGGTACTCAGCCGCTTCCCATTAATGCGACTGGCGATCGGTTCCCTCACGAATGACATTCTTGAAACTCGTGATCGCGCCATGTCAGCTATTCAGGACGAGGAAACCGTCGTGTCTCTAGAGGATTTCATGGCCCGAATCAACACACGTACCGATCTAGCGAGAGACGACCTTCAGAGAGTTTATGTAGAAAGATGTTGAGCTTTTCGTCAAAGGCCCCGAAAATACCGCGGTTAACAATCGCTTGCATCGAGAAGACGTCTTGACACATGACGGCGTCTCGAGAACTCTTCATGCTCGAACAGACTGCGCTCCGACTCCAACGTGGGGATCGGGACAGTCGTGCGCTCAGGAACTGTTAGTCACTCAAGAACCGCGAAGAACGGATCCACACAGAGATCTGCCAATAAGCATCCAATACCTATGAGTCTTCGGAATCCAGCAAATGTTTATACAATGAATGTAGATATATTCATTTGTACATACAATGTCCGCGGCTGTGTCTTCCATTAATTCGAGGTGACTAAACGACTTCCAGTCTTTCGGCGACCTCCATCCCCATCCACAGCAGACGGGAATGCGAGAGATCTCAATGGAGCAGCCTAGGACAACGGAATCCTGTTTCCACTAGGATCAGCGACATGACTGGAGGTTTTTTTCTCACATCAAATGAAGTTCAAATTTTGTCTCCAACGCCAACGACTCTTTCTCTGGAGGCAGTTCTCCGGATTTTTTTTCTGAGGAGCTGGAAGTCTATAAATACCATCCCCATAAATACCATTATTCAGTCCCGTTCCCTAGTCGGACAGGGGCTCCAATCAACGAATTGTCCCGAAACCCTCCCATGAGGAGCCTCCCGATGTTTTCTCTTTGTCTAGTTTCCCTTAATGTCTCACGTTGGGGGCTCTGTCACCGTTTAGAAAAATTTGCTGGAGGTCTGCTTTGACACATTTGACACTGTTGCTTCACCAGAACGCGACTTCCCTCCGGAGCAGCATGGGTCGCCGATTCTCGCCGAACGGAATAAGATCGTGTTGCATTTTTGTTGGACGTGTCGAAAAACTCACTCAGTTCGATAGATCCAAGGGAACAAGCCGATTCTGGCTCGCCAAGGAAATCACTGCGCGGCCGACAGCTTATCCAGACTGTTGATTGTGTTGTCTTGAACCGAATAGATTATGTAATAAAATTCGTTTGCAATTATCTCCGTCGTCGACATCGCCAATCATCATCAGTCAGAAGCTCTCAAGCGGGACTTTTTCGTCGCTTCGATGGCGTCGTCAGAAGTCTGAGTTCGGCCCGGTGTCTAGTCGAATGGGGAGCGAACGGATGATGGAAACTTTATGAACGGAGCCTCATCCCATCAGCGCCCGTCCGCGGCTCGGCAGTCGGATTCTCAGCCGGCGGCGTCTGATAAACCCGATTCCATTGTGGAAATGGCCTCCGGAAAATAATGCATAGAAATCCCTCATCGGGTTGTTTCTGACAACTTCAAGGCTGACCAACTTGTTGATGATGATAGTTCCTTCGGGATGAACGTGATAAGCTTATTCAGCTTCCATTCGCCCGCCACAGGATGCGTCAGAGAATAGCTCACAAAAAAGCGCTTAGAATTGACTCACTCATGTCGATACCGCGTTCTCAAACAATGGTTGAGCTTCCGCCGTGTCTGTGGAAGTTATTTCTCTTAGATTCCGCCGATGCTCCGAAGGACGGGAATCGGATGGACGTTGTTTCGTCCGATGGACTTGTTGTGGAAAAGTCAGTCATGTGTTCGGTGTTTGCAATGACGAGAATGACGCCGCGCAACTTGACCACACGGACTCCTCTCCAAGGCGTGACTCCTTTGTAAGGGCTCGAAGAAGCTCGAGCGATGGCATCCAGGCTGTCACGGCTACTTCACGGAACGAAACCCCCAAGATGTAAGGGTGTGAACTATGAATTGGAAGTGTGTGTCCGGGATCCATTCCAAGTCTGCACGGATGCCGCGAACCTTTCCGGTTAAGGTCAACGTGGTTCTCACGCTTGGCGAATTCGAACGGAAAGGAAGCGAGTTCGGTCCTTTCAAAAATAATTTTATTTCTAGTTATAAATTAATTTCATTCCCCTTCATCGATGATGAGTTGTTTAGATGCGTTTGAAATATTCACTGAGTGGCCCGTCCGCACCTATGATGAGCGTATCATCGCTCCTGCACAGAATAATTATTCGTCGCGCTCCTTCTCACATCTGGTATTTCCTCAGTATTCATCATAGTTGGCTAACGAGACTGGAACCCCGACAGGTATCAAGGCCCCTGATACGGATATCGGGAGGGATTTCAGCGGTTGTGGGGATGTGGATCTAGGCACAGGGGCGACTCGATCGTGCAAGCTTTTCTCGTAGGCGAGTTCTGGCATGTAATACTTCCCTGTCAACGTTTGTGCGCGTTCGAACGGCTTATTCATAGCGGGAGCGAATAGCCCCGGTTCTGAATCGTAATCATCGAACGAATGCCTGCCGTATCCTCCCATCGCGGGATAGTGCTCGAATGAAGTGTCGTGCATTGGACTCATAACCCCGAATCCCGACGACACGATGACGGAGGCAGTTTGGAGCAACTCGTCCGGGAAGTACACTTTTCCGGCGTGAGCGAGACCGGCGAAAGTCCCCATTAACTGCAATGTCAAGACGGCATCCTGAATTAGAAAAGGTTGCTCTAAGAGACGCGGGCAGAGAGCTCTCTGTAAATGTGGGACTCGTATCAGGTTCTGTCTCGGCTGCTAAGTAGCGAGAGAATATCGAACGCATGTTAATCCAAAGCTCCCCGAAGCACGCGTATTCGATCGATTGCACCGAAAGGGGTGCAATCCAAAGTGAAAACTCATCCACGGCGACTATATCGCTTGTTGGGCCGCGCCCACTCCGGACGCCGAGACATGGTATATTTCTCGGCGTTTCCCGAAGTATTGTCCCATGGGGCGTGATTAGCCAGTCCGCGCGCAGCCACCGCATTTTCTCACAACACAGGGGGCAAGTGATGCACCATTTTGATGGCGCAAGATTGAACACTATCAGAACAAATCCTCCCGAACTCTAGCACTGTGTTACTCCTGAATGTTTTTTTTTTCCCGCCGTGTAGGCAGAGCACCGCATGGGGAATCTCACCGTTGAGAACAGCGGTAGCAACATGACCGTCAAGCCTCAAGCGCTCACTGACTGTTGTGGGTAGGAAGCTCCTGAAGCGCGCACTGTTTTGACCGGAGCTCGATTGGTGAGAAGGTGAGGGTAACCCGCGCGGCTGATCTTTGTGAAGTACCTTTATTGTTTATCGCCGTTGCATGAAGGAGAGAAAATAAAGTGAGTCAAATATATCATGTTCTAATAATTATTATGGTGGACACAGCGTAACCAGATAGGCGCGCCGACACGGCCTGGCGCAATCTACGATCCGTATATTTTCGCTCTGCTGCCGATAGACAAGCTTATGTATCTGAGCTGCATACTATGCACTCATACATAATGTGTGTTTGCTTATGAGATTTTTTGAACGTATGAGTGTTTATGGAGTCGGTTGAGGGATCATAGTTCTCACCGGAGGTTCAGTGACGCATATCGCGAGGATTCTGCCCAGAAATCCCCAACCGAGTCGTTCGAGGCTTCCTCTGACTGACGATGAGGCGTAGAGGCACATTCCTTTCCGTCCCTCGAACTCGTATTGCGTGTGTCTCTGGAAAAAACTCTCCTCATTCTCATGAATTCTTTTCGGTAAGGGTCCATCTCCTTGGAGCGCGATGACGACAACCCTGGAACTCTGCCTGAATTTCCGAGAAATCTTCAAAAAAATAAGCCGAGCAGTAGATCCTCGCAGTCGAGTGAGCGTGTCTGTCGAGGATCTTCAGAGACTGCGAACAGTGTTCGCAAATAACGGTAATGATAGTCATAGTATTTCTGGGTTGCCGACAGTAGCCTCTATGGGCAGTCCCCCGGAGCGTCAATGATTGGAAAAGACGGACTTTGGAACATCTTCGTCAAGCCGATGGAGAGGTTTGGCGTCAGATTTTCGCATTTCTCCGTAACGCTCACGTAATTATCAACAGCGCAGCGGCTGCCGCCACCCACGGTCTAGGGTTCGTTGTCTTCGGTTCTATTTTGTCGGCATCGAGAAGATGTCACGATACACCATTCGATCGCCCACAGCTTCCGTTATGCTGAACACGCCTGTATACGAGAAAATGAAGCGGAAATATAACATTCTAAAGGTTAGCGAGTTTAGATAGCCTGTTCTGAAAGTGAATGCGCGAAGCCTTCGGCTCTGTAGTCTATTCGATGCTAGCAGTCTGATAAGCCTAGCGTCGAAGCATGGCATCGCTCGGACCGCTTCCTAATGGAGCCATTGGATCATGATGGCCAACCAAGAGATTTATTGCTGCCGAATACTGCCTGAATGGGACAAACTGCGGGCGACATTTTTGCGAAGCGATACAAACAAGTTTGTGTCAACTAGGGGTCACGCTCCACTGATCTTGGCTAGTCTTGGGGCGGAATCCAAGTTTTTCTCGATGTTTCTCTCGCGCAATCGCCCTGAGAAATGGGATTACAATGCTTGCCAGCTGCAGCCGCAGATTCAATTCCAACCGTCATAACGGAGCCGTCCAGTGCTTCAGAGACCTCAATCGACCCCCGCGGGATAATCTATGGCTTGCCCAGCGATCTCTGTTGTGATACGATGATACTTCACGTCCCTCGAGAGGGCAGTGGAAGGACTCTTCACGATTTTGGCATGCATGCCGGCTCTATCTGAAAGTGGGTGAGCCATGACGGTGAGGGACGCGTGGCGACCTCCTGGATGAAGGAATGGCAGTGAAAAATTCCGGATACTCTTGTCCGTGCACATCTGGGCGCCCCCTCAGATCAATCGTCATCCTGATGCCTGGGAAGCGCCTCACGACCCCGGGACAGTTTTGTATTTCTTTTGGCGAATCGGACTCTGTTGTCAGGCTTCCCTCCTTCGGCGCGGATCGGAAGAACGAGACTTGATCTCTCTCGTAGTCTCATACGCCTCGAGGGAGCCTCCCGAGCACAGAGACGCGTCACGAGCGAGCCGCTGCTCCTCCATATTCCGGCTTGCTCACATTGCGATTGATCCTTAGTGAGTGACTTGAGGGGATCTCGGAAGTACTGAACGCCATCTTTATTAAATACAACAAGCATAGTTTGAGTATGTACACCTTAATCTTCTCAGGGGCAGGAGAGCGCCAATACATTTCCGAGCTCCAGTTCGTCAAAAAACTCGATTTCACCATCCTCTGGCTAGAGATACCGGAACACCAGCTTTCACGATCCCGTGAACAACTGGAGTACCGAAACGATGTCCTACGAATCTGCCTTGCACTAAAAAAAAATCAGACGTCAGCCATTGCCATGCATCATTAATACTTTGAGGTAATCCGTTCCGAATCCCTCAGGTAGTAATCCAGGGGATAGCTACGAGAGGACATTATCCTAGGTAAATGAACGAGAATATTTTTTTACCTAGCGCTAGGGGCACTCTTTGGTACTCGTAGCCGCCGCTGAAGCGACCGATAGGCGTGAGGAAAGGTTCTGATATCCCGTGAGCACCGAATCCCTCATTCCCGAAACCGTGAGTGAAGCCCTGATCAGTGAAATGTCCGAGAGCTTCCTTAGGATAGTACGGTCCATTGAAAGCACCGTGGCCCGGGTATCCAATGTCCTGGTTGATCTGACTCGGATAAGCACCGAAGCCAGAGCTGTGCAGCGTATCCTTGGTCAGGGTCCCCGCGGCTGGATTGGGAAGTGCGATGTTCTTGTTCGCGAGAGCGTTTGGCACAGAAGCGGTGCTGATGTCGATATCCTTCACTTGCGGTGGTAGCGGCCGCGCGAGACCATCGAAAGCGCCGTGGGCCCCCACATCCTTGAGGGGTACCCCACCGAGGGCACCGTGGGGTGCGACATTCCTGATCGGTTCCTGATGCCCTCCAGGGTACGCGCCGTGAGGACCCAGGCTTCTGATTGGATCGTGCAGGCCGTTGAAAGCACCTTGGGGTACGAAGCCACGTGCGGCATCGTGTATTCCGATTAAGCCTCCGCTCAATGGGTGCACCCGACCTGCTGCTGGGTTCAGATGACCTGGGTAGGCACCGGTGAGGCCGGTTTCCTTGACCGGGAACTGCTGAGGGACCCCGAGAGTTTTCTGTACTGGAGTGTGGAAGTCGTGCAGAAGTGGCTGGAAATGCTTCGAGTAGGGTGGCTCTCTCACTGGAAGGGGTCCTAACGGAGAGGCTCCCCGCGTTGGGATGTAGGCACTTCTCGATGGATAAGGGTGATAGGACATTCCTCCGAGACCGGGTCCATAGTACTCTTGGCCTCCGCCATGGACGAGTGTTGTCGGCACAGCCACGAGAAGGAACGAACAGCTCAGAAAGAACATCGTGAATGAGACTTCACTGAATGGTTCCCCCTAAAAAGCTTCTACTCAACAATCAGAGGAAAGTGACTCTTGCCAAGGTCTTCTCGGACATGTCTTCACCGAGCCGAACGATAGCGTTCGTTAAATACGGGGACACCCACGAGGGGCGAACACGCGTGCGGCTCCCCCTGGGACTCCCAATACGATCCAGTCGACGGGGAGTCGGCCCGTCGGATCGACAATCAGCCACCCAATAGGCCCGGTATCCAGTCAGTGGAGCGGCGGTTGAAAGTTTTCGGAAGTGACGCCGATGGTAATTCCTCGAGAGGGTGGCTGGCGGGATGACGTGTTCTGTGAATTTGCTGGGACAGTCCACGCACTTCCACGTAACTGGGCACGAACGCTTGCGTAACAGCGAGTCTAGCCATGATCAAATAGCTGCTGAATGAAAGCTGACAACGGAACTCGATTTGACTCGGCAGAAAACTCCCAGAGGAAGAAGAAGAATTCGCCAGCATGCGTTGAAGGTCTCGCACGCGAGCACTGGGTCGTTTCTGCGTGACTGATGATTTTGCCGCTAATGAATTTCATCATATATACCGGAGCGTGGACCACCTGAAATGAATTCTTACCGAGACGGAATTGCATTCTGGGCATCTTTGCGCTCGTGGAAAACAGCTTCTGTCGTATCATGCCGCTTCTGCGATCTGCATGGGCGAATATTCAAGGAACAAGGTGTTGCGGAATTCTTCGCGTCATAGCGATGCTTGTCCGTCTTGTGATTGTCAGCTTCTTTGTCACAGCTTCGATGCTGTTTTTTCCTCAGATGACTGAGTCAGCCTAGCGGGGTCTCTTGACCGACCCTTCCCCGTTCGCTCACGGCTTTCGGATACTGGAATACTGAGGAGCAGCTACTGTCGATTGGGCTGGGCTCAGACATTGTCGAACACGGACGAACGCCGCCGTTTCAATCACCGAGGAAGAGCTCCGAAAATCTTCACCGGAGGGACCGTATGAGATCACCCAGACTCTTAACCTAGGTATGAGCACGGAGGGACTCGTGATTCGTCATTGGAAGACGACCTTTCCCAATGATCAATAATTCGTCCATAATTCATCAATTAGTCGATAAAAACGAATCCCTTGATCTCGGTGATGCTTCCGCCGGAGAGTGATGGGAATCCCGGCCTCCCTAATCCCGAATACCCGGAAGATGCGACCTTCGCGTCGGAAAAAAACTTCAATCATCGGAAACTCGAATTCAAGCGAGCGCAAGACCCTCATTGCGATCTACTGGATATCCGGGAGTGTCGGAGATGCCCTCACGAATTTGTGACACGGTAGCGCGGAAAGCGATCCTCCCAGACCTTACAGTCGGAGCGACGAAAGTAGACCTTGAAGCGACGGGAGCGACGTTCCTGAGCGCGCGGAGATCGCGGCGTTGGGACGCTCCCTCGGAGAACTCGGGAAGCGAATTCAGTTCTCTGGGCAAAGACGGAGTGCCGGTGAAGAGTGTCCTAGTAACGAGCAAGCTTCTTGTACCCAGTAAATTGACCAGAAGACAGCTTCGGAGAATCGTCCCATCCGTCGACAGTGTGTGCCATCTGGTGGCAGACTGGAAAATCAAGAGGAGAACAGAAGAAGACATTTTTTCTCCATTGATCCGGGAGGAATTCATCACCGAGCAAATCATCAATGAGTATTGCCTGGCTACTGACGATGCCGTGCCGGCGGTGCAATCGACGGGGAAAATTTCGTGAGTTTGTCCCATTCGATACTGGCCGATCGCTAGTTCATCAATTCAGAGTGTCCGGTCCACAAATCTTTTCTCGACACCACATTGCTCGAATCTGCAGATCTCATGCGTATTTGGCGTTGGCGTTCCGTTGTGGAATCCAGGCCGCAAATGACGTAAGGAACCTCCGGCAGATCCAGACGGCATGTCGAGACATTGACAAAATATTCCCTCGACTTCTACGATCTACGGAGGTTGTACTGGATTGCGTCCTCGCCCAAGTCCCGGAGTTTTCCGAGGATCGATTTCCGCTTTTCCAATTCGCGTGCTCACAGCTGAGAATGTGGATCAAAACCATACGCCGGGGACTATCGAACCGGAAGCTTACATGCGTCGTCGTGGAAGAGTGCGCCTCTTGTCTCTATGAAATCGAAGTCTTCATCTGGAATCAAGACCGTTACATCGCTCAGCAGTTCGGTCATCTGGTGAGGAACGTCATCGTCGGAATTTCTAATTTCGCCAGTAACCTGAATGCGTGCAGTAATTACGCTGCTATAGACTACATCTCGATCGCGGACGCGATTCTGGTCTTGGCGCTACCCAATGTCAATGTAAGCAAAGAAGTCGATATCATGACGTTGCCAAAATTAGAAGATCTCAACGTGAAGCACCTCATCGGCGCGGGAGGCTTCGGCGCGGTATACAAAGCGTTTTACTCACCTATTTTCAAAAGAGACGCTCCACCTGTGCCGTGTACGGTGAAACTCGTAGCGTCGTCGACTTTCAGTCGCATCGAACACGCTGTGGTCACGCGAGTGGTGTCTTCAGTTTTGTGTCATCCGTGCATTGTCCAGTACTGGTGTGTTTATTCTCTGGATACAGCGACCGTCGAGATAATGGAATACATCAAAGGCTTGGATCTACAAAAAGGTTCCGGGAAGATACTATCTCTGCCCTTCGACGCTTATTGCTAATCACTTGAGCTCGGGAGTTCAGACACTGAAAAGTGCCGAAAATGGCAGGCAAAAAGGCACTGGAATACTTGAGAATAGGCACCAAAACTAGGCAAAACGGCACTGGAATACCTGAGAATAGGCACCAAAAGTAGGCAAAACAGGCGTGATAGGCAGCGGAGACGCTGCATTGAACCGTTCGTGCCGTTTGATGAGAAATTCACGTGATCTTCTGAAGTCCCATCGGTCAGTAATCGAGGCCGGTCTGATAGGTAGCATTTCACATCATCGGGGAAAAATTGACATCTAGGCGGATCATCGGATTCTATCGGGAGCGAAATTTGTTCGTGGAGAATGGCTCGCCGACCCTATTGATCGCCGAATCCGTTGGTAGACCCCAAATTTCCTAGAAGTTCCCATAATTCAGCGACTCGGTGGCTCAAAAAGGCACTTTAGGCGCGGAAAAGCTAAATAGGTTTCTACGAGGGGAAAGCGTCGGAAAAGGCGACCATAAGCATTTATGGCGAATTGCCTGAACTTCCGAGCTCTACTAATCACTATTTCCGAGGAACTCGAGTTGCCGGCTCTGTCTTCTGCCGCAGGACTGAAATAGTTCTATCTTCGCTTGTGCGTTCCTGATCTGTAATAGTGGGGGTTTCAGTCGTCGATTCTACACGTGGCCTCGGGCTGCAGGAAACGGTTGCGATATCGGCCCAACTCATCGCTGCAATCACGCACCTCCATCTCCAAGGTGTCATCCATCGAGATATCAAAGCCAGTAATGCGCTGGTCACTCGGAGCGGACGTTTGAAGCTCATAGATTTTGACACGAGCAAACTTTGTCTCGCACACTTCCCGAACCGCGTGGTGACGTAAGTCCCCTCATCCTTTGCATCTGCAAGCTCCAGTTGATTTGGAATGAGCTGCTCTTTCCCTCCGCTACGATGGAGGCTCGAGTTGAAGGATCATCACAGAAGTGATCTGCCCAGGTTCTCCTTGCAGAGAGTTCTTCAAACGAACGACGGACGAATTCAAAGACGGCGAGAAAGCTGGCACGCTTTCCTACATGCCACCCGAGGTTTTCTGTGGACTATCCTATGGCCGTCTCGTCGATCTCTGGGCTTTCGGGATAACCCTGCATAAACTCGTTGTCGGGCAAACACCATTCCGATCTGCTGATGACGACAAGCTGAAGGTGTGTCTTGCACTTTCCTGAAAATTCCCAATCCTTATCGAGGTTGAGTTTTTTGGACGAATGGCTGATTATTCGCAAGGGACTTTCCAGAGAGAAGTATGCGCAGCCAAACTCAATCTCTCGAAGAAGAGAATCTACGATAAAACGGAAGCGAACGAAGGATTGAGACACTATGTCGTGAACCTTCTCCAGAGACTTCTCGAGAAAGACCGACGGAACCGGTTGGGTTCCCTGAGTTACAGTGAGGTTCTCGCCCATCCCTTCTATGCCAACGTCAAGTGGGAGGATCTCTGTAGGAACTACAGTTTGGTCCCGCTCGACAAGTACTTCGATGTTTATTCGAGAACGAAGCGAATTCATCGCAGAGCTAGTGCTTCAGATCCGCTGCCAGCCGATCTGAACGGCCTGTCTCCGATGGCTTCTAGTGAAAGTCGTCAGAGAGAAGATCTCCTGAGAGTCGAATCATTGCATGGCATGTGACTTTTCCGTCGGAACTTGCTTTCGCGAGGATAGACGCCTCGAAGTTGAGAATTCCTCTCGTGTTTCACTCCTCCGTCCATGATCAATGCTAACACCCTGTTCTCCACCGTCGCAGGGAAAGCAGTGTGTGATTCTCGGATACTGATTCACACGTCCACGCTGTTCAGACGCGTTGCAGCTGGAGCGCAAGGCGACATCACCGACGGAATGCCCTCTCTACGCCGAGTCGGTTTCAGATTCCCTAGCATCACCGAAATGTCACCAACAAGATCACTCCACACGCAAGATATTCTAATCGGAAACTCAGGACCCCCGATTTTGGGCTTCGAGTCGATTGGTCTGACATGCAAAGAGGTCACCAGCGAGACGGGTCGTAAATATTGTCTAATCATCGAAATCGAAGTCGGTTCCCTGGCAGAGGTTGGTATCATGCGCTTGAGATGACGTATTGTACACCCAGTCGGGAGCAACCGGGAACTCTGGGAGTTTCGCTCCAGATTTCATGGTCTTTCGCGGGAAGCGGGATAATGTTAAGACTCTGCAGTCGATTCCGCTCGAGTGTTTTCAAGGGAAACTTTCCCCTCCAGGTGACGTCGTCCCTCATCGTGGGGGATCTAATCTCCCACCTCAACGGGGAGGAGGTCGAAAACGTGACGAAATCGACCTGGAACCGCTACGCAATGCTGTCGGTCACGGTGCTCTCCTCGTCCACTTTCAGAATCCTCGCGTCCTGCGCGGACATTAGGAAATTCTTCACTATCCCACCCCTGACGTGCAGAATCAGTGGCAGACGACAAAATTGGTTCCAGAAACAGAGAGAGATCATAGTGCGACAGTCGAGATTTTTCCTTCAAAGTACACGGTGTTGGATGAAAATCTTTGTCTTGTGGAGCGCTCCTGATTCGATACAGCTTTTCCATGGTGACATTTTGCTCGAGGTCAACAACAATTCATTGAAAGGACTCACAGAGCAGCAGGTCAACATGTAGGTGGACTCATGCTCCGGTCTGATATCTCGACAATAGGGGTTACCTCATGATCCTTCCGAGCGTTCCCCGGTAGAGAGGAAGGCGTTTCCGGTCATGCGGATGGTTCCTGCAGAGTCCGGTTATCTAACGTAGGATATTTACAGCTTGCTTTCCTCGAAGTCAGACTTCACGATCAAGTATATCCCCACGTCGTGTTTACGTGATTCGCACAGCTATTTCGATAGATTTTTGCAATTTCAACGGTCGTCAAAATTCGAGTATGGGGAAACGAATCCTCGTCAAGTACCAGAGATGCTGTCCTTCATAATGCCCTTGGAGACAGCCCCGGAAACGCGTAAGCACGGCAGGAAGTGAATTGATGTTCATTAGGTAGGCCTATTTTCGATTGGTTTTCTCATCATAGTTGTAAGTGGAATAAATAAATAAATATCTGTCATTTCGCGGCTGAGAGCCTCCCTCCTGAGAATCTCCGCGGGTGCACTGGCCGCCTTCGAGCTGCGTGATGACGCTAAGCATGTAAGTCCAGATGTTCGGACTCGAACTGCCCGAGGAAATCGAATTGGGTCTCCCAAACTCAACCTCTTCGTCACGATATCAAGCGGCGGACAGAGGATTCGGATTGAATATCGTGGAAACCGAAGGCCGCAGAGGGGTTTCAGCAGCGAGAGCACTGAAACAATTCACTGCCGGTTCACGTCGGACCCTTGGCAGCTGGAGGTAGGGTTCCGAGCACACGGACGTCTATTTCCAGCTGAAATCTAGCTGAGGATGGGGCTCACAAAAACAAACTGCTACCTTGATTCCGAGGACTGGCGTCTCATTCACCCCGAAAGCATTCCGCTGCAAAAGAACGGATTCGATTGCGGCGTCGCAGGATTGGCGGTCGTGGGCGATTGCACCGGACCTCCGATCCGGAGGTCACCAGGTCGGGGGCTCAAAAATACGCCGCGCGAGGAGCAGAGAGGAATCTCACGTAAGAACACAAGCCGTGCTTTCGGTAAAGAATGATGTACGAGATCGTTCAGGCCGCGATCATGCCGTCCACTGCAGACACCGAATCCCACAGATGATTGAGCTGTTCAAATCTGCCTGAAACGCCTTGTCGTGAACCGAGAATCTCCGAGCGACTGCCATTCCGCGTAATACTCGGTAGGGCCACTCACCGAGGAATTAAAATGCTAGATAACAACGAAAGGAGCCAAGTGTCCCTCAAAAAGACCCGAGTGTATAGGCGTCCTAGTCGCGAGGGATGGCAACCTTTCAAGAGCTAGATGAACTCGGATGCAATTTTTGAGTTCGATCTCTGATGTTGCTGATCCGCCCACCAGGACATGTCACGAGAAAACCATTCAATTTTGCGTTCTTTCGACGTGAAATGCCAGCGGAAAACAGTGCTTCGCAAACATATAGATCGAATTGTGATTGCTTCCCTGAAATTTCCAGAGAAGAGCCGATCTGGACCTCACCCGGTGATGTCGCCGGATCCTCCCACTTCAGGAGCGATTTGTGTTTCGCGCCATGGGGACGTGGATGACTTGATATCTCAGATCAGCTGTTACTTGCCGCTCGCAGATGCTGCACAGTATAACGTGTCCGTCGCGACGCGAACATGTCGGTCGAGAGATTTCCTACGCGGTATCCCGACTTACTCCAATTGACATAGATCATAGATGAATCATAGATGCGCCGAGATTTTGTCAAGGAGGAAGCCGCGATTCCGTCCTCTGGGAGGCGGCAGGCGGGAGTCTCGAGGCGAAAAGAGAATCCGGGGCCAGATGACACTAGAGGGAGCTTCCGACAAAGACTCTTGACCACTCTCGCTTTCGATGTTTTCATGAGGTTCCGTATGATCCCCTCAGAATCGTCTCCGTCGAACACCGATATTCCCGTGGGTGATGGAACAGGTATTCTTCTCGAAACCCGACACTCCAGGAATTGAAGGTGTGTCCTCCGCGAAACGATCGTCTCGATGTTCATTGTCCTGCCGGAACGTTTTCGCGTTCGCGGTGACTGAAGCCGATGACCGGGGAGCTATTCTCAAGTCTGTGATCAATGTGCTTGATCTCAATGTGCCGTCGCTACACCATAAGGTGGCGGATCACGACAGGCCGATTAAGTGCGTCGAATGGGACCGGAAAGGAACCCGATTGCTGATTTGTGACGAAGCAGGTTTAATTCTGATCTTCCGCATGCGAGACCACTTCCTCGATCGTTGGAATCTGATCCTGAGATGCGACAACCCTGGAGAGCGATTTCTGACTGTGGCTTGGTTCCACAATGGGGGGACAATTTCGATCCACGCCGACGAGGACGACGACTGCGTCGCAAGTCCCCACTATGAGCTCAAATACGCGAGCGAGAAGTTCTCCCCGTCTGTACCGTGTGAAGATCATCGCAATTGTCTCGAAGGTTGTGTACTCGTCAGTGCCACGGGCGTCGTTTCTGTGATTATCCTAATCAAAGGAGGCTACAATCTGATGAAGGAAAGATTATCTCTCTCCCTGTGCACCATCCGTCAAATTGATATCTGTCATGGATCGTCCGGAACCTTATTGACGGCAAGCAGCGATGGCCTGCCCTCTTCTGCAGTGAATATCACGCGACTGTCCTTGGAATTGCGAGGGAGTAGATTCAGATTACTCCGCTATCCTTTCAAAAGCTTCTATCCCGTTTTTCCGGCGGATCAAAGAACGCGGGCACGCGTGACTCATTTACGCTTCCTGACCAAAGAAGTTCTCCGTGCGGATTTCGTCGGTGTCGCGCTCATGGTCTGCGTGTCCGACAACGAATGCAGCTTCGTGGAATTATGGGAGTACAAACAAGGAGCAACCCACGTTCACAGCGTGCTTGGGGATGCGGAGCCTAGGCTCATTCCGAAATGGCGCGTACACGCTACGACCTCCTGCGATTCCCTTATCACGGCTGTGGCGACCTATAGGCGAAGTCTTTTCAGAATGGCACCCTATCCTTGTCCCATAGTCGTGGCTTCTGAAGATCAAACACTACGATGCTTTTCGCGGGTAGGACTCACTGCCATCAGCAATTGTTCTATTCTACCGGCCCCGCCAGCAGACAGCATTTCCAAGTATGCTGAGATGGAAATGTGTCTCAGCAATACTGGAAGTATTTTAATGATCGTGAATGCGTACTCGAGACAGATTTCCATGTTCAGAATGGGGCTCCTGCCAGATTTACCCACTCGTTTTTCCAACAGAGTCTGGTACTCGACTACGCTGCTTGAGTACTGTTTAGTGTCTGGCGACGATTGCTTAGACGTTTTATTGAACACACCTCCAGATTTCATCAGAGAGGTGATCGAGAAACTCGATACCGACTTCGAAATTCAGCCAGATAGGAGCCGCCTCCTCCCTTCCTACCAGGCTTTGAAAGGCCACGTGTTCCGTACTTTCGACTTGAGGCTAGAGGCGAGTTGTTTCGTGAAAATGAGGCTGTACCTGATAAGCGAGCACATCAGAGATCTGTTGAAGGCGACCAGGAAAGCCGTGATGCCGGAATTGGAAAAAATCAAAAACATGGTCAAGAATTATCAATACAGACTCGATGTGTGTGCCGATCAGTTGAGCTCGCAGGATTTCTGCTTGAATGAGGCTATTCTCGTGTCCTGTCAATACCATATTCAGTGGGTAAATGATCTCGCACTGAACTTCGCCATCTCGACGCCGGACCATGAACATCCAGGGAAGACCGTAGCCCCTTTCGACTTCGTCTTGGACGTCGAGAGCATTCAAGAAATCCGAGAGCTCTTGGTGATTTTCGAAACCTGTAAACGGCAAAACCCCGCCTGCCAGCCCCGCTACATGAGGTTGCCTGCTGATAAAGATATCATGGGATGGACATTTCGAAAAATGAGTTTGGCTCTCCTGCTGCATCAATTACAATGGAGACTGGAAGTCATCCGAGACTCTGCTGTACTCGTAGGGGAGCATTCTGAGCACTTGGATGTGCCAATGTATGATTCGATGATGACCTTCTCGAAAATATCTTGCGAAGGCTTCTGCAGGCCGGAGTTGTTCTCGCGAAACTCACCAGTCGAAGTCAGATACGGTGCCCCTGCAGATTACGTGGCGGGTTCGTGTATCTCATTACGGAGTATCGATGGTTATTTGCCGGTTCTACCGCCGTCGATGCCCACAGGAATTGTGTTTGTGGGGAGAATTGGCGTTTACGTACGGCGGTGTACCCGCTGTTTCAGGATAGGATTGATAAGGAGAGAACGTTGCGGCAAGACTGTTCTCGGGAAAGAGTCTCTTTGGACTGAGAACTGTCCTTGTGGGGGTCAGTGGACCCGCTTCCCCACAAATCTGTTACGTGATCTCAATTGGGACGGCATCTTGCAATAAGAAATAAATAACTCCAATAATCTTAAGATCTTAAATCGCAACGCTGGCTCTTTTATTCGTATCCAACCTGTCCAGCTTCCGTTTGCTAAATCCCGGGACGATAGAAAACGAACTCCATTATTGGATTTAGATGCAACGTGCCGGCGAGCATTCTCGAGCCCCCGATCTAGGTGATTCGCCGATTCCGACCGTCACAGGCTACTCCGTACCTCATTATCCGCTACGTCAGCTATGCGAGAGCGATATGAGAATCAATTTAGGGCAGGTATCAATAGACCATGATTCGGTTAATTCTGCGGAGTGAAGTGCCTCATTTATTCGAATGATGAAGACAAGACGGTTCATATATTGTGCTTCGAAAATCATCGAGTCCCAGACGCAGATCACACTCAAAGAGTGGGCGCAACTAATAATTACTCCTCGTATCCACGTCAGGACACGAATCTTAGATTCGGAGATCATGACGGCATCTTGATGAAAGCGGTAATACCGCCGTCGATAGCATGCGTGCCCCCGTGGATCATCGCTCCCGCGTCGGAGGCCAGGAACGAGATCAGCTCAGCGACCTCTCGCGCCAATGCGAACCTTCCCAAAGGAGTTGGAGGCGTAGTATCGGAGCTGCTCAACTGAATGAGAAAAACTGTATCATTAGGAATATCGATCCCGGCAGAAATCTCTCACGGAGTATCGAATCCCCTCGAAACGCGGATATGACGAAAAGCCGAATATATCGGAAGGCCGAATCGCAAACACGATTCATCTCCATCCTAAGCTCGAGATCTCTTTCTCAGTCCCGGAGCGAATTGAATGCGAACAATCGGCCGCTGGAGAGGGAATGTTTTCCTCCGTGACTACCGGCGGTGTTAAACGAAACTGTACTCAAGACAGAGAGAGAGAATGGGGTAGAAGTCGTCCGATTGATGCCACAAAAATAGACCAACGATTCATAGTTATACGGACACTGGAGGAGCTCGTTGGAGCAGAGGAGAAATCATACAACTGGATCTCTACTCACAGCCGTGAGGAACTCGTCCTCGTTCCGCAGCAGATCCGTTGCGACAGGACCCGGGCTGAAACGATGGGGACCATTTAGTCGTCGGTGGCGTATCGATCGTCGGGCCGACCCGGCGAATGACGAGCAGGAAGGATTCAAGAGTCGATCGCCACACACGACCAGTTTCGCAAAAATCGTACGGCAGTTCTCAACATTTACTGGTCTAGTCATTTACTTGACGCAGTTCAAGCGAACTCCTTGCGCAGCAAACTCTCCAGCGAGACTCCTCATCAGATTGTCGCAGCCAGCTTTGGCGGCCGAATAGGCTACGAGCGACGGAAAACCGATCAGGGAACAAATAGACGAAGTCATGATGATGTTGCCCTTGTTTTTGATGAGTTCCGACATAGCTAACTTGCAGAGCTCGAACGGTGCCACGATGTGAACCTGCTCGAAGATGGATTCTGCCTATAACATCCCCTCCGCGGACTGGTATTTTCCGAAGAATATCGGTCCGAATCAGGGCAGAATTTCTTCTTCGAGTTCGGAACTGATCGCGGACAGTCTGGGTAACACAAAGATCCTCACCTCAAGCATTGTACGGAGATCGTCCACCTCCGTTTGATCCATTCCTCCGATCTTCATCCAACCGGCGTTGTTGCAAAGAACATCGAGCCTTCCGAAATGGTTGATCGTCCCGTTGATCAAGTCCGCTCTGACATCAGAGTCCTCGATATCTCCGACCACGACGTAGGGCTATTCGCATGATCCCGTATTCCGGATTGATAGATGATTAGATTCGGAAGGGTTTGGCTTCTAGATGCCTGGGAGGTCCCGAAAGAGCCTCAGGGAGCCCAAAACGAGCGAGATGTCACTCACCCTGTTACCAGAAGCTTCCTCGAGCTGATTCGCGATCTCTTCTAATTTATCCGTTCGTCTCCCGTGGATGGTGACGTTCGCTCCCCGCTGAGCCATAAGAAGAGCAGTAGCGGCTCCAATGCCGGAGCTCGATCCTGGAGACACGATTCAGGGAGTTTCGCCACGACATGAATTAATGAGCAAATCATCCCTTAGCGAAAGAATTACGCACCGGTAACGACGGCAACTTTTCCCGTCAAGCTATATCCTTCAAAAGAAGTCATTTCAACTGGCTGCGGTCGAGCTTCCGATTGAATTTGTACGCCTGCAATACAGATGCTGTTCAACGTCGAATGGTCAGAGCTCGTCGAGGCTTTAACCTCGGGCAACTCCGACCCCGAGCTAAGATCTAAGCTTCCTCGTGCGCAGATGGGTCACCTGGCTCTTGTTCGAGAAGCAGCTCGAGATAGAACTGCGACTTTTGTCCAATCTGGAATTCAATGCATGCTGATCAAAAACCATACCCTCACTTGAATCGACCCCTGTTCACGGAACGTCGGATTCGCTCTAATTGAATTTATGGATTTTGAGCGAAGCCAGAGACACGTGACACCGTAATGAATATCCCTGTGATCGATCGCACACAGTGGATCATCGAATGAACTACATCAGAGCTATTCCTCATGCAGAACCGCGGATTCTCGACGGTTCACCGGAGACATTCTTCCGATGTCGTATTCGGCCAGAAATTCCGAGAGATCTATGTCGGTCCTGAAGCATATCGGGCCGAGAGCATGCATTCGTAAACATCTCGATCCGAGTAGGTGAATTAGAAGTATGTGATCGGTAATTCCACGTAGCTTCTGGGCCCAGTTTTCCTGGTTAGGTCCCAGTAAGCCGAAACCTTCACGCCGAAACCCAGAAAGCCGAAACCCATCACGCCGAAAGTCAAGAAAGCCGAAACCCAGTACGCCGAAAATCAAAAGAGCCGAAACCCAGTACGCCGAAACCCAGTACGCCGAAAATTAAAAGCGTCGATATCCAGGACACCGGAAGTCGTCGATCGAATCGACCCTGATTCCGCTGAGTGTTCTTCCTCTTCGAAAGAATCGGCAAACCCAGCTCGAAGATTTCAAACTCTATTTCATAAACACGTGGATGGAAAATGAGACCGTCTTCCGGCGCCGAATGTGGAACCACTACCACAATTCTGGAGCGCGCACAACAAACCATCTCGAAGGATGGCATCAAGCTCTAAATAGAATAATCAAGAAGAGCCATGTCAATCTTTATGAGATGATCAAACATCTCCAAGGACAGGAGGAGAAGTTCAGGCTGGACATGATGCGATTACGAATGGGACAACGCCCCCCTCCACTCACCAAGCAATATCGAGTGCTGAACGATAGGCTTATAAGACTGACGGCGGAATTCGAGTCGGAAGAGATATCTCTTATCGACTACATACATGAAGTTGCACAGAGCTTCCCGCAATTGTAGGGAGACCTTTTCGAGGAGGAGTTTTGAGGAGGTAATTGTACGAGGAAGGTTTTTCATTTGTCGGAACCTCCCGCAGTTGTGAAGATAAGATTAAAGGAATGCCTAGTCGAAGAGGACATTGTGAAAAGAAGGTAGTCGTATCCTTCGGAACCTCTCGCGATCACGGAGATGAGTTTGGAGAGAGAACTGAATCTCGAAGAAAAAGCTTTTTGTATTCCTTCGGAACGTGTGATCGGTATTTCCGCCAGAAGGAATTTTCGGCGTACTGGGTTTCGGCTACCTCAACTTTCGGCGTACTGGGTTTCGGGTGGACGAATTTCGGCGCTCTGGGTTTCTGCGTTCCAGGTTTCGGCTTTCTGGGTTTCGGCGTGAAGGTTTCGGCTTACTGGGTCTATACCGTTTTCCTCGGGAGTATGCATGCAAAATTGGAATCATGATCATCCCGATTTCGCCGCTCTGAACCATCGGTGGGCTTCTCGGATGATTGATATAGCTCGGCGAGACTGATCCGCTGGCTTCACCCATATGTAATGATCGGAAGTTCGGCAAACAAGCGACAATAAGTTGCTCGGGTCTTGGAGCACCAGACGGAGAGTTCCCGAGCTCCGTAGACTTAGCAGCTTCTGCCACAGATTATGCTCCAGTGCCAGTGCAAACGGAGATCCAATCTCTTCACGCGGATGCTATGGAGGATACCCTCGAGCCTGGCTCGTCATTAGCTAGATGCCTCAAGGATGAGCTAGATAGCAGCGCCAGTATCTCGTATCCAAGTTGGTGCGTCTAGGGCACTGGTTCCCGAAGCGGATCCCAAAGAACCCCGGGGTCCCATCGACGATTTCTCGGGAATCCACGCGCCCGGACTTCCGTAGAAGCCTGGGATTCAATCGAGGACTTTGCGGGGCTCCATAGTCGGATTTCTGTGGCTCGCATCTAGGTTCCATTACTCACACTTGCATCCGATCCAACTCATGACGTCCTATCCCGTGTTATCCCCGTAAGGACATTCATGCACCCATTTCCGTATAGTGGGGAAGTGTTCTTGAGCTCGGAGCATATTCTACAGACATGAGAAATTCATAGCGGTCCACAGGGGATTCAACGTATGACTGGGGAGGGTTCCCAAAGGACGAAAGTTCGGGAGCCACTGATCCAGGGTGCATCTCTCAATGAGCGACCTAACGGAACGCATGAGCTTCAAATATGGGGAATTATCGACTTACGGAATCCTCGACTCACGGGAGATCCTCTTGAGCGGATCGAGTCCGTTAATTGAGCATCAACTGTACAGCAAAACATGGGTGAGGAGCTCTCCGATCTAGCACGGCCCGGACTCCGCTCGATGATCGATGGTCCGCGAAAATGGGAGACTCAGCTGCCGCGCCGCCACTCTAAGACATATTTTTTTGATCGCACAAAGCTCACGGTGACACTCGGAACCTTTGCCAGAACTAATACGTTTTGAATCCGACCCCATTGAACTCGTCCGAATCCAAAAAAGGATCGTTAAGGAGAGAGGGAAGGTACTCCAGCGGGAGGGCGTCGAGCTTGGGATACCGACGTCCTCATTCAAGGTGTTTGGACATCCTACTCCGCGGCGCGAAGCGCAGCATTAGCATGTCGGTTATGGAGTCGAATACCTAGTTAATTAGGAAGCGTTTCGTTCTCGGGTGTTCCGTCGTAGAAGCGACCACTACCTACTACGAGATCTAGATCTTTCTACGAGATAGAGAAGAACGTCTTCTGATTGAGCTCCGACCCACGGCGTGATGCGGGATGGCTCGGTGCTTCCACGTCGTCGCGGCGCCGTGGGAATATGGGCAGCCTCTCGTCGACGCTCCCTGAGCGGGGGCTCGCGATCTTGTATGGTTATTGTGTAGGTTATTTAAATAATGAAGATGATGTCGGCGGGAATATCGGCAGGCCGCAACCCCCTCCCGATCATGGATCGAGTGGAGAGGTTTCGAAACCCCGGGATCTTTCAGCTCCCCGAAGATAGGTAGAACGCCACGTACATATTAGAGCTCTCACTGATGTAGAGCTATGGCGTAGCGCTCGGTAGAGGGGTCGACGGAGAATCTCTCGAGTCACGAAGACGACCATTATTCGTCGATCGGAACATTGGGCCAGACTTTGGGCTATCGACGATGAGGACCCGAGGGTCGACCACCTTCTACCGAGGATTTGCGTTCATATTAACGCGCGTTGCTTGATGGTTTTTCGAGAGGAACGCTCTCGTGGGCTAGTTGAATTGACGGCTGACGGGAGACGTGACATGCCACGCTATTGTCAATCGCAGGTAGTGATTTTGGCAAGTTTGGCTCAGAAGGCAGTCGACAGCAGCTCCGCACACACATACTCTCTCGGGAGCGACATTCTTTTATCGGGATATATATACGTCGATCGTGAAACAACAATGGCTGCCGTAGCCCACATTCCTGGTAGCAGAGGCTTCCAGCGTGGAATGAACACGGGGGCGATTGAAAACCAGCTGGAGCTGAGCAATCGGCGCGCCTGGAAGTGGTGGAGACAGCGAAAACAATGACCGCGCGCGCAGCGCCGTGTGCCTGCCCTGATGCGGTCAGGGCGTGTTTGGACGGATGCTTCCGTGGACCCAGGCGGCAGCGCACTTATATGCTGCCCTCTCGAGGGCCTGTCGAAAGAGCGATGATTCTTCCGCGCCGGGAGCGTTTGCCAAAACCCCACACTGAAGGGGCTCGCGACGTCAGAGCGATCTCTACAAGGAGGAGCGTAGCGAATGAAGAGCGTCTACGACCGATGACGAGCCGAGCAGCCAGTCGATGTGAGCTGATCGCGAAAATAATTACCGGAATCGTGAAAACGAGACCGATGATCAAAGAGACGCGAGAGTGAGTGTTGAGCGTTTCCGATCGCGGCCAAATGCGAGCGCTTCTTTAGAGTTTGCAGCATTCCGGTATACGTCGGATATTGATTATAGCAAACATCCCAGGGTCATGATCGGACGAACGGACAAAATATGCGAGCATTGTCGTGCTCTGAGATTCAGAAACGAAGCGCCCGGAATGTGTTGTTCTGGAGGTAAAGTAAGGTTGCCGGATTTGCATCCAACGCCCAAACCGTTATCGACACAGATCTCAGAAACAGCTGAGGCCAAGCACTTCCTACCGAATATTCGGAGGTTCAATTCCTGTTTCCTGATGACGTATTTCGGCGCTACTGAAATCTGTCACGGCACTTTCATGCCGACTTTCGAAGTCCAAGGTCAAAATCATCTCGCGAGATCCCTTCTTCCCTTGCCCGACCCTGATCATAAACTTCCTCAACCGTATTTCATGGGAAGCGCGGACGATCAGGTCGAACAGCGTTGCCGTATTGACCCTCTCACCCGGCGAGAGACTAAGGCTGCTCTACAAGGGCTGTTTGATCAACGTAACGCTTCGGTTTGGCTCTCCAGGACGGCTCTCGAACTTATACTGTCGGATGAATACGTTATTGGCATTAGCGCTGACGAAGTTCCGAGTTGTCAGCATCGAGGACGGTACAATGCCTTTCGATTGACGAGGTAGTCATCGTCATTGTTGGCGGAGAATTTAATTCGCGAGACATTGTCCTGCATCGTAGGAGCGGAAAACTCCAGCGAATATCCGAAACACATTGGTCCTATGATGCCCCACAGTATCCCATCCTTTTCTGGCAGGGAGAAGATGGTTATCATCTCAACATCCGCATAAGTGTGCCGTATTCCGATACGGGAAGCGATAAAAAAGTTAGCGCTATGAAGTTCTATTCGTATCGATTCGAAACAATTCTTCAGATCATCTCCTCAATTGCCGGCAGTTATTCCACCGATACATAGTCGATATGTATGCCAAAATCCAAAGGTAACGTCTTCTGTTCATTCGCCTGAACCAAACAACACTGCGTGCCGAAGAATACATTCATTTACGCGATGCAATAAGTACAGATGCAAACCTGAACCCTAATGAGTTAGGCAGCATTGTTATTTTGTCTGCAAGGTCCACTGAAAGCCCGAGACATATGCATGAGTATGCTCAGGATGCAATGACTTATGTGCGATACTATGATCGTCCGGATTTATTCACCACGATAACGTTTAACCCTGCAAGGGGAAGAAATTCGTCTCCTCCTGGCACTAGGGCAAATACCCGTAAATCGTCATGATATCATTGTCCGTCATGATATCACGGACGGAGACTGAGAATAATGATGGATTGCATCACGATGTACCATATTTTCGGAGAGTCAAGGTGTTGGATGTACTCTATCGAATGGCAGAAAAGGGGATCACCTCACGCGCACATTTTGGTTTGCTTCGTGCTTAAAATCGAGCCCAATGAAATCGACGGAATCATTCCTGCGGAGGTACCAGATAGAAATATTGATCCGAAATCATCACTAAGAACATGATTCATGGCCCTTGCGGTACGATTACCTAATAATAAATTCCCATGTATGAAAGACGGTAAATGCTCGAAGCGGTATCCGAGAATCTTACAGGCGAAGACTATCACTGGAACAGATGGTTATCCAAGTTATCGCCGCAGATCTAAACACGATGGTGGTAAGAGCACTGCGATCCGTGTTCGAAATATTGATGTTGATGATCGCTGGATAGTTCCGCATTCACCATTCCTCTCGGAAACGTTCAATGCACACATCAATGTTGAGTATTGTAATTCGGTGAAATCCATCGAGTATGTTTGTAAGTATATCAATAAGGGTCACGACATGGCTGTTTTTGGCGTACGAGAAGCAACGGCGACACTCGATGAGATAGAACGCTTCCAGTCAGGGCGTTACATAAGCAGTAACGAAGCCACACGGCGGATCCTATCTTCTCCGATTCATGAAAGGCATCCGACAGTCGTACATCTGGCAGTGCACCTGGAGAATTGCCAACGTGTGTACTTTATAGCGAATGACGCGTTTTCGAGAGCCTTATCACCACCGCAACATCATTGACAGCCTTCTTCACATAGTGTTCAGAAGATCGATTCGCACGAACCCTATTCTATCCAGAAGTGCCCAAATTCTATACATGGAACGTAGCCGCTGAGAAATTCGTGCGCCGGGAACAAGGCAAACCCGTGGACGGACATCCGAATATTTTCTCCACAGACGCGCTAGGTCGAATTTACACGATTCACCCGACGAATCACGAATGTCTTTTTCTGCGATTGTTGTTAATTAATCGTCGCGGACCGTAATCATTCGAGGACTTGAGGACGGTGAATGGGGAAGTATTTCCATCATACAGAGACGCATGTCAAGCACTGAAACTTCTCGAGGATGACATGCATTGGGGAACAGTGCTTACAGAGGCATCTCTGAACGCATCACCACAGCAGATTCGTACATTATTCGCGATTATTCTCACAAATGTTTCTCATCAGATACCCAAGATCTTTGGGAGAAGTACACGGACCAAATGAGTGAAGACGTTCTCCCGTTTCCGTGTAGGAGAATACACCGTGATTCGAATCAGAGCCCTCCAACTCTAATTTTGCTTAGAAATAAACGAAAAATGAACCCCGTTATTTCGAGCGCATTTCTGTAAAAGTCTGTGACCATTAGTGACCAAGGGACAGGGACCTCGGTCGCCGCGAAGAGGCGACGGGCGCCGCTCGTTTCGAATAAGAAAGGAGCCGGATGATAATATTTCTCCGCATGCAGCACAGCGCTTCGCTCTTCGGAGAATTCACGCATCGAAATCGAGCCAAAACCAAGAATCAATCTATTCAGAGAATTTAGAGGAATATTCCGTGTTCGGTTGTCGAAATATCGAGATTTCTCCGAAATGACATGATTTGGCGAAAATGCTACTTAGATTTTGTCGTCCGAGAAGTGTGCTCATGTCGCCCGCATAGTGCCGATCATGGAACAAAGGTAGTATCCGACCTCGATACGCGATAGTCTCTCTAGGGAGCCTGTCAAGAATCGGGTCCATGCGAGGGTGCATGCACCATCGCTATTCTGGATGCATTCTGTGAGTAGTGAGCACCAAGAGCGTCGATACGCTCTGCAATCCTTGAATTGGAAACTTGTGAACCCCCAGAAATCCCTAGATTGAGCTCTCCTGCAGCCCTTCCCCCCGTGAATTATGTCTATTGGTTTCTCGAGGACTATCGGGGGCCTTATTGTTTTACTGTTGTGGCACCTCGATATGACTAATAATCATCGTAAGGAGTCTGAATTCCAGTCCGTGTCTACTCAAGGGGATGCATCTTTCAGATCTCTGAGTAAGACGCCATAGCACATTGGGGAAGCAGAGGGAGCGTCGCGCGAACTTGGAGTCATGCGTCGTATCGCTGTCCGCTCGCTGCTTTACTGTACTCTCGGGCGGACCGGCTGCTCGCGCCTTGTTTTAGCTTCTGTTGTCTGGAAGGAGTCGTGGGCCCACCCCTGGAACCTCTCAAAGGCTATCATTGCTCAGCGTCATGCGACTGGCCGAGCAGAGCGTCCACATCGAGAGCATTTTTTCAGCCTCGGGAATCCGGCTCGCACTCCGAAACTAGAAGCGCAAAGCTTCCGGAGCGAGAAATGGACAGTCGAAAAGGGTGAAATGAGCATTCATGACTAGACTTCCCATTTTAGAGGACACGTACTTTTCCGCTTTTCGCGAGGAAAAAGGTCCGCTTTTGCCCTTCGAACTAGTCAATCATGTCTTGAAATGCATTCCCCGCATAAAAGTTGATATTTTTGGGTAGCAGACCGGAGAATGGCTTCGAGCAGTGGTTTCCAGCATCCAGAGTCCCGCGGCTCCTCAGAGAGAGCAACGTGAAGTCGCGCCCTCTGGTCGAGGCAGAGTAAAGAGACACGACTGATCGCTAAGAATGGAACGGTGTTTCTATGATCACGGCCCTCGAATCTCTTTGTGAGATGGCCGTAGGCCGCTGATGTTTATGGAAGTACTGTGTCTCCATAGTATTCAATGGTCTCGATTCTCTGTCAAACGTTGCTTGGGTAATCTCATCAATTCATTATGAGAAAGTCGGGGATCCATCCTCTAGAAAATCCCCACGATACTTCCCTCGGCTCTTCTGTCATCCTCTCTGAGCTCCCTGAAGGGTGCCGATTCCGGAATCGAGCTACCGCCCTCTGGCGGCATACGATGCCCGCATTTGTGAAGTTGAGAGTCAGAGTGACTCGAGTGACAGAGTCGCTCGAAATGGGAAGATCAAAAAAGCTCTCACTAATCATGCCGAAATTCGATTTTGGTGGAGGAAATCTTGGATGATCGTACGTACAAAATGACGGAGCAGCATTTCGAAGTCTTCAAGTGCGCGATTCCTTCAACCGCAAAGGTAAATGGATCTTTCTCGCTGTACAAAAATCTGTTGTCCGACAAGCGACATCGCGTGTCACAAGAAATGATCAGATTCAAGTCGATCCAATTCATTTCTAACATGTTCTTCGACGAAAACAAGACTTCCTCTATCGGGAAAACTTCCTCATTCGAATGCTTTTATGCTGAACTTATTTCAAGATAACTTCAGCCATGTCCGCTTTTTGTCGAGCTGTCCGCCGGTCAAGTGTCCTCTTTTCGCCGAAAAAATTTGCTCTTAAATGGGAAGTCTATTCATGACCATATCAAGATTATGGTGGTCGAATTCGCGCCTGTACGCGAGAAGTCGCCGCTTAAACTCGCTTAAGTCGTTGGGTTTCCTCTTTGAGTCTCAAAAACGCTGCATGAATGTCGAGATTCCTTTGAGAATCTTTCATCTCGAAATGGAAATATCGCCTCTGACTGTTGACTAGCTCACCCGATCGCGGAGAACGGCATTGACTCAGGAACTTCTCGCATGCTCACCTCGATGTAGGTACCGAAAAAAGCGGAGGAACGAAAAAATACGCGGGAAAAAAGGGTGAGCGCCATCGCGCCGCATCTCCCCAGCGATACACATCTAAAAATACGAAGGATTTCGGCTCCCGTTGCAAAACGTGGGAGAGAAAGAGAGGAAGGAGAGACAGGCAGCGACTCGTCGTCGAAGTGAAGCTTATTCAAACAAAGTCGGCTATGGACTCAAGTTCGAATCTGGTGAGTAGAGATGAGATAAAAAATCTGGTGAGTAGAGATGAGATGAGATCTGGTGAGATGAGATGAGATGGACAAAGACCAACTACCGAGTTCGATACCACGAAGGATTCCATCAATCGATCGTCTTCCACCCCGCAACGCCTTCTGTGTTCTGCGTGGAATTCCGCATGGTCGGAAAGGGACCATGAGGCGCCCTCCGATTCCGAGATCGACTTGCTCTAGGCCGATCAATTGTCTTTTTCTGCTGGCGCCCTATCGAGTGATGGCTCTTCCTTCGGTAACCCATTGATGCATCGGCAGTTCTGGATACCACAAAATTCGGTCCCTCTATCGGTTATCAATGATAACTTTATCCGTCAATATGGCGTCTCGCTGCCCCTCGTCTTTTTCTGCATGTACCGGTCAATCGAGGTGTCAAAGACCGGAACTTGAGGAGTGCAATCTCTCAGAAAATCCGTGCCATGCTTGATCGAGCTCAGCACTCGATGACCGACGAATATCTACGATTGTGCGTCCGTACCGATTCCGTGTCCACAGTGCGATTGGATCTGATCGGCCTGCTCGGCGAGAATTCAAGGAACCAATGCTCTTGAACCCTTTTCGACAAATCCAGTCCAAAATTGTGCGGTCCGCAGTCACCAAAAAGGTGTTTCGTCAAATTTCGGTCGTCGTCTGCTCAAGGACCCGTGACGGGAACTTGTCGCAGCGCTGTCATAAGTGTCAGAGCCATTGGCTTTCACGTGTTCCTTTTTTCTTCGATCATTTCCAAGATCTTCCGGGTCATTGTACCCATCCTCTTGTGGACATTCTGCTGCGGGCATGCATCTCCGTATCATCCTGCTCGATACCGGAACTCACCGTATCCTCCACCTCCGACTTATATAATTCATCGGACACCCGCGGGTCTCGTGTCTCCTCCGTTCCCTTTGCCCCCCTTCAGACAGCCTCGGTTGGTCTACGGGACACCTCCACAGCCGTACCCAGTGGTGTTACACGGCCAGCCCACGTACGACAGACCAGTTGTCATCAGGATGCGCAGGAAAAGACCCGTGATCATAATGGAGGAGCCTGATGACAGCTCCGAGAGACCGTATGTTTATATTTCGACAGAGAGACGATGTTTCCTTCTAGAAATCTCCCGAGAAATAAAAGGGAAATTGAATAAACATCGGGGGACAGAGCTATCACGATTGGTACTCCGTCTCATTCTCTCTTTTCTTTGCTCGCATTCCAGAATCATAATCCGAAAACGACCGAAGACATCCAAACGAGGAAGAATTTCGACAACTTCGGCATCTGAGTCCCAAGAGGAGTCCTCGCGAATCAGTCATCTTCTGAGGCGCGAAAGCAACGACCCCTACGGAACCCGGTATAAAATTGCCGGAACCTTCCACTTGGACGAGCGAGGGAATCTCGTCGGGATGGACAATAATGAGAGCAAGATGGAAACGAGCAACGATCATCAAATTCTCCGGAGATAGACTATAGTTAGCGGGATGCCTCTATACCCCTCATGAGAATTCAGACCGTCGATTCCAACCGCGAGGCCCGGATGTCTCTGTCGCTAAACATGTTCGAGTCATGACAGCTACTTCTTGGGGTGAACACTATTTTTCTGGTGTCTGGGCCTTGAGATTCTACTCTTCTCAAGAGAAGCCAAAGGTTGGACGACAGAATCGACGCGGCCGGTACGTGCTCGAAGACGTTCGTCGCTTGACCTAGCGGCGGAACTGCGGGGAGATCTGCGAATGGACGAAGCATGGTCTAGTTCTCCAGGCTACGAATAAACAGCCTATGAGTACGCGACTGTCGTACCAATGTGATTATTGATTATTTTATGTGTTAGTCATTTTTTGGCAACAGATCTGATGGAACAGACGCTGGGACAGATGTGTGGGAGCTTCAATTGAAAGCCCGCGGGGGAGCGGCAGAGGACACGGGACATAGTTATCTGGACAAGCTCGGAGGAGACGAGCCTCTTCTCTCATAGTTGTGGTCGACAGGAACTTTCCCGGAAGAGAAATTCTATCCTTTGCAAATATGAACTCGAGAGATGAAGTCGACAAAGGTTGTCGGAGCGGGATGCTGCGGAGAAGAGGACCATGTTTCCGAAATATCACAAAAACCAAGTCGTGTGTCGAGTCAAGCAGAACTCAACAAACGATCTGTTATGGGAGCTGATGACAGTCCATCAATTGTCACGCGGCCGGTCGTTGATTCGGATGAAGTGACGTCAATTTTCCCGACCCTATGTCTTTCGTCGATAGTCTTTGCTGCTGCAGAGAGCTTCTCCGAAGCGGCCAACGTTCACACGATTCATCCAGGTCATGGAGAGAGACTGATCCCGCTAGTTCTTGCACGCTTTCCGCTTCCGAAAGCCAGAGACTATCTCGGTGGCAAAAATTGCGGACATTCCGAAAATAGGGCCTCGTGGTTTCCACGAGTCTCCATTGCGGGAAAGAAAAATCTTTCGAGCACACATATCCTGAGATTAACTCCCTTTCCGATAGCTCAGAACGCGAGCATGCTCCCTCACGCTCCGGAAACCATTGGGCTAGGGAAGTGAGCTCTCATCAACTTTCAGGAACACGATCGGCTTCGCAGTGGAATTATCGACCTCTAACACCTGAGCACTTCTGAACGGAAGACGCGGTCATCTGGTAATTTGAATTGGGATCCTTCGATCGAGTGATTATAGTCACGTTGTGGAATAAATGACTTCTGACACGGATTACCGCTGTTGATCGGATCGCTTTCGAACCCACCCTTTCCAACGCTGCCGACCCTCTGCCGCTCTTAGCGCGGCGGCCGCGTCCGCCGCGGAACCACCGTAGAGTTTGCAGTGTTCTTCGGGACTCGCCAGATGCCGAGAAATTGCGCTTACGATCGACGCTCTCGAGGCCGCTGTCGTCGTCGTCTTCGCTGACTCGGACGGGAGAGACTGTCTTTCAATAGTTGAAGATCGTTCGAACGCAACGTACACCGATTCGTCTAAACACATTGACACCGTCTCAAGCCAGCCGGCCGCTCACCCTCGGAGACGCTGCGCTTTCTCTGGACGCATAGGCCGCGGCATTGTCGGTGCTCTCGCGGATGACCATCAGCTGTTTCGCTCTCGACTAGATCAGTGGGATACTTGTGCGCGATAGGTGCGCGGTCCTAGTGTGTGATTGCTCTCCGATCAGATTCTCGGACATCGAAGTGTGACAGATCCTTTCGGATCAAGGCCGGCGATCCTTGCTCTGGAACAAGTCTTGGAAGCGGAAGTCCGGGGCCCCCGACAATACGGATTATCAAGCGGTCGATACAGCGTCTTCCTCCCCAATGCCTCCTCGGTGTGAGTACCCGTCGACTTCTCCATTACTCTTCATTGGTCGATCTCCTGTTCCGTAATCATTGTCTCGCAGGTAGCTCTCGCGAAAACTGCATCAACTTCATATCAATATCCAACGGCTCGAGATGGCGGTACAAATAACTCGTCATTGTGTCCGCAATCAACTTTCCGCTTGAGTCATTTGTTGGATCCAGCTGTGTGAGAGTTCCTGAGGGTTTAGCATGTGTGAATTGATGACAATCGTCCTCTCGTCGGCGGTACGATATGATCTTGATGTTCGACGATGGAGAGATTGGAACTGTCACATAAAGTCAATGCTCAATGTCATGGCTATGACGAACGAGCTCGTGGAATGATTCAAATTTGAAATTTGGACACGAGACATGAAATTCGAGGAGTCGAAAGATCAAAATGAAGAATCTACATCGCTGCTGCGGGCTGCAAGTACCCAGCTCTAATCGGATGACGGTCCACTGATTTTCGGGAGTTATTTATTCGGGAATCGGTCGTTATAATTCAGCGCGAGAACTTGGAGAATCGATCCGCTGTCGAAAGTAAGCAGAGTCTGTTGAATTTACGTCTTCATTTCATCCGCCCATTCCCGAGACGCATTGGTGATCATTTGACCATGTCCTCTGTTTTTTTAAACATTCACGGCCTAGAATTCACATACCCGTGACGACAGATGAGGATTGTCGTCACTCATTGTGGGCAAAACTTCCGATATCGACGATGTAGACTTCAATCGCCTCGAATGGGCGATCGCCTTCGAATCGAAATTCGGAAAGCCCGTCTGCCCGTCCCGGAGCGAGCCCGAACGCGGCCGCGGACTTCCAGTGTGAAAAACGGCGCTTCCAAGAAAATCGATCAGCAACGCAACGTTTCGAATAAGTCGTGTCCTCGTGCCATGCTCTGAGCGGAATTAATTGCGTCTTCATTCGATATTTCGGAAAGAGGTCATCCTCTCATGGAATGGAGGAAGGTTCCCTCTTTCTCGGCGTCCGTCGGCATCTGACCATCCATGATGAAGATTCTCACTGCTGAAATCGTGCTACGGAACAATCCCAGAACGTGAATAATTTGGAATCAGGCTCCAATCAATTTACAAGGGTCAACGTCACTTGAACGTACATAGGTATACTAGATGAATCCTCAACACGGAATTCTCATACGGCTTCGAGACTCCCTCGGCCCTCTTGAAAGCGTCAGCTATCGAAGGAGTTACCGACGCATGGGACTATCGGGGCAAGATCGTAGCGATAACTGGAGGCAATAACTGTGAATAGGATTCGAGTTCCGGTCAGGTTCCGATTCGAGCTCTGGAGGAAGACAGACTCATAAAGAATTTCCGATTACAGCTGAGTTCACGAGAACATCATCTTCAAAAACGAAATGCTTCATCGCCGGGGTAATCATCCTGCTGGCCTCAGTCGGTGTCACTGCATACTTTCTGATGAGCTCTGTGTGGGAGGAGGATAAATCGAAATACGCCGGCACGTTCAGAACCTGGGCAACCGCCCTCGATGAGCCGCAATGCGCCCATGTCTCGAGAGAAATCTATGCGCTAGGAGGGACCGTGGCCGATGCAACAGTCGCCTCTTTACTCTGTCTCGGTGTTGTTCTACCAGAATCGCTCGGAATCGGTGGAGGATTTTTCGCTGTATATTTCAACAAGTAAGCCATCGTCGGACCCTCGTCCTCATTCTTCCAAGATGAGCTCGAGTCGCAGAAGTTTGAAGACCCTAATTTTCCCCCTGAACTCGACGGCTCCTCTTTCGCAGGAAAACCGGGAAGGTGCATTACTTGGATGCTCGCGAAATGGCACCTCTCGCCGCGAATCAGAACATGTTCGTCGGAGGCAACAGCCGTACCGGTGAGTGGCGCCCTCCAGCATCCTCGAGTCAATATCGAGACAATCTCCTGTCCAACGAGACAAAAAGAGGAGTCCGGAACTTTGGCCCTGACGGAATCGTGAATTGAGTCGGCCTCGCGCGCAGCAGAATTTCCCGCCGATCGTAATCGAAACGGATCATTGCCATGTTCTTTGACCGAAAGCGGAGTCGAGTCGACAATTTGTATCTGCGGCGCAGTACTCTTCTTTTATGGCTTCACAGGAGCACGAGTGATCGCGGTCCCTGGTGAATTGAAAGGCTACAGGGAACTTCTCAGGCTTGTTGGAACCAACGTGTCACAAACGGAGCTGTTTGAGCCTGCGATCGCTATCGCGAGGAAGGGATTCAAATCCGGTCAGCATCTTGCCGAGGCTATGCGCGCGAAAAGAAATCTCATCCTTGCCGATCCCGGTTTGAGGTGCGACTCCGTATCGATTTCTGGAGTTAGGTAGCTTCATAGCGCGGTACTTATAGAGTGGAACGGCGAACTCTGGATGAAAGAGTCTATCTCTGCCGCAGAAAAGTTTACATCGACCCTGAAACCAACGACACCTGGAGAGAAGGAGACGTCATTGTCAACCACGAGCTCGCGGATACTTTGGAGAGACTGTCCAGATCATCGGACTTCATGCACGAGTTCTACGAGGGCCCGACGGGTCTGGGACTCGTCAAAAAGATCACAAGTCTTGGCGGAATTCTCTCGATGGCGGATCTCAAAGAGTACCAGCCCAAATGGAAGACCCCCACCCATTGGAGGATGCAGAATACTTATGATGTCTACTCTGCGAGTGAGTTTCCATTCTTTATTCCTGTAGCTTTGGGAGAGAAATCCTCAGGGAAGCTCAGAGCAAAACATGAATTTCGGCATTCGGAAACGATAGCGATCTGTACGCCGCGCCGCCCATGCAGCCCCGATGGATTCTAGGTCTTCCCGGCAGCGGACCGATCCTTGCTCTGATGCTGAACACGCTCGATGCTTATAACATCTCCCGATTCGAGGACGACTCTAGATCCTATCAGAGATTGGCAGAGATTTTCAAGTTCGCGTATGCGAAAAGGTCTCTGCTCGGAGATCCAAACTTCATCGACGTGAAAGAGGTGGGTTGAGCTCGTGGGCTATATCGAAACCTTCTCCCTCTACGGTGTTCTTCTTCGCGACAAGGGCCAGACTTTGCGAGAGACAGATAACTAATTTTTCGTTCTCCCGTAAAAAGCTGGTTGATCAGATGGAGAGCAAGGCTTTCGCCGAAGAGATCAGGGGCAAAATTAACGAGACGGGAACACTGTCTCTGGAGAAATACGGCGGCGCTCTGAATGTACCGCGAGACCATGGAACGTCACACGCGAGTTTTTTCGGACCTGACGGGGATGTGATAGCTATCACCTCGACGGTGAATTACTAGTGAGTTGGAAAACATTCCACAAAGCTTTGCGAGCATGTGATTCTCTGTCTGAAGTGCCGCCGACGAAAACGACCTCTCTCGATGAGTATTCGGAGCGAGCTGAAAGGATGCGCTATCAGGCAGCTGAGAAAATCGAGCGCCCATTCTTCGGAATCACGTTTGCAGTTTCGGAAGCGGGGTCCAAATCGATGGCATAGTGTTCAACAACGAAATGGATGATTTCTCGACGCCCAACGAGGACAATGGATTCGATTTGATGCCCTCGAAATCGAATTATATCGAGGTAATATTCGATATTCGAAAGACTTCGACAGAGTGGTATACAATGACCTCAAACCCGCAATCATTTAAAAATGAAATCATTTAAAAATCGTAACGCCTCATCATTCTGCTTCTCGCAGCCTCGGAAACGACCAATGTCATCTATGGTTCCGGCGGTCATCGTCAAAGACCGAGAAGCCGTAATGGCGATTGGAGGTGCCGGCGGATCTCAGATTACGACTGCGGCCGCACAAGTGATTTTCCATTACTTCTACAGAGGGACAAAGCTCGAAGACGCGATAAAGCATAAGCGGATCCATCATCAATACTTTCCGGAGCATATCCTCTACGAGGACGGCTTTGATTCGGTGAGAGTCTAATGTCCTCCAGATTGGACGCGGTTGTTGGACGCGGATGAATACTGAAAGAGGACATTACTGCTTCTAGGAGATCATAGCAGACCTAGCCAAATACGGGCATAAAACGCGAGAGAAACCACCGACAAAACGCGGCAGTGTGATTGTGGGAATCGCTCGAGAAGGGGACAAGCTCGTAGCCTGCGTTGATCCTCGGAAAGGAGGTGGGGTCCTCGGTGGTACAGATTGATCGTGGGGTCCCCAGATGATTCGTAGGTGCAATGGATAGCGAGCTCGTGATTGTGGAGTTCCGAGATTTTGATGCTTATTTACAAATTCCTGAACGGACGTTTTGGACGCTTGTATTTGACTGATAGCTCCCGACATCTGGTGAATAAAAATGAGGGAACTGTGATTCAAACTTTGGGAAGATCTCGCTCCCTGGCTTCTCCAGACTCATACACCTGTACCTGGGTGAATGTTCAGCGTAGGTAATTGTCTGATAAGGTCTGATCCAGATTTCCTCGAACAATTTTCATTCAGGTGTCGCATAGCCGCTCAGTCAGTGAGGTCCAACACCCTGCTCTTATGAATGTGAGAATATCAATGACAAATGAGTTCGAGAATTTCGAACTCCGGGGGTTCATACCTCGAAAGCGATGAACGGGAAGGGCTCCCGTATTATCGGAGTGACCGTCGCACAAGACCGTATCCGATTCTCGGAATTTCTGTGGGTGAATTGTATATTCCCTCCTCAATGCGTTCACTCGAACAAGCTCGTAAGGCCACGAGTTCCCTCTCTCTGAGGGGCGATCGGAGCTGTGTGCCGCGACATGGAAACTGCCGGCGCGCCGAGCTGCGGAGCGGTCAGCCGCAGACTTTCCGCGCCGCACCGCCGACTCGCCGCTAGGGATTCCGCTCTGCGGCGCGCCCAATATGTCCGCTCGGATTCCAAGCAGGCTACTCTGGACTGAGAGGACAAGAAAGGAATTCCAATTCCTGAGAACCTCCACGGATCGGATTGAATATTCGTCAAGGGAGAAATTCTCGTACAGCGGATAATTTCCCGTCCGGAAATGCTCGAGGCCCCGGTTTTCGGAAACTCCAGGGGAACCTGAATAACCTGGATCCTGCCCTCCGAGATTCGACGATCCCGAAGATTTCCATCCTTTGCTAAGGGTCGCTCGAAATACAGCTTGCATTGCAAAAGGGTCCGGCTCGCGAATTCTTATGGGACTGATTCATACCCACGAATGCGCTCGAATCTCGTTGAAGAGCATGTGTTTGCTGATCTGAAGCAGAGAGAAGATGTTATCCGTGAACGATCGGTGAGATTTACAGAGGACGGCGGAGCGCTTCAGAGTATTAGGCTCTGGCCCTAGGCTGAGGCCCTAAGGTCGTGCCGAATAAGTCGAAGTTTAAATGTGTCATCCTCCGGGCCCGCAGGAGCTTCTCCACCGCGAGTGACTCGCGGGGAAAAAAATGCTGCACGGTCTCGATGTCCATGTCGAGGACTTTCTACGCACGAGATAAGTGTTAAGAAGACTTCCCCACCGCGTTGGTGATGACTGATAAGACTGCTAATTGAGGGAAAATCTCCGCTCGACTGAAATAAACTTTCCTGTGAAATGCGCTGCTGAAGTTCTCCAAAAGTAGGGTTTTCCTCCCTCACCCCGTCTTACTCAATCTTGCGAGGTATTGCTGTATTTGTCGATCCGGGATCGAAAAGCGAAGGACAACTGATGTGTCGCTGCCGTATGGTGAGCTCCGCGCCGCTGAAGTTTCCTTGACCAGCCGCCGTCGGGTTGAGTCGCACGCACGGTGGCGGTCCGTACTTCATGTGACGTGAATTATCTCCCTCGGTCGAGAAGCCTCGTAACTCAGAGATCGGGTACCGAGCCTTGCTTGTAAGAAATACTCTATATTGCTCCAAAGGGAGTTTCTTATTCAAATTCATCGTCGCCAAGCGTGATCCTTTTCGGGATTGCGGCTATCGATAACGAAACGGGGGACGTTCGTTCGAGGAGTGTTGTTTGAATGGACCAGATAACAGAGCAAGTACTCTCAAAGATCCATCGACCGAGTAGAACCGGCTCACGAAGCATTCTAACCAATACAGATATGAGAGGCGTGAGCGTTCTTGTTGTGCTCGCTGCAGTGACTCTTTGGTAAATGGTGATGACGACCTCGCGATCTTCGTGATTTGATGACTGTGTTTGAGCATTAAACGCTCGGATCACGCGAAAGATTCAATTTTCGATTCCAGCGCTGGTGGTGAATATTTCCCGGACTGGAGCTCTCTAGACACCCGACCCTCGCCGTCTTGGTACGATGAGGCGAAAATTGGGATTTTTCTTCACTGGGGAGTTTTCTCCGTGCCTTCTTTCAAAAGTGAATGGTTCTGGAACCTCTGGCAGAACGATGACTTCGAAGTGAGTTTTCGTGCGAGCGGAGGGAGAATCCGAAGGGCGCGCTCCCTTTATGCGTTCAGAGTGGCCCATCAATAGATATTCGAAATCATCTTGGATCATACATTCTTCCTCGTCCAGCAGGTGATCGAATTTCTCAAGAAAAACTACCCGCCGGGATGGACCTATGCGGATTTTGCCCCGCAATTCCGTGCCGAATTCTTCGATCCGGACCGTTGGGCTGCGCTCTTCGAAAAATCGGGTGCCAAGTAGGAAGGCTAGCACTAGCTCCTAGCACCATATTTCCCATCTGTGACCGAGTCCCGAGCTTACCGATTGTATGTAGAAAAAATGTCCGATTCCAGATACGTCGTTCTGACTTCGAAACATCATGAGGGGTTCACAAATTGGCCATCATCGACGGCATTCAATTGGAACTCTCGGGACATCGGGCCCGGCAGGGACCTCGTCGGCGACCTGAGGACAGCTGTCAGGAAGAGGAGCCTGCGTTTCGGTGTCTATCACTCCATGATGGATTGGTATCATCAGCTCTACCTCAAGGACAAACAGAACAATTGGAAGACTCAACACTTCGTGGAGGTACACGATAAGCGAATTGATTAAGAAGTCCTCCACCAGGGGATATGAAGTTTCTTCATCTCGAACGTAAGCATGAGATCGTGGACTGACGGAGACCATTAGCCCGACATCCCCTCCAAGGGGGAACGGCAACAGAGGGAATCCTTGGAGTCATTCTCAGTTCTCGGGAAGTAGAACTGGCTGCCCGATCCGATCGCGGAAGGAGCGATTCATGTGCCAGCGCGGGTCTGTAATAAGCGATATGACGACCGCTTCGACTGATCAGCTTGCTCGCTCACGAGAACGTCCTAATTCCCGGCCCCGACAATAAGTGAGAAGGAACCGAGATGAAGGTGGCCTGATTATGGTTTTTCGCAGGCGAAGTGCAACAATGAATTGTATGAGCTCGTCAATCAATACGAGCCGGACATCCTCTGGTCAGACGGAGAATGGGAGGCTCCGTCGCGCTATTGGAACTCCACGAATTTCCTCGCTTGGCTGTACAACGAAAGGTTCGGATCAGGAGGGATCCCCACGGGGAAGCCGACAAGGAAATAGAGATTCGGAAATCCATTCGTGACGTGAAGATCCCACAGAACAACCGAGAATGGATCCAGCTCATGTACGAATGGAAACTATTCCGACAGTCCCGTCAAAGATGTCATCGTCGTCAACGATCGATGGGGAAAAGAAACCCGCTGCAAGCATGGCGATTTCTATAACTGCGACGACCGATTCAACCCTGGAACACTCCAGGAGCATAAATGGGAGAACTGTATGTCACTCGATCGGTCGTCCTGGGGCTACCGGAGGACAATGACGTTGGACGACGTTCTAACTATCGAGGAGCTGTTGAAGACGTTGGCTGAAACAATAAGGTGATTTTTCGCAGGCTTGAAGACCTGATAGATCCCTCTCGGTAGCGGAATCGAATTTCACAATTATGCGATGAATGTGTATCGCGCAAAGTAGCACGGTCTCACCCGCCTCTGAGTGAGTCGACCTCATACCGAGGAAAAGGATATGAGACGCTTCTCTATGTAGATTCCAGCCTGCATTTGGATGCCATCTTACAACGCCACGAGCATGATGGAAAAGCGAAGATTTTCCTCCCCGTTCACGAGCAGTGGTCGGCCCCGGCAGTATTCTTTACGAAAGTATCATGAAAACTCTAGAAAAAGAACTTGGATTGCAGCTGCCATGGCAACATCTTAATCAATGTTGGACCTCGTAGCGATGGTACGATTGACCCCCTCTTCGAAGAGCGACTGACACAGCTCGGCGAGTGGCTCCAATTGAATGGTGAAGCAGTTTACGGATCTAGACCGTGGAAGGACCAGAGGGATGCAGCTGACGAGAATGTCTGGTAAGCTCGACGGAGTTCTTCGAAAAACGGACGGTACCTCAAGTCAGAGCGCAGTGACGGTTAAAAGAGCGTCTCGGTCCAGGTACACCCAGAACAACGGGAACGTTTACGGCATCGTCACGTCATGGCCCCAAGTTCTGAAGCTCGGCTCCTTCAACTCAACTTCCTTCGACGAGCACGCGACCGTCACGATCATAGGCTACGACGAACCCCTCTTGGTCTCACGGGAGGCCGATGGTTAGTGGCTAGCTCATCGTAGGAGCCAAGACTTACGAAAAACGAGATAGAACATAAAACAAGCCAAGATTTACATAGCAATGCATATGAAAGTGCTGTCATGCACGCTGATCGAGATTTCCCACCAGATATGACCCTGGAATTAGTCGATTGGAATCGAAGACCGATTTTTCACCCCTTTGGGATATTTTTTGACGAGAAGGCGGTCGGATGATATTTTGCATGTTGCTTTGCTACTTGCGCATTATTCTCTGCTCATTAATCCGAACCGGACTCATCACCTGTCAATGTGGCTTCAGTGGGGGCGGTGAACAATGATTCAGACGTTTTTTCTCGATTGCAGGCATAACGATCCACTTCCCCGCGCTGTCGTCCAAGTCCAAGCCCATATACTTGCCTGTTCTGGAATTCGCCCTCCCCGCGAAAGCTCTCACCGGCTAGGACGCTAGGAGATCGACGAAATAAAGGCTAATGAGGGAGATCAATCTCTCGATCTTGGCTCTCGGGAAGAAGAATCGGGAGCGAGGACGCTCGTCTTCTTCTTTGGCGGATGCATGCCGATCCTCGTTGCGGAATCGTAGAATATAAGCAGGAGGAGCTTTCGGAGGAGCTCAGTTTCTTTCAGGTTGTTTATTCTAGGAAAGATTTGATACATCTCTCAGCTCCACGATACGCTATCACAACGCGCTGCTCGTCGCGCTCTGAAGAAACATACATTCATTAAAGCATCAGGCGTCTTTTGAACGTCTGCCAGCCGATATATTCTGACCATGGAAGTTATTGCGCGTCTGACTGCAATAAAGCATCCTCTAGCGGCATACGATGCCCGCATTCGTGAAGTTGAGAGTCAGAATGACTCGAGTGACAGAGTCGCTCGAAATGGGAAGATCAAAAGTGTTCTCCCTGATCATGCCCAAGTTCGATTTTGCTGGAGGAAATCGTGGATAAAGACCCCCAAGAATTCAGATCATACGTACAAAATGACGGAGCAGCATTCAGAAGTCTTCAAGTGCGCGATTTCCTCCATCGCAAAGGTCCTCTTTTCACCGAAGAAATGTCCTCTTAAATGGGAGGTCTAATGATGAGACATTCGCAGAGAGTCTCAAAGGGTCTCGCTGTTGGCGCATAGATCATTATCACAGAGTTCGGCTGTCGAGTGCGTCTGCTGCGCAACGGAATCCCACGTTGACCGATGAGGTGTCCAAGGTATTCTCACTTCGAGCTTCACAACGGTATCGGAAGCAATACGAGGCATGACACATAAATGACCCTCCTTTCTTGACGCGCCGTGTCTCTTCTCCGTCGGGTTTCGTCCCGTGATCTGTGGTCCACGCATCGGCAGTCCATTCCCAGACATTTCCTGAGCATTGGATGACCTAGCTCTTATTAAGGGCCTACCTCACGAGGGCCACGACGACGCCGCGACGCCAACTGCCCTCGACGTAAAATAAAAATGTTCGAAGCTGGTATGGCTCACCGATCATGTTTTTGAGGGGGAGTCCAGGGTATGGATCGTACGTGTCCACCGGAGCTGTACCTTCGTACCCATCCTTTTTCGTATTCGTATTTGGAAACTGTCCCTGCCAAATGTTTGCAGACCTCTGGTTTTCGGCATCAGTCTGCAAAACGGGAGGTCGGAAATAGGAGGGTTTCCCGAACTGATCACAGAACTTTCGGCTCAACCCTTTGAAGAATTGAGACACCTCTTACCACTTCATCGTTCCACGGGAACCGCTTGCCGCCGAGAGATCTTTTGCAAGCCATCTCCCATTCTGCTTCATTCGGCAGACGTTTTCCATAATGCTCGCAGTATCGTTCAGCGTCTCTCCATGAAACGTGAACCACAGGATGCTTCATGCGTTTAATAATGTTTGAGCCTGTGAAGAGTTCGAACAATCGAGGATTTTAATCAAACTAATGCTCCCCCCTGCTCTGAGGGCATTTGGTAAATCGCAGGAATTCGAGCTCGCAGCCCGTTCCGCAGTACGACGACGCACAAAAATCGAAAATTGAGGTTGGCAGATTTACCTATTTCGATCTACCTGGTCCCTCGGGATTCCGCCACGATGCCCCAAAAACGCTGAACCACCACGGAGCGGCTTGGACGGCCCCTTGAATGGCTTTCGACTCGGTTATAGTCGAGCCTAGAACGTAGGAGTCACCAATAGTTTCTGCGTCTGTCAAGTGACCCGTTTCGTGGACAAACTTTTCGAACGCCTCATTGGAAACTTCAGTGGCATCCAACCAAAACGAGCTGATGTTCTTCACTCGGGCAGGATGTTCACCTAGAAGGAGAAAATCCTCACGCTCGTCGGAATGGTTGGGTTCGAGCGACTGCATCTAAAAGCATACTGATAGAAGGAGCTCGAGACGTCCATCGCTGTGAGAATCAAAGTCTCTCACCGTCAGCGAGAATAACCGGTCTGTTGGTCCCCATTATGAACTCGCCACCTTTCACGAGAACCATTTTTTCGTGAAGCGCCGCCCGACATACCGAGTCGATGGGTATGCTTGGACTTTCTTCCACGAAGTTCTTACCCGATCTAGAACCTGAAATCGGGATCCCGACCTCCTTAATCGGGAATCGCTTCCGTTTCACGACGGATCGACGGACGATGAGAGGAACAATATTTCCGACTCGCCAATGACTCAGTGACGCCGATGTGACTTTCCGAATCTTATACGCCTTGCGATATTTGATATGAGAGTTTACCTTGATCGTTTGGAGACTCGCGAGTAGCGGAACGACTCTCCGAGCAGCCACAGTCGCTGGCGGCGGCAGCCTCGCACGATACGGAGACGACTTGAATAGGAAAAATTGAGACTGGATTACGGTTCACAGGGATATCCCGGACCTAGACACGTTCCTGTCTCTGACAGAGACATACTGCAGGAAACTCCGCTGAGGAGTAGCTGAGGATCTCCAGGCTTCCGAAGACTTCACTAGACTCGGGAGACATTGAGGAGTATGTCCGAACTTTCGATGGAAAGGCAATGCATCATTCCCACGTTGGAGCATTGCTCGCCCTCGGGGGAATCAGCTGACAGGAGTACTGAGCTTTCAGAGAAACTTCAAGGAGCGATATCTATCCCAGACGGATATGGAAAAAGATTTTCTGCTCGCTCTCACCCTATGGAATCTTTCGACTTATCGGGTCGGTAAGCCGGGGCTTCGACCCATCAGTACGGCAAGCATTCATCTCGATGACTACCAAGTGCATCCTTGTGTCAGGGGTCCGTATCCATTCTATACTTACTGATGAAAAAACATGAGAAACGCATATCGAACTTAGATCGGCGGCACTTCACAAACAGCTCATCCTAAGGAAAAAGCGGAGAGTGTTCCAGCTCTCTGCAGAGAAAATTTAATCCGACTTGACTCGTTGACAGAATTCATGTGCAGATCATTCACCGGTTGCTGTCGCTACGCTACAGCTGCCGCCGGAGAATTTCTTGTCAGGGCTGCGCGCTGCGGAGACGAATGAACGCATCTAGGGGCTATCGTGGTGGCTCCGTGTGTCTTTCTAGCCGACGATCTGAGAAGACACAAGCCCGGCCGAAGAAGATCCGTGTCCATCGAGGCGCGTCCTTCTCAAGAGGTCGATAGAAATAAAACCTCCTCCAACGAACATTTCGGACAACGGACTCTTCCCTCTAGAAGATCTGCCTTGGATTACCCACCATGTAAGGTACGAGTTCCGACTTCTCTCCGGAACATATTTTTTTCGGGAGACGGAGTTCGATCCCATCTCATGGAACTCCCAATCAGACGGACGGACTCTACGTTCGGGAAAAAGCAGCGGAACTGTACCATGGAGTGGGAATGAACCGTATCAGAAAACGAACTTTTCGCTCAGCCAGCAAACGGCGTTGTGGAACCGATTCAGCTTCTTGACCGAAGTCTCACTGCAGCGAGTCAGGGACCGGAAGATTTTGAGATTCTCCACATTGACGAGAGCTCCAATTCTCGAGGGCTTCACAACGGGATGTTCCGGCGAACGTTCCTCACCCTAGACGTGGCTCAGAGTTTAGCAAAATCGAGCCCGGGACGATTTAGGATTCGGGAGACCGTGCCTTATGGTTGGGATCATCGCTGGTGCTCAGATATTCCGCGCAAAGCTCTGACAGAAGTCGGTAAGCGCGCCACGCGATTGCCAGACAGAGAAGGGGCTCGTCATCCGAGGCTTCTCTCCGGCTCTACGCCGGCCCGTTTGCTCAAGATTCGGTGACTGGAAACTTTTCGGGAATCGATCACAGATCTTTCTCTATTCAGAGAGGTCATCTTAATCTCTTTTCGGAGCTAATGATGCGCCTCTGCGCCCTCCGACTCCTTCCACGTCATGAGGGACGATCGAGGTGAACTGTGTTCCAGCCTGAAAAGATCACGGAGAGCTGCAGCTCCAGGAACAAATATCGAAGCTCTCTGGTGGATCATTGTTCCCCATCATGTCGCATTCCCGTTGGGAATTTCCTCCTGCTCATTCCGAACCACACATCGATCGACGCTGCTGATACTCTTGCCGAAGCTGAGGGACCAAGCGATTCGCAGTAGGTTGTTCGGGCATTCAGGTACGGACGGTCAGGGTCATCATCTGGTGGAGGTCTGCCTGGTACCATCTGCCTTTCCGAGGGCTAGGCGATGATTGGCTTCTGAATCAGGACCGGACAAAGGAAAAATTGGCTGCGGTAACACTATGAAGGTTGAAGGATTGAACCCTTAGCGAACGGGGCGGGATCGCCCGACTCGGTTTCGACGGAGCGCACGGATCATTGTCATCATTATTGTCACATTCTGAGTCCCGGGGATAAATTAAATCTTCATGGAGTTCTCACCTTTGCTCATCCTAGAGGCTCCCTCAACGTAGTGGGTCACGGTGTTTCGGACGATATCCTCACCGTCTATTGTCCTGTGTAGAATAACGCCAGTTAAACTTAAAAGTCGAGCACCCATCTACTCCGGTGTTCGATAGTCAGACGAGTTCGGCATCGCAGTTGAGGGATGCGATGGATGTGACGTTCGAGTCCCGGCGTCTAAATGAATCGATTGGGATCGACTGGTGGAGCTTTCGCGGATCCCCATAGAGCTGAGCCTACCATGTCAACAGTATGACACGGTACCTGATATCCCATGGCGTGGGTATGGCCGCGAGCCTGCACTGTCCCGGAATGTACTGCGGCCGCGTGAGATTCGCAGATTCCGGCAACTTCAGTGATTGCGGGGTGAGTCTTGATAGAGGTTGCTGTTTAAGAGATTCTCCGGAACGATTCTTAGACCATCCGAGCACCATCTGCTTTTCCGGCCCACCGGGGAATCCATCAATAATTGAACTCGTCGCGGGGACAAAGCTCGAGAAGAAAAGGCTCGAGCTGTTTTTTGCAAAATTATCACGACTCTTTCTTTCAGGCTTGTCCGAGGGGATTTCGCGTCGAAGCATCAGTTTGCGAAGAATGCGTTTCATCCCCCGAAGTGTATGACTGGCTGTACCTCGGTTTCATGGTCCTTGTCAGTGTCTACGCACAGGGCTGGATCATAGATAGAGCGCCCAGAGTGTGAGTAATCAGATGAACGAGTGGATTCGTCGTGCCGATTAATGCTCTCTATGGAGTTGATGTTCCGAACGACTTCTCCGTGAGGAGTCACGATCTCAAGAGCACTGTCACGCCAGCGATCACAGTTCGATTCTTTTGCATTTCGTGGTAGTTCTGTGCACGCGGTCACACTTCTCGACTCCAAAGCACGTCTCGCGTGAAACACGCCGGCCAAGTCTGGGCTGCTCGAAGCACTGAAGTGCTTTTTTTCGGGCGTTCGGAATGGGATAAAGATCCTACGAGATGGAATTCAGACCAAATGGGCACTCTTCCTCATCCCGATAGTTGCGGACCCTGAATCGATGCTAATTGCTCATTCTATTTCAGGATTAAGTACCGCGCGCTAGTTCTGCAAGTTTGCTGTCTGCTCGAAAATCTGTTGGCGGCGGTTCTGTCGTTGCTTTCGGTACCACCAACCGGTTCACTGCTATTGACGACGTGCCCCGTGAAGAGACTTTCGGACTGGTACACCCTATTGCACAATCCATCGCCGTACTATAAGCAGACACTACACTGTTCGCAGGAGGCGGTGTATCCGTTCTATTCCATCGTATTCGTGTTCCTCGGCTATAGTCTCGTTCTGCTCGTGCTGATTCGAGGTTTCCTCCTCCCGAGGATGTTCTCGTCGTTCAGTATCGAGGCCATACGGAAGACCATCTATCTGACGCTGTATGCCATACCGATAATAGCGGTGGGACATGCTATTTTCGCTGGGCTCTTCTACTACACGTTTTCGTACTTGGTGATTCTGCTGTCGGTGTTTTCGGTAGCATGCCACATGGCGGCGAGACCCAATCAAACAGCCCGGAAGCTGATATCGGACTCCTTGGAGCTCCGTAATTTAGTCATCATCGTCTCACATTGGTTGATTCACGGTTTTGGATTGATAGCTTCCCTCATAAATGACTATGGTCTAGACTCGTTCTATAGTCTCTTACTCATTCCTCTGCCAACGGCATTTTACGTCTACACAGCGCGTTACACGGATCCCGAATTAAATTATCGCTATCTTTAAGGAACCACGTTCCCCAGCTCCTTCGTTCCGTGAAGGGAAGACTCGTTGGAGAACTTTCGTTCTCCAAGTTTCTTAGTCCCTCACCGTTCGCGATCTGCGACTTTCGGCACAATCTTACTCGGAGGTCTGCTCCTAACCGAACTTTGTAATTAGCATGTAAATTGATCGAGAAAAATTGTGTTTTCAACTGAGAAATGTAAATAAACCTTCGCTCGTCGCATTTGACGCGGGAATTCAGAGTTCTTGTCATTTAAGAATGGGGTGCCCTGTATCTGGTCATGAGTCCCATTTCATCACTCATACGCGGCTTATACGCGGGATCGCGACCATCTTACGAAATTGGGAAGATGACCCGGGAATATTTCATGGGGGAAGGCTCGCCGGGATCCGTCGATGGTCCTCGGGCCGAGAAGGAGAACGTGGATCTGGAAATGGCTACTCGGAGGCCTCAGGATTACAGGACCGCCGCTCTCGAACTCCGGCGTCTTGGAAAGCTGATCGTCGATCCCGGCCCATCAGCTGGAACGCGTCAACGGTATCTCAGCGGTCAGGCGCTGCGGGATACTCCAAGATCGCATAGCGTAGCGACTGAAGACATCTAGTCGAAGGAACGAGTTTATTGGGGGTAATGTACAGTACTGTTCATATTGAGATAGACCAAGGGGAGAGAATTATCGTCAGTCTCCCGGAGCAAGTCCGCAGAGTCCGGAGGTTGTCTGACCCGGCCATCGATCTCACTCGGAGTTGAAACGTCTCGCCGACGAGAACAAATTACAACAGAACAAATTGATTTTCATGATCGAATCAATCTCATCGGCTTCTGCTCAACCTTGAATCGAGGAAGACGGGCAGATCTCCCAAATCTGCCAGAACACTTGGGAAGTCGTCTGAGAGGCCGGGGTCCGGGAACCGTCAATCAGAACTCCCTCCTGGGGTTTCATCGACAGAAGAAACCGGGAACCGCAGCTGCTTTCTTGGACTGCATCTCCTTCATTCCTTTGAAGAAGTTGTGCACGTCTTCAGTGGTGACAACAGCGTTCGCTTCAGCCCGTTCCCGGAGGAAGTCGCCGAGGCAATTCTTCAAATTGTTGTAACCATCAATCATCTCGATCTTCTGCACGTGCCCAAGGCCGTTCAAGGCGTTCATTAGAGGATCGGGAGCTCCTTCACGCTTCTTCTCGCCCCGTTTTTCATACGCCCTCATGGTGTCGTCAGGCGATGGGAGGAACGAAAGCTTCTCTGTCTCATACAACGATGTGCAACCTTCACAGCGGCATAAGATTCGTCGCCATGACGTAGGCCAGACTGCTCCGGTTTCGGGCACCGACTCCGGCTCGGGTAGCCTCGAGAAAATGCAATGTGCTTCATCCTACAAATTGAGAATATGCGGTTGGTAAAAGCTTATAAAAGCATTCGGATGAATTCGTCGCCTGTCCATTGGCACGAAAATAGGAGAGGGAACTTTCGCGGTAGGGGGGGAACATAGATCGAGTTCTCGAGCATCGGAATCCGATGAGCCGAGATGGGAAGAACGAACCTTCTCGACGGACGACTTATCAGCTGGATCACAAATTTCTATTCGCGGTCGTTTGGCTATGCTCTCAGTCTCGACATCGACGGCCGAACCTAGAGACACGGATGAGCTCAGAGACCCAATGTTTAATTTGTACTTCCACAAAAACGGATGAGCCTTCATACACTCATCGCATATCAACTCATCGATCGAGTCGATGGCGACTCCCTTCAGACCAACGTGGTTAAGATGAAACCTGGAAGAAGAAAGACCTCGTTCATTTCACGTTCCTTTTTAGAAAGATGAGCTGATTCCAAGATTGAGATAAAAAAATAACATAGAGAATCCTCGGCCGCTCCGCATCGCTCACCAATCTTCACACACGACGCACTGCACCATTTCTTCGGGTTCCGTCCGTTCAGGATCCGGATATGGTCTAGCGCAACGGCAGTATTTCCCGGAGAAATTGTGATTGTAGAGATTATCGCGGTTCCCGGCAGACTTCGCCTGGAAGTTCCGTTCATAAGGTCGTGAGAGCTGACATCCGATCGCAGTTTTCTCAGAGACAACTTAAAAAATTAAACTACACTCACGGGAAACAAGGAGCATTTGAAGTCACCGAAGCGGTCGTTGCCACAATCGCAACGGAAGTTTCTCTTCGTATAGAGTTCGTACAAATCGTGCCCTTCGTGACAAGCGTACGAACAGGCGAGGCAAATCCCAGCTGGATCCTTTCCTGGAGGGGTGCACGTCGAGCAGGCATACAGAGCTTGACGGTCGACATATCCCTAGAAAAAGAAATTGAAGCGAAATTGAGCCATGAGAGATCTCTGTGAGAAACGAGGAGCTGAGACATTCAGAATCTATAATAGCTGTGAGATCTCGGTCGTATGCGAAACAGTACGCAAGAGCTGGTCAGTGTGGAGACAAAAGGCAGGGAACAAGAGTCTCCCACAATGGCCGAGAGGACTTTCAGTTAGACGTCGGACGACGGAATCGATCTATTAAGAGAGAAGCAGAATTTCGTACATGAGGATAGCTACAATTTTTTTCGTCGGATCCCCCTAAAACAGCCGCAGCGTCAGCTTGGAGCGATTCTTCTTCATCGAGCAGCTCTTGAAGTGTGACGCTCTCCTCTGTGGCTTGCTCCGCGCTCTGCTCGGCGTTTCCAGTCGTGGCCGCCGGGTCTGAACCTTGAACTCCCGACATGGTGGCTCTGTCACTGGCGTTTGAGCACTTAGACAGTTGCTATGAACCCTAGGCTCACGGCGCATCCTACAATGTCCGTCCTAAACAGGCGCCAAAATTCTCATCTGTTTTATGAACGTTAAGCAACGGACACTGACGGAGGGCTTCGCCCATCAAGATTCCAGCCTCTGTGTTCTGGGCCCGCGCACTAGCTCGATAGCCACTCGTATCCTCGTTAAGATTCTCTCGGCGAACGCGCTCAATCGATTAGCGTCAGAAGATCGTCCATACACGATGTTTCGCGAAGAGTTTTCACTCAGTCGTTTACGAGCACTAAACGACGGACTGTCGGATTCTTGCGAAGCTTCCATTCCGTGGGCTACAGCCCAACATCCCCAGCAAGCTCCTAAACGCAGAAGAGGTCAAAAAAATACCTGTGCTACTGTTGAGTGAGCCGCTGTTGCAGAAAGTTCCATCTTGACTCCGCGATGGAATCCTGCAATGCCGTCGAGAAGGAGGTCGATAAAGTCGTATCGAAACTCCAGAGTTTTAAGAAATACTCCAACACAACTATACAAGAGCTCATCGATACCATGTCTCAAATGGAGCAGGATTTCGAATCTGGTGCGTAGCTCGATTTGATTTCGGAATTCCTTCGCTGCAGTACTATTGTCGGGACGGGCTCTCGGAATTGTGTGACCGGAGCGACATGTATTCGAGTAGGGTCCACTGCCAGGTTTTTATGAATGCCCCGAATCGCAGTAGCAATTACAGCTGTTCACGGGATCACTGGTCGAGTTCTCGGCTCAGCGTCGAGCGTCTCTTCCGTCGTCTCGACCGAGACTAACGAAAACAATTCCAAGCAGGTAGCGATGTTGAGATGACGGAAGGTCACACATTAGTTCTTAAATCGAGTATTCAGAAAATCAAAGACGTGACTACAGCGCTCACAAGTCAACACAGGGAACTTCATGGAACCGTTTCCAGAGTTGGGAAAGCCATTGACAAGGTGAGTTGACGATGAGAGTAAACTGCAGAAATCGCTTACTTAGGCTGGAAACTCGGAAGTCCATCATAGCATAAAGCTTAGGGAGCGGGGTCGCATCTGGAGCGAGGTTCGAGGTGGTTGGCGATGGGTTTCGTCTTCGATTGTCTCCCCTCGGAACCGGAGTTGATCGAGACTCTCGGGTTCTCATCCTGTCCCCAAGCCTGATGGAACGCGAAACTTCCTCTCAGCAATCATCGTTGAACGTGGCTCCACATCGGTCATCGGACCGGATCGATACTTGGGCTGAGATACTCCTGGGGATCCTAACGAGACTTTAAATTCCAGAACTTCTCGCCAGACTTCGCCGCAGCATCGAAGGAAGGCCTCTTCGAGGACGAGAAGTCCCTCGGTATGGTGAATCAAGTGGTCTGCGAGCACTTCCTCCGGAAGGGCTACCTCGATATCGCCGAAGAGCTCATGTCCGAAGCGAACCTTAAAATTCCCGAAAACTACAAGGAACCCTTCTCAGGTATGGAATCCCCTTGTTCTGGACGATCGGCGCCAGGAGCCGAATGGGAGCCCAGTCGCTCGTGCCGATGAGCCCCGCAGACCCGACTGACGACGCAGACTGCAATCATGCTTTTTTTTCAGAATTGAACACTATTTTGGAGTCGTTGCGACAACGGAACGTCCAGCCCGCGCTCCAGTGGGCCGCTGAGAATCGCACCAAACTGAGCGCACAAAGATCTCAGTTGGAACTGAAATTACATAGGCTGCAATTCCTTAATCTCCTCTCGAATGGGGCCACGCTCGCCGAGGCTGTCGAGTACGCTCGGCAACACTTCCAACATCTCGCCGAACGTCACCAGAAAGAAGTTCAGGCCCTCATGGGATGTCTCCTTTACATAAATAACGGCGGGCTCCAACAAAGTCCTTATGCAAGATTCCTAGACAATAGTCTCTGGACTGATATATATCAGGTGAGATCATCGTCCAGCTTTTCTAGGAGAAGCTCACGACGCGCGAACAGCTTCCCGACGCTGGCTCAGCTCGGGGTTCCGCGCGCTATCATCCTGACCTCCGTCTGCTTCTCGTTTGCAGGTGTTTGCTCGAGACGCTTGTGCACTCTTGGGTCTCTCCGTCGAAAGTCCGCTAACTGTTTGTGTTAACGCCGGATGCACAGCTCTTCCGTCCTTGTTGAGCATCAAGCAGGTCATGCAACAACGACAGGTGAACATGTGGTGCACCATGGATGAACTACCGGTTAGTGCGTTCTCGGTCACCGTCGATCGGCCTTGGATCACGAGGATCCATGATGATGCGGGATAGCGCATCGTGTGTACGGAAGTTCCTTGGCGCGTCGAGGGCCGAGACTGCCCCGACGCTTTGTGACCCATTCTGGCCGTATCTCGATGGGCGAAACCTTCGGTGAAGCCAATACGGCTTATTCAATTGCAGATCGAGATCCACCTGGGCCGGAAGTGCCAATTCCATTCGATATTCGCGTGTCCCATCCTACGTCAACAGAGTTCCGATCACAATCCCCCGATGAGACTCGTCTGTGGTCATGTCATTTCTCGGGACGCATTGCATAAGCTCGCTAATTCTACAAAGTAAGCTCCCTCAGAATAATTTGGTTCATTTTTCTTTTTTTCTTTTTGTATCTCAGCGGCGGGCATGAGGTGCCGGTCGCAAGTGATGAAGGAGGGGTTTCAATTTCTCGGTTTTCTCTCCGCAGGCTGAAGTGTCCCTACTGTCCCATCGAACAAAATCCGAACGACGCGCGTGAAATCCATTTTTGAACAACACCATTGACCCGTCTGCCGCATTGTTCGTTACCATGTACGTGTATCACCACTATAGGACAAGCCGTCACGAGTCGTGGGAGAATCACCTCAGCGTCCTCGCTGTTTTGTTATGCTCGAAAGTGAGACGATGATGATTTGTACATTTGTGAGCTGTTCCGGATGCTCCGCGATTAAGCGTGGCCGAGATTCAGATTCGTGTGGGAGGGCTCCGGATCCAGGCGCCAGCGCGCGCCGTAGACAACGATCGTGAGTATTGAATGAATGCTGCTCGCCGCGACCATCCAGACGCCGAGGGATGCAAGCTCGATGGAGCCAGGAATCCACGCCAATTCTACAAGCAATCGGGAACCCGCAACACACATACATCTATACATACACATTTACTTATGGTGGAATATATATTTATGATATGATGGAGCGATTTCTCGCAGCATTATGAAAAAGGCTCTCATCGAGATATTCAATTTATCCCTAAAAGTGGAGAGTGGGAACCTTAATAAACGCGCCGAGTTGAGACCGCGAAAGCAAGTCCCTCATTTATTCCAGGGTGTCCGTCTCGCCCGGGGAAATCTTTTCCTTCTAAGAATGTGAGAACTATTACCGGGTGGCTGAATCCGGAATTTCCCAGACTCTGATTGAACGCTACCGGAATATTTTCTATATCCTTTTGCCAAGATTACAAAGTGTACAAAGACATGTCCGATCATGTGGGCAGTGAGTCATATACGTGCTGTTGAAAGCGGGGATACGTTCCGTAACTATAGACAGAAGAGGTCATGCGTTTCCTCATTTCTGAAGAGAAAAAGAGAGCTGGTGACACTCTTGGAAACATCCTAAGGAGCTCGGTAGCGTCCTCGCGGATCACAACATCACAAACAGCTGGCGAGCCGAAAGCCTCACGAGGTAACAGCTCTTTAAACGAGTGCCGCCGAATTACGAAGATAAGGATGAACCGGAGCTCTCTCCTCAGCTAATGCAACAGCTAGGCTGATCCACAGTGGGGGGCGGCACACGGAGAGGAGGGTTTCTGGAGCTTCGCGATCCAGATGCTCGCACTCCGGTCGGTCTCGGACTGCTTTCATTCAAGGAGGCTTGGATGGCTCTCGCCAATTCCTCGTCTTCACGCTGAAAGAATACATGAGCATGGCGTCATTCGAAGCCTGCCCCCGTCATGAATCCACCCCGCTCTCCCATGTGACCATCAGAGGGGAGCTTACGGCTGGGGAACTCACCGTTTGTCGCTCTATGCTGGCCCTATCCTGCTGTCTCGTCGCGCTGAAAGCAGCGTCGGGTCGACCCGCCTGCTTCTCGGTATGACACTCGTGATCCGTTGGGTGACGGTGTTTGAGGCAGAAATTCCGTCGACACTGAGCGCAACGGATAGGGACTATCTCTTTGTTTTTGCAGGTCCGCGCTGAGCATCTGTTAGTGTAGACTTTCTTCCCTGGATTCTTGCACATGTTGTCTGAAACAAAATCGAAGGGAGACTCCCTTAGATATCCCGTGAGAATGAATTTCGCAAGTGATGCGCGCTCAGAGTTGTGGCGCCGCGTATCCGTGGAGTACCGTAGGGCTCGGTCACTCACCCAGGTGTTGAGATACGGCGATGTCCGGTGGATCTCCTCTTCTGAAACCCGTCACGGGACAACTGCACATTGGGCATACGGGAACTTGCACGTCGTCCACATGCCGAATGGCACAGCCGTGCGATTGATAGCTGAAGTGATCCCCGCTAAGGGCATGAGAAAAAAATTCACTGAACTCTCCTGCCGAACATTTCTCCTTACATAGGGGACCACATGACAGTTCTCCGGAAACTGGCTGCTAGGAGGGCGTCGCGCGTCGAATGGTGCGCCTCATAAAAGAACTATGAAGTCGAGAGTTTTCACTCACCAGAAAGTTTTTGAGCACGCATCACACTTGATGGGGAGGAAATCTGGAAAGTTTATTACGATGAGAGCTCTGCCCGATGGATAATCCGTCAACAAACAGCTTTAGTCGGTATCGTAGAATTATTTCACCTATTCGATCTACAGCGAACGAAGGTTTTGTGGAAGTCACAACCGTCGAACGATAAACTATCGATGAGCTCTCAGAGATGAACTCCGTTTTCCGAAAGGATACCGTAGTGAGATGAGGAGTCGACCAAGTCTCTCCCGAATCTCGAACAACTGTAGTCATTCGAATGAATCATATGATCGATGTCAACATACCGAGGATTTTGCAACTCGTTACGGAGCAGTGTTCGCCCAAATGTGGGAACTCCATGCTTCCCCTGGCTCCGGAGCTGGCCAATGAGTCAACTCCCGGAAGAATCGGCGAATGTATCTGGCTTTAGAACAATGTGGGGTTTTCTCGAACAAGGGTTTCTGAGTCAGCTGTTTTGGGTTGGCATCCACTGTGCTTGGATGGGGTATGTGACGACGGCGTGTTGGTCGACGGCTACGCAATGTCAGGTTCAAATAGCAGGGCGCCTCTTGCGTATTGATGTGCTGGGATCGGGAGCGAGCTTAACTCGCGCGAGATACGGAACTATGCACGGTGGTTATTGCTCAAACTACAGAGATCGCGCGAGCCTGGAATCGAGCGGGAGCACGAATCGCGTCGAGGGATCGCGCAAAACAGAGAATCGCACAGGAACCAAAATCGTTCGACGAATGAAAACGAGAGTATTCATGGTAATTTGCTCTCCGTATCGAGAAAATCTACCGCTCGCGGAAGAGAAGATTAGTACATCGATCAATGTATTCGCAGCGACCCAGAACCTCTCGTAAAGCGCACTTGGCGTAGTACTTGGGCGAGCAGGGCGACTTTTCGCGAGACCTGAGTGAGACAGGCGAGCGCAAGGAATACCGACTCGCCTGAATCGCAGCCTATCGATCCCTCCTCCCCGATTGAGATTCGGTAATTTCGGAAAGCTTTTGGGAATCATTCGAGGGAGGGAACTCTCACACAAATGATTTCACTCGAGACTTTCTTAGATACTCATTCTCCGGTGTCGGTATCGGAAAAGCGTCAGAGACTTGAAATACTAATTCCTAGCGATCGAGTTGCATCCGGAATAGAAGCAAGATTTTATAATTTATCTCACACAAGAGCGTTTGAGGTCCCGCCGGCTCGATGAAGCGATCGAGGCACCAGGCGCGTCTCCGGCACGAGAATGCATTGATGCATTGGTATGGAATTCCACCTCATCCATTCCTCGGTCTCGATTCTAAGATGCGTCAGTTGGCTTTTTCAGACTAGAGACGCTTTCCCCAGTTCCTAAGCTTCGTGGTCGAATTTTCTTCATTCGTGGCTTCATGCGAACTCTCTTCGGGGAATCATCATCGATTCGCTGGAGCATCTCCTCCAGAGCCTTCAACTTCATTGCCTTCTCGGTTTGTTCCTTCTTCCGGTTTTCTCTGCGGATTCTTCCCCGAGAGCCCGACAAGCCACTCGAATTCTGATGGGAATAATTTGGCTCGAATCACTGAATATAGAGAGAGTGGTATAGCCGAAGATTGAAATCCTCTCGTTTGATTGGAAGAGGTAGGTACCGAACATCTCGGGCATGCCCCACACCCAGCTATCCACGCTCACCGAAGTCGATGATGACCCCGGAGCCATTAGCCGAGTGACCTCTCTGGCGATTTTCTGCATTCGCTGCTGCTTCTTCGGAGGAGGCTTCGCATAACATGGGGAAGTGCTGGAGTTCGGAGTGAACGACCTAATTTCCTTCGAAGCGAGATCGAAGTTCACCCCTTGAGCTTGTGTCTCCCAGAATCGTCCGAACATTCGCTTTTCTCTCGGCGTTCGCAGAATAGACTTCGGTTGAAACTTTACCTCGGGGCTGCCCGATGCGATTTTTCTACAGTCTGCGGGAGGATAGTTTCGGTCAGGAGCCCAAAAGTATCGCCCCGGATGACTCTCTGGACCGAAGTCAAATTTTTATAAATGAGTCTCTCATGACGGATCGTATGTCTCCTAAGCCATATTCTGTGCACCTGTGCAGAAGCTTTTCACCGTGTCTTTGACTTTCTGCCAAAAGTGTTTGAAACCACTCTCCTCGGTCGACGAGGATGATTCATCGCTCGAGCTCTCTTCGGACTCGGAGGAACTTCGTCGTTGTCTCGGGCGGTCTGACATCTTTCGACGATACTACGATGGGCTAGAACTTCAAATTTTGTCAACCAGCATGTGCGTACCGCTGCCCCAGCACTCAGCACGAAACAGCATCTCGACGTTCTCCCTAATGTCGGGATGAAGCTGTCCCGATATGAGTACTGCAGGAGAGAAACCATTGTGGATTGTGACCCAGAGCTCGATGAGACATCCATTTTTCCTTTCCTCTTTGTCAGAACATCGCGACTAGACATTATCCGTATCTGGAGTCGAAATGCTGAGAATGATTCTCGAATTCCCATGCACAGTCGAAGCTCAACCTTTGATTTACGGGCTCCGTCCCGGAGGATCGTTCGTATGTCGGAAAGTTCGTGTTCCTGTTCGACAATGTGATACTTCTGAATTGGTTCTCGTTCAATGCGGATGCGAAGTATTTTCTCTCCAAGGAAATACTTTGTTCGACCTCTATAGACCTCGGAGGCTTCCGCGATTCGAATCCACGTTCCCAACTCGGAAGATTTTCATAAAGATCGGAACGTCCGCAAGTCGGAGCGCGTTCGTGTCTGGCGAGTTCGACTGTGCACCTAGTGCTACAGATGCTCCCCCAACGATGATTTCATTCATTCAGGGCTTATACATGAGCATCGCGGACAGGAAATCCTGTGCGGCCTTTCCAAGCCATTCTGGCCTCTGATTGCAGCTCCAGAGCATTGAGTTCTACGAACGATTCGTCTCCCGAGCTTCTTATGCATTCGATGAAGTGTCAATATAAGCGATCATAAACGTGAGAAAATTCTCCTCGATCATACGGAAAATCGTTCCTTTCGCGAGGCCGCAACTCGACCGCAAAACCAAGTATCACTTACAATCTGTCCGTCAGACTCGTTGCTAAGGTGGATCGTGCATCGAAATTGTTTAGCGACCGAAACAGAGCTCCGTGTACCGCTTGTCAGCTCTTGAGTGGCATCAGACCTATGCTGATAGGAACAGTCACTGTTCGTCGTTAAGAGGATCCGAAAGACAGTCAGTGAATTAGCACAACGAATATATCTCGCCGTTCGTCAAACAGCTCCCATGGAAGTGCCCAATTAAGCGCTGTTCTATGTATTTGATCGACGAGAGAGCGACTCCCACGGAGGGCTGACCTCCGAAGCGTCAGCGAAACTCTCCAAGCGGTCACTGTGTCTATAAGTGGCGACACTAAATTTCCAACATGTCAGGATGTCATTCCCCCGTACGGCGTGAATGATGGCGACAAAGAGTCGGCGGAATAGAATGGCGGGCACCAGCAATGATTCATCAGTCAAGAGCAACGCTGTGTCTCATGTTCAAACACGATGGCTGATCAATCATCATTACTCTTAACTATAAGCTCGCTGCTAACCCTAATCAAAATGCAACAACAAAGAAACAACAGAACAACAATGAAAACGAGTGCTCCGAGGGAGCTGCTTGCACTACTCCGGGGCTGAGGTCGATTCCCCTCATCCTCTTTTTACGCAATCAGGCCGTTTCCGAATGAATGTCTGCGCAGACGAGTTCGAACTTGGGAGAATGTTCTGATCGGAGTCGGCTTTGCTCCGGACTTGGTCAACCTTCAGTTCGTTTGATCATGATCGAAGGCTTCTCCTGTTGCTAGGACGCCAGCTGTTGGAGTCGGTGCAAGAACAAGTGTCGCATATGTTGAATCAGATGGCGCTCTTTATTCAGTTACGAGGATTCCTCCGCCTTTTGATGGTAGCTCCCCGCATGGTGACAGGAGAAGGGGGATGGGGAAGGTTCTATCATTCCTGTTTGATGGCATCACTTAGTACACTTGCAGTCATTCCCACACTTGCAATTGCTACCGCATTTGCAGCTGCTGCCGCACTTGCAGTTGGAATTGCCGCATCCTTTGCCCTGGGTTTGGCCAGTGCAAGCACACTTGCCGCTGCAAGTACATTTTCCTCCGGATTGACAGTCGCACTTCTTGTCCATGTTGAGCTTCTTCGGTCTCGACTCTGTCGGCGTAAGTGAAATGGAACTTCAAGTTATGGAGCTTCGCGGAGAATCGATAAACCGAGGGGTCACTCGATTCCCGATCGGATCAGGTCCTTGTGAGTTTTGTTCGATAGTAAAAAACACTTATGTCGAGACGAAACATACGGAGAGCTCACCTGGCTAAAGCTGCTCGATTTGTTGATTGTTGTGACGGAGGATAAGTCGGAGCGCGATGCTTAAGAAGGTCTTGCTAGGTGGGAGAGGGTCAGACGTTGACGGTTTGTGGTGGCACGCGTGGGAGGCGCATGCGTGACCCGAGGGACCATGCCGGGTCTTCTCGTCCTCAAACCTCCTTTGGATTCTGCGGGGAGATCAGCACTTCGCCGTCCCCATCCGATAGCTTGACTGTGGGCTCTATCGGGAGTCCGAGATCCCGGCAATCAATAGAGAAAAGGGTCAGACAGATATCCGGGCAAGAGTCCGGTCTGCGAAGCCAACTAGTTCCCCTCTCGACGACCGAGGAATGGAGGGTGCTCTAGATTCTAGATTGCCCTGAGTGCGAGCTGAGTCGACTCCCCTCCCAGCTTCGTTCAAAAAAAGGAGATGCCACTGGCCTGGTTGCAGACTCATCATCTCCTTAGCGCTATAGCCATCCCCATAGACTCGTACCCGGCTCAATTTCCGAATGTTTGTTTCTACTTCTCTCCCCGCCGATTCGGATCGGGGGTCGGGGAGCTCACTCGTCCATGAGAGCATCCCTCCCGATCGGGGCCGAGGGAGCTCTGGCACCGAGCGCACCTCCGGTAGAATCGATCGCTGTCTACTCAGCGCGATATCGGAGACGCGCAAGTCAATCTATATATCAGAGCTCGATCATGCGCCGTCATCGTGGGATGATTGTAGTATTGTGTTCCATTCTCCGATGACGTATGACACCGGGAAATGACCTGAAACGGCGATTCTTCCGACATTCCTGACTGCAGTCATCAGGCCTACGGGGCATGCTCTCCACCGCTTCGCTTTCACTAACACGACCTCGGGTCGCAACTTGCGTCTCGACTGGAGCATCGGGGAGTTCTACTAAAGGACTTCGGCGTACGATGGGAAATGAGAGGTTTCTCGAGATTCAGATGATCCAGTTCAGGGTCTTGTGTCTTTTGCCTCTGCACCATGTTTTGCTGCGAGAGCAGAGATCGATCGGGAGACCGATCGAGGATCAGCTCTCGTCAGCTGAGCCTCAATATCCGCAAAGGATCAGGTTTCTCGCACACTCCTTACGCTGTTCGGATATCGAGTTTCTCGCTGGTGTCACGGAACCCGAGTGACCCGATGACTTTAGAAGATGGTTTTGTGAAGTGAACTCCTCATGGGACCTACGACATGACTACCGACGTCGATTCGCTCTGCACGGTACGAGCATGATGTTAGATCGGTGGCATTCGGCTCGAACCGGCTTCGTAGGGTCGTGTGGATTCGCTCAATCGTTCACGGAATTCCGCAATCCGGTATAAAAAGGAACCACTCTCCGATGCGCACATCTGCGTATCCTCTCATTAATAACGCGACAGTAGGGAGGATGGTCACTGGTGCCGTGTGCAGAACCTCAGTGAGCCGTGTGCAAAAGGAGCGTGGCCAGTGAGTGAGAAGCACTCACGTACCTTCTCGCCACCCGTCACCCGTTCTGACTGGACTCATTCAGCATACAGACATGGAGCGTCCGGCATCCGAGGCGACCAGAGCAGCAAATGTACAGAGAGCGACACTCTAATTTATTAGATGGTCGCGAATTCGACGATCTAGCTCCGGGCAGAAAGATTCCGAGCTTTTACACGAACTTTCATCTGAATTCGAATGCACTCTCTGGAATCTTCCCATTCGCATCCAGAGCAATTCTTTAGCAATTGCCCTAATCTATTCCAGGGAGCCGTGAAGAAAAATCACTCAACATTTATTCTCGAGCCGCCCCGACACAATACTTCCCCTATCAACGACCTTCTGCCGCGCACAGCTGCCGGAACAGAAGTTTCGCGTCCCAGACTGCGGGTCTTCCATCGGGTCATCCATTAAAAGAGCGAGCTCTGTGATCTCTGGGGTCCAGAAAGACCCCGGGGTTGGAATCGAACGAGCCCGGATTAAGACGACCATAAGAGCTCAATACAAGAAACAGAATCGGAACCTCGATGAAGAGCATCTGTGGACTCAGAATCTTCGCAACAGACTCTCCGGGCGGATTTCCGCCTCCTTATGGGTCGAGTGAATATTGTGGACCTCGCATGGAATCGGAACGCTACTGTGCTGATGGCCTCCGTAGAATGCTCCGTCGATACGCCGCGTCGAGAGACACACGCATACAACATGGGAATTCCTCGGATATGATATACAGTAAACTCCGCTCAGTGAGAACACATTGGGAAGGGCCATCTCGATCCGAAAAGATCCGATTATCTGGAGCCGGAATCAATGAAGCCCACTGGATCAACTCTTCTTCATAGCTGTCCGGAGCGTCTTCGAATGATGCTCAGAGTCCCGAGGACTTAGGAGATGCAACGATTCAGCCATCTTATGCACGCATATTTTCAGTTATTGACCGAATCCCCGACTACAGGCCTCTCCTAATGTTTTGGCCGATCTATTGACTAATTGGGGCACAGTTTTTCCGACTTTGAATAAACCGGATACTGTAGGCAGCGCTTACCGCGCACCGTTAATTCGCTTCCCGAACGGGAGAGTCGCGGTCGGCCGAACTTCTATGTGCGCGAATCTGCCCAAACTTGGACAGCTCGGAACTCGGAGCGTGGAGACGGATTCAGATGGACTTCGGTTCCCTTTACTCCGCCAATCTTCTGCCGACGCAAGGGTCCGCAGCCGAACGCGATCGCGAAGAAAGAGAATAGCGCTGCTGAAGATCACTAGGAGCCGCCGGACCTCGTCCTCCAGTTCATTATCTTCTCGAAACGACGATTTGCGATGCCCGGAGAGTCGGCTCCCCCTAACTTCAATGCTGCCGACAGAATCCGCAACTTCCATAGAACCGGCAAAAGAGCACAGGAGCGGTAAGACTGCCCGAGCGGCGCGGTTGTCTGGGCCCCGAATTCCCGTGAGCGCCTGCGTTGCCGGAACCAATCTCGAATGAATAACTCATCTGGGGGCGTCCCTCTCTTCGTCCAGATCCGAAATCTCCTGAGCTCCCGAAGAATGTGTCCTCTAGAGTTTCATTTCCGGGAAGATGGACTTCCGACGGCGACCGTCGATCAGAATCGAGATCAACGATCCCTTCCGACCTAATCGCATCGGAGGCTGATTGGGAAGAGTCAGTTGTCAATGAATCAATCATTGGTCTCTGTCTCGTTTGCCTCGCTCTGGCATCGATTTTCTGGCTGTATTTGATTTCGAGAAGAGCGTCAGCAGGTATTTGGCACGGCTCACACTAGCACATCGTCGAGATACAGCTTACCATGGAGGAGGTGCTGCAGGGGACCACCGGCCGGTGGGCGAGTTTCTGCGATCACTCGTCTTCTGGTCCAAACTCGAATGGGTCTTACTACTCGATGAGATTATCAGTCAGCGATGACACGAGTCCGATTCTTTCTCTGCAGGGAAAAGAACGACAATGCCCACTTCATCCGAGACGACTAGAGTCGCCGAAGGTTTGGAGAGCTAGATTTTTATCAACCAACTTTCACGTCTTCCGATGAGGAATTCATCAGAGCTGATTCGCTTCATCGTGACGACGGAGAATAGCGAAGAACAACACTCATTGATTTCCAGATAAAAGAAGCGCAACCGGAAATTTAGCACAGTGTTTGGGATTTACTGTTTCTCATCTCAACAAGACGGACAAAAACAGATACAATCCAGTTTATCCGATGGATGCATTAACCTGGAGTGGCTACGGCTATAAGGACTTTGGATTCCGAGAATTGACCAATATCTACCGCGAGGGTCCTGTCAATATTCACGAGGAAGGTGCGCCGTGACTGATAGAGATGGTTCTCATCAAACTTACGGTCCTAGCGACCCGTAGCCCTGGTATAAGAAGATGAGAACATGGAATGAATTCTGAAGAGTCTCTCATGGCTTCCAGGCTCGGAGTCGTATGCATCCGCCTCCGTTTCGATCAATGATATCATATACAGTGGATGGTTCAAGCCCCAATCCTTCGAAGGATTCACCGCCAAGTGCACATTGAAGAAGCTTGTCTTTAGCTTCAATGTGACGCTTCCTGAACGGAAGACTATTAGGACTCGTGTGAAAGGCTTCCGCGTTAGTTCCTGCTGCGCTCATTTCATAGACGTCCATACACCGAGCACTTAATTTGATAAAGTGATATAAATGCCGCATCATGCTTCAGTTCCCGTCGGATGACGAGTGGCAGAAGATGATCACGATGAGCTCTTGTAAAGACTCAATATTCAAGATTCGGAGGGAGAATCGAGCTCCGACTATGAAAGTTTTGAGAGGTTGGTTCAAATACCACATCGAGGAATACGTGGCTTATGCGTTCACGCCACCTCTGGAATATTGTTTGAATAAAAAAGCGCTCTGAGCGGCAATGATCATCTTTTTATTCCCGCCTGTGGTTAGGATGTTCGCAACTTTTTCATATTGTCAGGACGAATCGCATGATTCGGGACCAAATCAAGCGGGAGCATACGAGGTTCTCCCCATCGAGTTGAGGGCAAGGTTCCATAGCTTCGCCACTCGATTCGCAGACCGAACTTGGCGGGAACATCGAATATTGAATCCGGAAAAATGGGCTGTGGAGCACGGTTTTGTACTCGAAACAGGACGTCCGCGGAGTTTCACAATGGTCACAATTGTGACCTGAACGTTCAGTTGATCAGAGCCTCGCTTCAAATCTTTTGTTCGATCCTCTATCAGTATTGTCGGAAGGGATGCACACTCACTCACCGCAAACTGCTATGGGACCATTCGAGGAGAAACTCTCGGGGCACGGAGTTTCCGTCTGTAGTCTCTAACAGCAACACGCCTCGGGCAGGCTCTGGCGGATTCTAGCTTAGCAGCGGAGTTCAGTGCTAAACTCAGCCCCGCTCCGGTGCTTTCTTCTACCCCGCCCCTGATATCTTTCGATTCAGTTGATTCGCAACTTCCCGAGCAATGAAGGGGAGTTCTGGATCCCCAGCATGATTCGCCGATCCTTCGATTCTCTCGTTCCATTGGAAGAGTCCGGATCGGACGATTCACTCTGAGGAGCTAAAAATGAGCCGGGGTTAGATGTGAGCACCCCGCTCATAATGTCCGACCATTCGGCGCGGACTGTATGCGTCTCCCGACGCTGACGACAGAAGATCGACCTTGATCGGAGTTTCTCTGAAGGGACGCTAATTCTTCGGGAGGCTGCTTACTTACAGCTGCTACAGCCCTCGTCGCTTGCTTCATATCGAATAGAGCCCGAGAGATGATTGAGCGATTATATCTTAGCAATCCCCGCCGCCCGGTTCCCTTTCGACTCTCGACACGACAGCTCTAGTTTACGCGAGGAACTTCCCCCGCGGTCGATCTTCTTCTTCCTGACGCAACTTTGTCGCTCTAATGGACCCACACTGAGTTCCCGGAGAATGTCTCCGCAGACCTTCCTCTGCTCTTGATCGCGAGGCTCAGACGATAACCTCGCCGAATCAAGCCGCTCGAAGCAAAGTCCGACCACTTTCACCCGCTTGAAGTTTCATGTGCACCACCCCTCGATTGGCGACGAGGCTACTCGAAGGTCGGCCCGCGGGCGATATCAGGCTCGAGAAATCCACCTCTGTCTTCTGCCACAAGCAGCTCTGATTCCCCCTCACGCTCCGAGAACTCGCGATTCTCAGAGCGATCCCGACCGGACACCGTGACCGTCACCCGACTGGATCGGCGATCACCTCGAATCAGGGATCGACAGTACCTAATCATGGTACTCCGGCAGTCCTACAGAATCGTACACCGGTGCTTCCGGCGAATAACGAAGACAGGTCCCCCTTCCAATGAAGGGAACCGCATGACATTCTCGAGTAGTCTTGGAACCTTCCTGATCGCTGAGGGTTCCGGTCGTATGATGTGATAATTTCCATTTGTACCCTCAAAAATCAGTGTATCATTTCCTCGGGCACATTCTGGCCCTCACTCTGATGAGGAGTCACTCGGTCTGCAATGAGATTGTTCCCACTTCAAGTCTGCGATATGAAGCAATGTGCTCCCAAACTCGTGATGAGATGACGTCAACGCGCTTACCTGATCGGTCAGGAAGAACTCCATGGGCTCGACTGAATTTGCAGTTTTCGCTTTTTCGGAATCTTCCGGAACGATCACTTGCTCTCGGAATATATCGGCGCGGTGTGCAACCGAGCGGTTCGACCGACTTGTCGAGTACGGGTAGCGACTGCTGCGCGCGATCCCTGTCCAGCTCACCTGATTCGCACCCTCTAGACTAGCCGCATCCTTTGAGAGGAACCAACAATCTCCTCCAGCCTCCTCGAAGATGAAGTTCTTTCTGATGATTGTGCTCTTGTCCGTCCTGATAGGTGAGTCCCGAAGTTTCGGTTGAATGAATGAAACCCGTTTTTTTGGCTGGTCCACCAGCTGCAAGACGCGCTCCGACTTAACCTGAGCGGACAATCGTTTCCTGTTCCGATCCATTTCCAGTGGTGGTATTCGCGGCTTACGGGTGTCCATACAAGCAGTCTGAATGCCGGAAGCACTGCGATTCGGTCAAAAATCGTAAAGGAGGCTACTGCAGTGGCCGTGATCGGACTACCTGCAACTGCATAAAAACCGCACGATGAACGCTAGCATTCAGTTCTTTGAATAAACGATGTAAATATCACACGTCATGAACAGCTATAATTATACAGGAAGCTAGAGATGGATGCGGAAGAGGAACAAATATCTCTCTCCCTAAAGAGGAGTGAAGGTTGAATTGATTCGGTTTAGCGGGATCCCGATCTACTCGAGCTCGTCTCGAATTTCAAGCGGAATCATTGACAGATAGCTTGATAAGATCTTCCTTATCCTGACCGGGAAACGTCTTCGAGATTGCCGTGCGAATAGACATCGTCATTCGCGCAAGGTTCTCCGAAAACCACCTGTAGCTAGCGTCTGGGACACTATCGCGTAGCGTGGAAAGTCTCCGCGTTGCCGATCGAGCCCATCTACACATATGCATATCCATTACGCAATCCCGATGATCATCCCGGACTCCATTATTCAAGTCTTGTGCTCGGCATTCAAGGACTAGGTCCTGTATGGCGACCACGGCGCGTCGATGAGGCAGATACCTTATACCGGGAAAATTCCCCGTGATAGATTCTTCCCACTCCGCCATCGCTCACTTCTGAACTATCCTATCGAATCCCCACCGACACGTGTGAAGATATGGAAGACTGATGATTGTATAGATTTCGACCGTTGGAGAACCATGTCGAGAACTTCGAGAGGATGAATAATAATACAGGATTAATGATCATATGAGTAGGGCTCGAGTCTCGTCACAGGCCTCGGAATGAAGATTGAACCCCGAAACGATTCTCCATACGAATAAATTCTATCGGAGCCGCGAACTGCAGTGTATTCCCGGGCTCAGAAAGGCCCATTGGGAATCATGCCCTTACTTACAACGGAAAGTCAACGCAAACCCTATTTGATCGGTCGCATAGAACAGCATGTACTCCCTCAAACTTCTCGTGGGACTTGAGCGCCGGAGTCTTCGGGCACCAGAACGGGGCTTCTTAGGAATGAAGTTCAACCGAATCAGACCACGAAGTGGCGAAAAGAGTGGTCTCGGGGAAAATTGCGGGATTCGGAAGGGACTATTCACGAGATACGCTCGACCAAGCTTCGACTCCATCGATGAGGAGCTTAGAAGCGATGTTAGTATGGGGGATGGCTCGAGATCGATTCCGAGAAGTGCATGGGCGCTGGAAACCCGCACCCCCCGCAGTTTGCCGCGGGGGAACGCTGGATTCTTGGATCTGTGTGCGCTGAAGAGTCCCTGGATTGGGGTTCGTAGGAGCGCGGTTCCCCATACTTATCACAAGCTACGAGGCTCGCGAGAAGAGATCGCAGGGTCTTCTCCTGCATGCGTGTCTTGAGCCGATAACGGACTCTGACAGCATATGTCTCGTCTCGCTTGACCCCGAATTTCATGATTTGAGGGAACCATCCCACACAAGCACGCATCTTTGGTTCTTGCGGGAATATCCTAGACGTCCTAGACAAAGCACCGAATGAGAAAAAGGTGCGCGAAGTAAGTGAACTCATGGAGCATGACTCGGAATCAGGTTCCCTTCTGAAGGCCTTCAATATCCGCCCCGGCTGCCCCCGGAGAGCTTGACCAAGCGAGGTTGGAGGGAAGACAAGGCTATTAACGACACAGAAATATCTCATGATATTTATTGGATAATGTATCTTCCCTAAATCCACGCTCCCTTCAATGTTGCCTATGTTCGAGATTTTTCTGAGAGAGCACACAACTAATTCCAGCCGTCTTCATGTGAGATGATCATCTAAACAGAGGATTTGCATCCGAGAATGAACGGAGTTTGAATCGGTATAAAAGAACGCTCACCCGCCAACAGAAGATTCAGCCGGTCAGAGAAAACGTATCGGTATCCATAAGAGCTCCGCCCTGATATAGATTTCAAAATGGAATTCATAAATGAACCGATCATGTGTAGGAACACGATTCTTCAAATTCTCCACGTCCGTGCCTCGCTGAAAGTCAATGTCATGTCCTCTCTCAATATGTCATCAATATCGATGCATTTTGGTTTCCCTCCGTTGCCGCACTCGTTGATCGCGGCAATAATCCACTAGTGTGCATCACGACGAGGATACTTTTGATTTTTGATTCAGACTCCAATGGGGGCCGTCGCCTGGCGGCCTTCAATTGCAATGAGAAGATATGAAGAGCTGTGATATTTACATAAACATATTGCCGGGTTCCTCCATCGATAAATGAAGCATCACGGCAACCTCTCACGAACATTATTCATATTCTGATTCTTCATGACCCTAACATAACGACAACCAACGCGAACCTCCTCGACGCTCGGAAGTTCCTTCCTCGAAACTATTATTCTCTTTCGCTCTCTTGGATGAATCAACAGAATACAAAGGAGTCCCGGGACTCCCAACGATCGCTGAACGAGTTTTCTCCCTCGCGTTCCTATTCTTTTTCCTTACGGTTTCTCACGGACTGATCCACCTTCCTCACGCGCAACGTGTCCTATTGTCGTATCCGTCGTCTGAGTTTTGCCTATCGCAATCCGATTGATTGAGTTGCGTTGGGAGACCGCTCTCTATTTCCCGTCGATTCGTCGTAGCATGCCCATTCAACACTGTTTACAAGACCCCACCATGTGTGGCAACAAATAACATTGTTTCATAGATAAGCTGTTCGACCAGGGGATGCTGGGGGTGACTTGGAAATGAGTGATTTTGTGTTGGACTCCTCAGGGAAAAAAAAATATCATCAATCAATGAACGATTCGAACAAATATAGAATTGAGGAAACGATCAAGGAGCTCAGGCCATCGCTTGACAAAGAGCATGCTTCCCTCGAAATATGTGGCAACATGAAGTCGAAGCAACATAGACATTCGCTCGTTCGCTCGCGCATGATGATCATTCAATCGTCTAGTCTTCCTGTCGATCCCGTCTCGACTTGTGAGTGAGATACGAGCACTGTAGCACTGATCTGCGGATCAACGAGATCACGTGTCCAATACTCATCTGAAGCAACCAAACGGGGAAAGGGAAGAAATTGGGAATAAACTCGCGGTGTCAGTGAACCGCGACGTCACGTCTTCGGCGACAATCGAACGGCGAACCTCGAAGCTCTGCCGAATAGCCAGAGTCGAGTGCCTAAGTTCGATCGGATATCTATTTGTTCACTTAGTCAGGTGCCTTTGCTTGCTTATTGAGATAGAATAGTATGAATCATGTGTGGATCATCGATAAGTAAGTGATGAACTAAAAGACATAACTTGACCAGTGACGAAAATCATCCATCCAGTTGACCTCCGTTTTTTCGTGGCAAGCGTCGCGAGTCGCGGGGGAAATGATCATTGGTACCAAGAAGTTGATCAATCGTCATCGGGCGACCGAGGACGAATCGGGTTGGCGATAAGGGAAAAAAAACATTGAACAGACTCATTGAAGTTTTTATATGGCACATTCCTGTTTCCCTGATCGGACCAATATCCGAGGATTACCACAGCGGTCTTGAGAACGTTTTCAAATTCGAGTCACCAAGAAGGAACACCGAGAAGAGAAGCACAAGGCATAGGAACAATGATACTCTTCGTTCAGATTGCTTATAAATGGGAGCTGGGAACCGGAGATCGAATCAAGAAGATCAGGAGAGGGTTTAAGGGAAGTCCGAATCTCTGAACGAGCCCTAAGAGCTCTGCTGGGACTTTTAATGAAATATATTCCGAGTTATACTCCCTTGCTCCATGTGCTCAACCCAGATTGGTAGAGTCAGATCACGAGGGGAGAAGCTCTCCTAAAACCCTCCCGAGCTCATTCCGCTATCGGAACTCCCTGAACGGAAGGCTTCCCGGCGGTACGCGCCCCTGGAAGAAAGGAGCTCGCGAAGGAGAGTTTTGCTCACTCTTTCTTTTTTTGGTGCAACCGTGTCGATGACGCGGAGTCTCGAAGGGACTTCTCGATGCTTCTCCCTGCTCGCATTTCCTCCCGAACATTAGAAAACATAGCAGAAATAAAGTATCGCGGCTCTATATGCACTATATATGGCCGGCTGTCGGGGGTGCCAAAGAAAAGGGGGATGAATCAGTGAAGAACAACCTTGGCGATCGGGCTACATCATCGTCATTCCCGTCAGACTTCTACAATAACTATCATAGTCTCCATCGTCGTTGTTTCTCTCCGTGTCTACGCTAGGGAATTCATTCAAAATTACGTGTACTATAAATATGTTCGCTCCTCGTCCCGATCCAGACAGATCAGTGTGTGGAAGATGATGGCCTCGCTTGAATGTGTATAGGTGTGTCTCTCGATGTTCATGTGACATGAACGGTGTCTTTCCTTTCTATACGGTGGCTGGTAAGAGCGGCTATATCACAGTGAAATATACAGTAAAGGATTTGGAAATCGAAGTATTTGATAACAACACACGGACCACTAGTCGTTGCTGCAGCTTCTGTGTTTTTCGCTGATTTCGCTGTCGTTGTGATGAACAATCGTCGATTCAGCCGCTGCTGCCGCTGCTACCGGTGTGAGAATCGAGAAGTATCCGATCAACAGAAGATTTCTTTTTCTTCTTCAAGATCACGACGTGCATTCATAGCTGTGGAATCGTCGACCGTGTTGGCCCGCATGAGCATTGAACTTGGTGAGCAGGAATCAGGCACCGTACAGGACCCTGCTGTGCCTTGTATTGCTGTCTGTTGTTGATGGAGATGCTGCTGTTGCAGATGGTTGTGTGCAGAAATCGGAGGTTGCGCATAGTGAACCTTTGCGGGACTGGAGCCTGCCCTTACGTGGACGGGCGACGGAGCGGCCTGGGAAGACGCACTGTGGGAGCGCTGCGGAGGACCCCTCTTCGCCAAATGCAGCGGAAGTACCTGTTTCGGGGGAGAATTCTGAGGCTGCAGCTGAGGCAACTGGAGGTCTTTCAACTGTTGTTGCTGTTGCTGCTGCGGCGGCTGTTTCGAATGATGATGATGATGGTGGTGATGATGATGTCCAGGTAAGAAATGCGACAGACCCGTAAGGGCGGCCGGAAGCGAATTCGATGAATGACTTTCTTTCTCTTTCAGCTGCGGTGCGGGAGGTGATCCGCGGCGGATCCTCGAACTCCCCGTCGATGCAACGGACGAAGCGCTCGGAGACACCGACCCAGATTGTGGTCCACCCAGGCTGCTGAGATGGAAGGGCAATAATGAAGTCGTGGATTGAGAAGAGCGCATGTCGAAAGGCATGACTGACAGCATCGCGGGAGCCATCAGGTCTACAGAAGACACTGCGCGTCCCTGAAGAGAGCCCCTGAACGAAGAGAACAACCAGCAACAAACCGGTTAGTGAATTCAGTCTCTTGTGAAGAGCTAGTCGGGACAATTTCCCACTCATAGTATCAGATAAGGGATGAACCATTTGAAGGGAGGAGGAGGAAAGAGCAGGGGAAGGATTAGTGCCCTAGCCAACAATCCGCCCGATTTGTCAGGGGAGCGACTCGATTAGATTGTATTCCAATCGACATCGCTGGACTTGCCGGAGAGCCTACCTTGGTGAATTCTCAACGCTCGGAGGAGATGAAACATGTGTAGTCTGTAGGATCGTTTGTTGCGAATGCTGTGTGGAATGCAGAGGAGATCCCTGTTGCGACACGGTTGATGATGAGATAGGCAGCTGACCGATCTCTCTGGTTTTATCTAATTTCTCCAATCTCCTGAATAACCAGTCCCTCTGTTGTTCTATATCTTCTTGATCTCGTCTTATTTGCTCCTAGAAAGTCAAGTATACGCATCATTACCCAAGAGCACGGCGATGCGAGCATCGTAATGAGGGAAGAACAAAACAAAGAAGAACTGGAAGCCATGCTCCTATGTCGAAGCTCGCAAGGATTCGTCACAGTCAACAAGCAGCCGGTCCGGTCGAGACTTGCAGAAAACTCCCTTCGCAGGCAGTCCATTCTTGTAGACGAAGATTTTCGACTGGATAGCTGCATTGATGGAGAGAAGATATCCCCCACCCCTCCTCCCACCCGTGGCAAGGTAGACCTCTTCAAGGTCACACTTTCGTTGCCTCGAGCTCGGTCGTCCATTCAATTTTAGTAAATTGTAGCATCGCAATTAAATTAAGGAAAAAGGTCATAGGGGCAGTAACTCGTTTAAGTTCCTGGTGGGCGGGGAAGGAAGAGGGGGATTACGTCACGACATCGGGAGCAACAAAAATAATGATAAGTAGGTAGTCATTATTGTATGAGTATTATTCACGTCGTCTATGTAGATACTCAGGATCGGGGAAGTTCGGAATAGAGTTCGAAACTTCGAGGAGGAGAAGGAGAAGGAAGGCAACAATCGAGACTGGGTTATGGAAAAGCCAAGGGTCGAGATAGAGGGGGAAGAACGATAGAAAGACGACAGACAGACAGATGAAGACTGACCCTGTCACCTGACAGTGAGCTTGGTTCTTGGGGTTCTGAGTTTGAGCCTGTAGCTCGGCTTGTTGTTCCATAATCCTTTCCTGTACGACGTCGAGCGAATATAGGGAAGGAAACAAACGGCACACGGCACGGTTAGCCTGGGAACATTTCTTCGATTCTCAACGAAGACACCTGTTAGAAGCTTCCACACCTGCTTTCGGGCGAGCGTCGCTGGCTCGAGACGTCAAGGGCTCACCTGAAGCTTTTCGATTTCTTCCCTCTGACGCGCGAGTTGCTGACGTTCTGCTTGGCACTGCTTGTGCCATTCGGTTCGTTCCTGGGTGAGCTGTTCTTGGAGATTCCGTAGCTCTTCGAGCTGAAGGTCCGGTCGGTAAGACTGTTTCCGAGGGTTGCGGCACTGCAACTGCTCACTCATCTCCGTGGTTTGCAAGCGTAAACTTTCCATCGAAGAGGCGCTCTGACAGTAGAGGCACTGCGGGAGAAATACGTCGAACCCGATTGTTAGACCCAGCCTTGTTCTTATCGCCCAGCCCCGATTTTCGGCTCTCGTAATTCTGCCTCACCATTACAATCGAAAGATTATGAGTTAGATCGGAGATGATCTCTAGTTTTTCTCGTGGATCGTTCGTGAAGAACAAGGGCGTCGGCGAGAGTCCCTCGAGTTGATGTAGCGGCAACGGGGCGGGAGGAGCATCCTGGGTCGAATCGGATAAGCCTGGGTTGTCCAGGCCGGTTACGCTGCGTCGCTGGAGTGACTTGTCCTGAGGATTGAGGGGAGTTAGACGGGAGAACTCACTACTTCGACCCACGAGTAGGGGAAAAACGTGAATTCGCGGGAGAATGAAACTTCGACGGTGGTGCCACGCGGAGGCCATTGGGAGTGCTCGTCTCGGCAAATCAAATGACGTGTGGAACGAGGAATCGTTGGCGCGAAGTGAAAGGAAAGTTTCCCTGATTGAAGCCAAAACTGAGGATGGGAGCGAGTTCAGAACGAAATCATTACTCGGAAACGAAAACAGTTAGCCACGGGATGCAAGGTTAAGGTCAGACAGCTACAGAGTACAGCTTACAGTGGGGAGAAGACTTTCAGAATTAAAGGGTAGTGGAGCGCTCAATCGACGCGTCTCCAGGCCCTGAACATCCGGCGTAGGCGCAGCAAGGGAGAAATTTCCCAGATTAGAATTTTTATTTTCCAGAAGTATCCTCGAGGAGACCTAGCGAGGTAATCTAAATCCTGATTTCAAGATTCTAGAATTCTGAAGCAGTGATAGATCCTTAGAACGTCCATTGAGGAGGGTCTGTCCCTCCTCAATCACGTCTCTGACGCTCTCGCCGAGGGAGAATCGCAGAGAGTCCCCTGTGGGGAGCTTGATACTGACCTTGACCTGCAAGTGACATTCTGGGAATTCCCTCGAAGTATCCTTTTTGGTCCGTTCTTTTGCTGCTGCACTTTCGGCGCCGATTAGGAAGAGCTTTTTCTTTATCGCTGCGCATGGATAGAAAGTATACGTTAGCGCCATATTTGGCAAAGGATTCCAGGCCTACCGGCGGTTATCCCTACATGACATTCACTAGTGGTGGTGAGGCCAAAGTCAATCTCTAAGAGTACTTCTGAATGTTCGACCGGGAACACTAACGCGACGATTGCTTCAGGTGGAACTTCCGCATTTTCATTCTCGTATACGGAGGATCCACCTCTCTGCGAACCACTCCTGCAAATACTCCCACCTCCAACGCTAAAGCAGTGCCTTTCCTCAATGTTGGAACGCACGATTTGCCTCGAGTGATTTTCGCAGACACTATCCTCTATACTCCGGAACGCCCTCACTACTCGGGAAGATGGCAAGCTTCCACCTCCCTACTTTGCTACGGATAAACATTGACGGAACGTCTAAAGCGGAAATCCAGAATTTACAACTTTCAAATTGCCGTGCAATTGTAAAGTCTGAGTCGGTTTCTACGCGAGGACACCTGCCCCCGTACATGGAGTCGATCATCATTCACAGTTATGGCAACGCCGCGGAGGCAACTTCTGCCTTGAAAGCGACTGCATCTTCATTGCAACGGAGAAGCACACGTGATGACAAAAAGAAAAGGGCGCAAAAGACAAAAACCGGAAACGAGGTCGCTCTCTCTCCACTCGTGAAGTAACAGGTGTGATCACTGTTGCCAAACACTGAGTAGCTTAAAGCTCACTACAAAAGCAAACCCACACTCGAGCAAGCCCACACAAAATCATCTCGTCGTCGACGTCGTCTTCTTCTTACCAGTCAGATATGGAGGCAGTCCTGACGGAGCACCACCTGGTGTTTAAAATGTTTCAAAAATCTTTTCTCAGAGCACGCTGGGTGAAACCGAAAAATTGCATCTCTACGTCAAAAAAAAAGTCTCCCTTGACGGCGACTTGATTCAGAAATCGCAACCACCACGGCGAGAATCTATCACTACGAGCCTAAAAAGGGAAGCTCTATCCTACAGCGAAATTTCTTCGTCGAGTTGCGCTACCTCGGTCAAGCAAGCTCAGACTAGGATCCTTACCTTTCATTGCAGTTGCGTCAAAGCCTCCAAAAGTCTCCGCTCGTTTTGGTAGTACAGCAGCAACAGCCGCAGTGTTGGTAGATCCTACGCTAAAATCGGCACATTGTATGCTCTGATGTTCACCTGCACTGCTAACACTCCGGCCTAGGCTCTGGTGCGCTCCATCGGTGCTGTCCTTGCGACTGTTCCCCTCGGCCGCATTAGCAGTGGAGAACAGTTGTGGTATTGGAATTTGCGCGAATATTTGATGTACTTGACTAGCTGCCGTGAGCAACATCTGATTAGTCTCCTCCGGCGACAACTTTTGAAGAAGGTCGGTGTACTTGAAGTCTCGGGGGTTAAGCTGCAAAATAAAAAGAAAACACTTGTTTCTGATCGGCTGTGGTTTCCGTGTTCAAGCGCGATCTTCAGAGTCGCGATTCGCAGTACGATATGCAGGCGGCGCTGGCAAATTCGATAGAGTTTCGAGTCATTCCGAGTAGTAATCGAAATCGGCGACCGAACCTTATCAATGGTCTCCTGATCCACTCCGATCGTTTCCAACATCTCGGAGAGGATAGCCAGCTTCTCTTGGCATATCTGGGCGATCTGTCGGTCCCCATCATGAAGGGAAATCTGCAAGCGACGCAGTCGATCGCTGCGAGCCACTTCTTCGGCATCTGTAATGGAGAGATCATTCAGTCCGACTCGGTCATATCTCTTGAAAGGGGGAAGTCCAACCAGCTTGAATCTAACATAGTGTAACGAACGCCACGTTGCTTCGATTCCTCGAGGGAGTGAAATTATTGCCTCTAGTCTGGAAACGGCAAAATTCAAGTGATTCGATATCGGTCGTGCATTCTCGTGATTGTGTGACGCTGGAATCTGAGGTGTTACTCTTCTTCCTCCACTGTTCGGACAGGTCCCACGCAAGCAGCTGTGTGAATGAGTGCAACAGACGCTTTTGTGCTCTCGTGAGTCCGGGTCAGGTGCGGCAATGACATACGGTTGTGCCGCTCGGGCAAAAGGGGCATTGCCGTTGAGACAGAGGCTCAGTGATTGAGTTTTTAGCGACGTAGTTTTCCAACTCGAGTTTTGTCTCTCCAGGATCTCGAGGATTCAATTCGTCCATTAAATCATGGCGGGTTAAGCTCGAGGTAAAGTGCCGGTGATCAACATTCAAAGCGCTCTCGCGTAGATTTTTGCCACACACACCGTATGTTGGCACGGCAGCCCTTTTGCCCCACGCACAAGCTACGGGCCACGTGTAGGGCAAGACCGAGGAACTTCGAAAAATCCGGGGCTTTTCTACCCGAAAAAAAGAGCTCTTCCGAGCGCTGCTCAATCAGCAAAAAGAGACAGCGAGAAGTATGGAGTGTCTTTGTCCACGGCCGAAAGACGACGCCACTCAAGATCAGGCAGGAAGATCTACCGAACAGGGGATTGATGATGAATCAATCCAAGCTGGCGTCCAACTTACGGTGTGTGTGCAAGTGGTAGCGGACTCGATGGGGACTCCTGGTCTGAAAAATATCCTGAAATTCCGGTGGCTGAGTGTTCCTATCCCTCGCGCATGGAAACAGAAACCGCGGCTGTGCAACCGTCGCTTGCGATCGCTGATGCGATATCCGGGCGCCCCCGGAATCTCTTCCCGTCTCTTAGTCTGTTCCTAGGTTGCTCGTCGAACGTACCTTTCTCTTGGGAATCATCGGTCTCTGCTGGACACGTCTCGATGGCTTTGCGGATAGCCTCGAGCCATACGCCTTTTTCCTTAGGGCTCCCGCAGATGAACTCGAACATTTCGGGAACCTCTGCATTCGATGAGATGAGATATAGAGCCCTGGCGTCCTGGCCCGCTCTTTCGCGAACCAAGAGCTTATGCAGAGATATAACACTTGGCTGCAAAAGTAATGGTACGGACACTTGATTCAATGGCGCACTTCTCCGAGAGCCGAGGAAGGGAGAGAAGTGTCGGCAAAGAGCACCGTCGATGTGATTTATTGAGGGGCTCGAACTTCGGACCTGAATACGAAAATCCGCCCCCGGGCCGGGATAACGGACGTGACGAGAGATCATTCGGATAGACTTCGTTGACCAGGTGACTTACCTTGTTATCAAAAGCAGCGAAAATATATTTTTGGTTGTTCTCTTGCAAGAAGAATATGACATCTGACAACATTACTGCAGTCACATCTATGGGAAAATAATTCCGCATGAAAGTTCGTTATTCAACATAATCCACAGATTAGATTATCAGGCGGATTTTCTTCTTTTGGAAGGCCGACGTCAACCACAAACCAACCTATTTGTTTCCCGCGGGCATTCCTCAGAGAAATCGTCCCCTCGTATCTGAGCTTCCTATTACTTGACAGCAGATCGGATTTCTTGAATTTGTGGTCTTTCAAGTACGCGCTAGACTTCGCATCGATCTTATGATAAATTTCGAGAAGTCGTGCGTCACGTTCAGCTTCAGCGACCTGGGCGTTAACTCCGTTGATGACGTCCTGCAAGAGCCAGAAAGGCGTAGGAGCTTCATCGTCGTGTCTCCCCGTGTTGCGATATCAAAGTCGTACAAACAGCTCGCTGGGGAGGCGAGGCTTCTCGGAAACGAGATAGGCGCACAGGAGCATCTAGCGATGCAAACTCCTCAGTCGTCCCTGGAAACCCTGATCTTCGTCCGGACAGCGGTATAGTCCCACGGAGATCCCTAGCAGTCGCCTGCAGGTGTTTCAGCACCGAACGTAGCTATCCTGTTCCATCATTCACTGCTGATGCATATTGTAGCGAATGCTCCTCTCCCCGAGTGCTGGGCTAGCACTTATTAATACGCTGATATTCCCCTGTCCGTTTGTCTTCTAACAAGCTTGTCGCAGTCTAGCGAGAATGTGAGAACTTCTCGCACGAAGCAGCGAAGCGCGTACCTTTATGAGTATTTGAGCGGTCTTCAGTCGTTCGATCTCTTCCGGATGATCTTTGGAACTTTTTATGAGAGCGTCAATGAGCAAAGGATATTTGGTGAGTCGTTGCGTTACCAGGAGAATGCATTCTGGAATGCCTCGTCCCTTGCACAAGGCGAGACGGCTTCGTTTCTGAAAGATGTGGCCATTTTAGGCAATTCATTGGAATCTCCGACTCTCGACCTCATCGTGTGCTTCGGTGATAGGTGACAAATTAGACGGGAAATTCGTAAAGAGCTTACAGCGACGTAGATGGTGAATTTCTTGTCGGCTTTGAGGATTTCCTTGTAGACCGCAACGGCGTCTTTGTGTTTCGAACAAAAGTCGCCGTATGCGTTGAGCATCTTTGTCGCATTCTCTGCCTGGAACTGTCCGACAAAAACAATAAGCCACGTTCCGGATCCGATTCATGTCGTTGACTGGCTGAGCAGTTTTTCGGCGCAATACGAGCACCTGACGCGATTTCCCATCGAGTCAGAGCCCTTCCCAGGAAGGGTAATCGCTTGTACTACGATACATGATTTTTAATGCCACAGGGCAAGGCTAATATCGGCCTTCACTCGAGTGGACGCAATCGATCGTGAAGGAATCCGAGCTATTGATCGCGTGGGCGATGACGGGGGCGAAGGTGCCGAGGAAATAGCTTCAATTAGTGCGAGGATGGCCTAAGCCTCGTAGAGCATTACCATGTGAATGAGAACGTCGGCGACACTGTCAATGGTCTGGTTGTCCGGATTGGCTTGGCTTTGTCTGGTTCGCAGTGACTTCAAGAAATCACCATGGAATGCGAGGAGCTCCCCCAGGCGGGGGAACATTTTATTGACCACTTCAGGAGCCAACTGCAGCTCCGATAGCATTCCGTCGTAGTACAGCTGAAAGCAGAGGTGGGTACGATTGAAGAACCGGATCGACGCCAACCGTGTCTGTTCCGCGTAGCGTAGGGCGGAGAGTCACGCGAATACTTCGCGTGCTGCCTCCGCAAACTCACCTTCTCCATTATCCTGAGCGTGAGATAATGATGCTTCTCCGTTAAGATGAGTTCTAGGGGGAGTCGTTGCATGTTAATTTTCACGAGTTGAACCTGAGCGAAACTTCTGCAACTCGTGCTCTCGTCGTTGAGAAACGGCCGTGTACTCCAGAGAGCGCGCCTCGCGGTGACGCCCACCTGCGAGATTTCCTGGTAGAAGGACCCTACGAATGCTTACCGTAAATTGCCTCCTGACGCTTAACATCACGCTCTTTGAGTTTTTTGATGACCTGAAAAAAATGACCGTCTTGTTTGATCGACTGAGAAGAGAAGCGAGACGTCTTGGCGAGCGCGTCGCGCCCGAGGGATTGCGGATAATCGCAATCGAATATTTACGCGTCTTCGGAGAGCTACATATACCCGACGTCAGAGATCAGGGAGGAATGCCGACGAAGTGGATCGGAGTATTTCCGGAGTTCCTGAGTGATGCGAGCATCGCCGGAGGAAAAGGAGAAGCGATTGCTCGAGGCAATGCGAATACATTTTTCGCTTGGATTTCCAGTATCTCAACTGATATTTTGCTCGGCCGCCCCGATCAAGGTCTACACGGAGCCAGATCCGTGGAACTCGTTGACGTAATTGTTTGTGTCGTAAACTCTCCGACGTCTGTGCTTAATACGTCTCTGAGGAGTCCTCTTTGATGAACGAGGTACAGAGCCCCACGTGCTTCTCACAGACCTCCTAGGTTTTTTGTATTCCGGGGTGATTGCCGATTCCGATGAGAAGAAACAGAATGCAGGGATAGCACCGTACGAAACCGTGCGGGGAATCGATACAATGAACTGGATTGTATGCTTTGCGAATGCGTCTCGAAAGAACCGCGTATCGAACTGAAATATACTTGGGACACGGAACGCACAAATGGCTCTGGGGTCCTACGATCCGAGGACACTTTCGCGCGAATCGGCTAAAAATCGGTGGCTAGACTTTTCTAACATGTGTACTACACTAATTGTTACCTTTTTATCAACAGTCGCACTCCATTGCTGTGGCTCGTCGTCGAGAAGTCGCAGATATGGATCGTCGATCTCGGCGAGTTCTTCGACGGACGCTCCGCTATCCAAAGATTCCATCGAGGCCGAATTGACATCTTGCATGTTGAGGTTCTGAGCGTAGTAGTCGCTCATCTCACAGTGCAGTCCATACGGCGAGTCAAGTTCATCCGTGGTGCCCTTGGCTGCAGAACTGGGAACAGTTCAATCATCATCATGTTAGATCGTGAGGTTTCGGCTCGGAGATTATTCCGATAGCTCCTTATCATCCGATCGATGATAATTCATTTTGACCGCGATCGCCGTCGGCAAGCATTGTGCTCCAGACCTCGACCCCGCATCGGGGGTTCAAGGGCAAACCACAATTCCCAACTAACTGAATCATCCAAACGTTCATTCTCTTGGAAAACCTAATCCAAGCCTAATCCATTCGCTACGGTATTTCGTCTATCGAGGCTAATCCTATGTTTGCTTTTAGTCCCTTTTCCATGCATAACGGTGATATCGTTCATGCCGCTACTCGCTATAAGACCATGGTGATGACATCGATGACGGTTTCCGGTCGGGTATCGGGACAGGCGACGTAAAATCGCCGCGAACAGGCCGCAAAAATCTCTCTCACTCTCGGCGGACAACAAGAACGTCTCGGGACGTCGTCGCCCGGGAAAAAATATTTTCGGGACAGGCGTCGCCGGAGACGAGGGAAGCTGTTTCGAATGAACAAAAAAGCAAATGGTCCGCTGATTGATCGCAAAACGAGGTGTCGTTTCGGCGAACCTTTCAAAAGGTTCTGAAAAATGGCACGTAAAGGGTTCGGTGCGACGGTACAGACACAGCTGCATGAAATGTCATTCATGAAGATAACAAGGTGGCAGAAAACTTTCGGGTGTTCAATCGGTATCGGGTAAAGGCTCGATGATGACAGGAGAGACTCGGTTCGAGGGGCACAACAGGTGGCGAGGAGCTTGCTCTGGGTGGAGGTCGTTTGGTGAAGATGATTAGTGGTGATCAGGGAATTTTCGGTCGCTGCTCAGCTGATCCAGCGGGGCTCATCGCACACGGGGACGGACGAGCCCGACCGCCTTTCTCTCCATCCTCAGGCGGGAATCCTCCGGGGGGCCCGGCCTCAAATCATTCGATTTTTTTTGTCGAATAGACAGCTGAACATTGAAATTGCCAGCGTGAGGCGCCAATCACGTGAATCATATGACAGTTGAAGATGGGGATTCCTCGCGAAATCGCAGCCGTCTCGCTGTGCCGGAGAATTCAATCGAGGAATCACCGGCCGAGCGGGAGTATTCATCGAGCGAATATGTTCGGTCGCGATAATTTCTCTGGCTGTTCCTTTCAGACGAATAACCGTGAGGCTGCGAACTCGTGCTGATCTTGATGGAATTTTTCCGGCCCGAGGCTTTCCGGGTCGCCAGGTGACGTGGATTCCACGGCAAAGAAGGATTAGGAAGGAGGCAAGTAATATTCGGAAAAATGTGCGCGTGATCGGTTGAGCGGCAGGTCCGAAGGTTTGGTGGGACACTGGGGCGGGCTTTGGACATGTGGATCGTCGGGGGAAAATCAGACAGGACAGAGATACCGGTCTCGAATGCATCATTCATCGATCGTCCGTAGACTCAAAACGAAGAAGTATAGAACGACGTTTCGAATCGGCTCCGATCGGCTCTACTTACTTGACCCCAAGTTTTGTGGCCACCCGTCTCCACTGAGAGTAACCCCCACTGGGGACGTGGGGCTTTCGAGTCGAACTAAAACCGACCCAATCAGTTGAGAATGACAATCATCAATCACCATAATCAATCATCTTCGACAACAGAAACACCTATGACGACGTCGATAACAGCAACATCGAGTCAAGCGTCTGCAGCAGATACAGACGGAGGCTCCTCCCGCTATTTCTTCGGTTACATGGCCATGACCGTCTTCCAAATACGTATTTATGTAATCTGAGCGTTTTTCAAACCCAACTCAAGGAATTCTAAGTGTTAATCTAGCGTCATGACTCGTTCAAGTAAACGCACTCCGCAACTACGACTACGGCTAAAAGTTGGCGATGACAGGCTTATCTCGCCACGACTTAGTTTGGCTGCCGAGCAGCCAAGAGGGCGTGCATTCCTCTGGACGGCCTACCCCCGAAAGGCCGCTGCCGCCGTGCCTTTCGTCGAGGATAGAATATCGTTTTTTTTCGCGGCATGACTCGAAACCGCTCTTTCCCCGGAGCTGGCTCGCGACTTCAAGGGTGACGATCCCGCTTCGTTCAGTACCGATCGGTTGCTGAGAGCTCATCGCTTTGTCTTTGCTCCGAATACTCATCACACATGGCGGAGCCCGCAGCGAGTGCTCGCGGTCGCTGCGAGGAATGAAAAAAGGGGCGGCCAGCGGTCCTTCGTCGACCGAGTGAACAAACGAGTGACCAACCTGCCTACCCACCAACCAGCCGACCGACAAATGAGAGCCGGACGACAAGACGGGTCATATTAAATTTCACTTCGTCCAGCCCCATCTCATTCTATGAGCCCGGCTCTCTCTTTTTTTCCATCATCATCGACCTCCAAGTAGCCCGCGAGACGGCAGCAGACCGAAGCGATCTACGAAGAGGTCTGTCAGTCGACGAAACCCCCACTCAGCCGGGCAGTCGCCGAGCCAGCTCAACTTATTCCCCTATATAGCAAAACCTTTGTGTCCCTTCTCGAAGCTCTTCAAAGACTTCTCAGCGGACGAGAGGTGGATTTCCCTTGACAGGCATGACCGCAGCGTATTCAGTTTCTTCGTTGTCTTGCCTGCTGCTCAGACACAGTCAGATTCAAGCGCTCCCTCAGTCGAGCCGAATGGCGGGGGAAAATCAATATTTGGGATTGGCGAGAGGTGCCAAATAATTCTCCCAGGGAAGCGAGTTTCATCCGCACCGTTCCTCTCACCCCACACCAGTGCTCTCAACAATGAGCTTCACGGTTCGAATCCCCCCGTCGAAGGAATTTCATTCCCCCCGTATCTTCATCATAGCGGTGACATTTCTTACCTTGGCGACGACTCCTTGCTGGAACCGCCTGTGGTGTCGTTCTGTAAAAATGAAGAGTGATTATGGGCTTACGGAATCAGAAGCAGAGGAACGGAGTTATAAACCAGGAATCCTTCTCGACTAACACCGGAGGAACACTGGGGCGCCAAGCCAGCCTACGGCATCTCCGTTAGATTCTCTCTCGAGGGGACTGGAATGATCTATTCAAAGTGTGTCGATCCCGACCTCCTCCAAAGTTTGATCGCGATCGACACTAATTGAATTCCGGCGAATACTCCGTAAGAGCCTCATGGTGATGCAGTGGAGGTTCCAGGCCGAGCTGAACGTCGAATAGAAAGGGACGAGGTTCGTACCTGCAGAGGTGCATTTTGCAAGTTGCTTCGAGAGCTGGTGCCCTGTTTTCGGTCTTTGCTGCTGAGACTTGACGCGCTGGACTTCAAAGCTAAAATGCAAGAGATGCAAATTACGTATACGGCATTAATTCTGGCGGAAGCTTCTTAGTGAGTGTTGCTCAAAGCGAAGGCCTTGCCAATCATAGGGGGCTCTGAGCTCAAGGAACGTCTCACAAAAAAAACGCTGATCACAGCAAGGAGATAGTGGCTCCGACGACTTTAGATCCCGTCGATGGGAATCGCGAGCTCAAAGAACCGGTACCATAGATCTCTCGGATGCCCACGCAAAGATACCATTTGATTTCGATGATTTCGCACTGCTCGAGGAAAGCGAGCTGTTTTTCGAATGAGATCATCGAGCATGATCTCGCGCCCGTTCTAATTCAAGGGGACTCCCCGGTGAACGCTCATGAGGAGGGGCCATGGAATTCCGTCCCGCCAGCCCGGAAGGTGCTCTACAGAGGGGGTCCATATCCGAATCCGATGGCAGTCATACCGAATTCGCACGTGATTTGTGTTTGCCTTGCTCTCCGAAGGTATTGGGAGGGAGTCGAGTGCCAGATGCTCGAGAAACAGCTGTCCAACAATCGTGGCGACGGGCGCGGACATTCCATCGCCATAAGTCACACCGCGAGCAGCAATATTTGTAAGAAGCTGCCGTGTCGTCGGTGGTACCAACCTTGGGAGGTTTCACCTACCATTTGCTGTCTGCCAGCTTTACCACCCGTGCTTCTGCCCATTTGCTAGCCCACAGTAGGCTGCGCTGAATGCGGGAATTCCACAAACGCCGTAGTATCGACTCAGTCAGTAACTCACTCAGCTCTTCACGCAGCGTGCGAGAGCGAGTCTGCCAGAGTGAGCATGTTAGCACGTATCTGACTTCGGCTATCGAGCCATGGCTGAAGAAAACATTTCGGAGACAGCTGGATGCGAGCTCGCATCCGCGCATGCGAACAAGCTGTGGCGCCCAACATCGATCGAAATTTGGAGAAACCCACCGGACCTCTGCTTCCTTGCTGCCACAGATCTACCTCTGATGGTGAAATACAACCCGCAGTAGTAGGGCGACAAGAAAAATAAATGACATCCGCATGAAATTATGACGAGGGTATTGTTTTTGATGGTTTCCAGGCGCAGATCTAATTTATGAGGTCGAAGAAAATACAGCGAGCCGGGGATAGAGCACTGGGGAACGATGCGCGCAGGAGAAAAACGGATCGCTCACGGTCCGCAACTACGGCCTGTGGTCGGATTAATCTCACCGCTGTTTTGCGTGTCCAGACGCTCTTCACTCCGCAACGGACCCGCATGAGCATCGACGCAGCTTCCGCTCGAATTCGGAACAATAATGGGGAGCGAACTACACGTTTGACCTCGACCGTGAAAATAATTCCTTATGAATGTTGCTCACCTGATGCAAGATTAGCGGTGGATCTATCTTTTCCGGTTAGCTGACTTGCAGACTTATTGATCAGCATACTCTGCAAGGAGGATGAGAGAGTCAAATTGCGATCCCAGGAGGGACTGCTGAAGTGTCGCTTCGTTGAACGACGATCCAGCGAGCTCGATGTTCGAGGCTTGTAGTCACCAAAGACCACCATGTCCACAAGTTTCACATCCACTAGTTCACACGTTCAGCACTGGTTTTACACTCCGCCAGAATTGCGAGAATTGTCAGGTAGTCAACAGCAAGCAATTGTTATTTTTAGGCAGGGTACAACATTTGGGAAACGGCCTGACAGCGGACGACGCGGACTCGTGCGTGTCTAGTATTGGTGATCGTTCGGTCGGTCGGTCAGTCGCCCGGTCGCTTGCTTCAATGTCGGAGCTATTCAAATTCTGCAAGAGCCTCGTTGCGTCCGCCGTCGACGATTAGAGAGGGAACGGCTGACAGGTTGCTTGGCGAGCGGGCGGGCTTGCTTGCTGGCAGGCAGGCACACCGACTGACTGGTTGACGGACTGACGGCATATCTCGGCCTGTTTTGCTCGGCGGAGACCGTGGAATGGAGAGCTTAGAACGTCGCCATTCAGCAGCGGTAGTCACAACGGAGATCTGCCGTGCTTCGCCTGCTGGTGCTCGCGTGTGGTTCGGTCTACAGTCCGTTCGCCGTCGCAAGTCTGCCGCCTGAATATCCCGGCCGGTCTCTCGAATCGAAGACGACGGCAGCAACGTCGACTCCGGGCACGGTTGTCTGTTTCGTTGTATGCCCACGTAATCGAGTCGACCGAATCAACGATTCGGATGAGGGTTCCCCGAGAATTTACTAGAGCATGTTGAACATGTGATTATGTGGAACTAATTGAAGAAGAGGTAATGCCTGTGGGGAGGCTGGCCGTGGTGACCATGGAAATGGCAGAGAGGAAGATAATGGCCGTGGATGGCGCGGAGCGGGCGACTGAGGATTCGAGTCGCAGCAGTTTCATCGGCATGTGTACTTCGTGCATTAACGTTATGGTGATTCGTTCCTTTGCGTGAACAGCTGTAGTAACAGCAACAGCGGCAGCGGTGGTGGTTGGGGGAATGACAGCGCAGTTTAGGGTTGACGCTCTCGAGTGCCGACAGTGTTGCTGCGGACGTGTTACTCTGTATGACGGTTACAGCATAGCTCTTGATGGTAGGGAGAGGGGAAAAGAGCAAACGAACGAACGAACGAACGAATAAGTGAGTGAGCGAGAGAGAGAATGAGCATGAGGAATCAGGACGATATGAGCCACATCGAGAGAGCGGGGGAGAGAAGTGCAGGTGGCAAGGGGCGTGCCACCAACCTTAGGGAGCAACGATTTGAACTTGGTGCAGTCGGCGATCTGGTCCCGGCACGAGTGTTCATGTACCGCGACAAGGCAAAGCTCACAACGCAAGACAGCCTTGCTGGTAAGAGACTTGGAGCACACGTGACATTGAACGGAAGCGCTGTTGAACGGAACCGCCACGAATTGATGACCCAATGCCCTCGCGGGTGGGGGCGATGGCGTTCCCCCGGACGGCGTCGGTGATCCCGTTTTCGAGTCCTTAGCCTGAAACATTGCTTATCACCGCGCCGACAAACCAAATCGCAGAAATATATCGATAATGATGATCCGGTCGCTCGAACGTTACACGGAGCAGACAGGTCGAGCAATCAATGATTCACTCAGTTTCAATAGACAGTATATTCCATGACGGTCATGTTCATCCCCCTCCCCCGGGAGATTCATCGTCGCCCAGAGATTCGAGCCCATGTGGTGGCGGTTTGTGCTCGAGATAGGGAAAGAGACAGTGAGAGGAAAGAGGAAATGACAGGAAAATTGAGGATCCTGTTCCGTAGGGGCTAGCCTTTCCGTACGAATGAACGAACGTGTACGATGTAGTGCAGCAACTCGATGATGGTATCACCGCGGTGGACTCGACCGATATCACCAACTCCATCGGTGCGTCTCCCGCCTTTCGTGTTGTTTTCGCCCTTCGACAAATGGCGATGCGATTTTCCCTCCTGTACTCTCCGGAGAAGTTGTTACCCGCGACTCCAGCTCACCTTTTTCCTCCTGAAGAAAAGACTCCCTCGTTTCTTGGTTCGTTTGCCAATAAACTTCTCATCGTCTGAGTCGGCAGCGGAAGCAGAGGTTGCGTTGCTGTTGAGGAGACCGGACGCAGCCACCGGGCGACCAGTGGCACTCCTGTATCGAGGAGAAGGCAATCAGTCGTAGAAGTTTTCCCGACGACGAAGGCGGCTGACAAAAACGGAAAACCCATTCCTAGATCAACTCGAGCGACGACGAGACGACTAGACCTAGACAAAAATCTGACCACTTGACCACCGGAGGAATAGCGAATTCGCCAGACGCCTGTGCTAACATGCAAAACGATTAGCGACCAGGCTCCGAACAGATCTACGGACGGCGCGGCGTGCAAAAAGACGACGTCTAATAATCATCTCCTCTATGCAACGTCTAGCCTCGAAGAAATCGTGCAACACTTGACCCCAGCGGTTTTATGTTTTGCTGGAAGGTAAGCTCCGAGTTAGACTTTACGACGACTACGACTGCGAGGGCTCTGAATCGAGGCCCCGAGAGTCTGCAGGAGAAAGGATTGCGATCAATGCCAGATCGTCTAGCCAAAAAAACGGAGCGGCCCGAGTATTTCAAGATCCGATACAACTGACAACGTCGCTCCAAGCGGAATCTGCTCCGATCCCGTTCTTATCATGGCTGCTTCTCTCCAGCTATAGGAGACGCTTCTCGAGGTCTGCTGTAGAACCCTCTGATTTCGAGAACTTTCTCTCTGGAAGACGATACGATCAAATACCCGAGACAGGGGTTAGGGTATCGATGACGAGAATCAAACCGCAGCGTTGCGTGTTGCGTGGGAATGTGCATTTGGGAGGAGGGAGGGCGAGGAGCTATCCTCTCATCGGCAGAGCTTCAAAGTTCAGGCATCGATCATCAATCTCCGTCCGTTAATTCCATCGGCATCCGTGGGAATTAATACGGGTAAAATCTGAAGACCTCGACTCGATGGAAAGGATAAAATATGCCTTCGTATTCATTAATCGACAGCTGAGCGTCGAAGTTCATCAGCGGAAGGCGGAGCCGGTAGGGCAAGCCCTCCGCGAGAAGACAATAGCCGGGGGCAGTGCCGGGAAAGACGACGGTTGAGCGGAAAAAGCGCAGGCCGAGATTGTCGAGCTGTATTTAATCCGAGGTGCGGACATCCAGATGAGAAAGCCGCTCCCAGAATGAAGTCCTCCCGAATGAGTGAACGCAAATAATAAAACCGCGAATCCAAGGAGCGCTCCGCTAACTTTATCCTCCGTCGTTCAGAAGGCTCCGTCGTGGAAACGAGACTTCTACATTCTTGCATTTGAAATGATCGAGCGGTCGAATTCCGCGGTGAGAGACAAGGCACGACACTTGGCTGCTGGGATGAAATGGAATTTCTGCAATTTCAATACAGAACCGCCTCCGCAGACAGCACCGAATACGCGCACTGCGGTGTCCGGTATAGAATGCAGGGAGACCTCTTTCCACAGCTGGCGTCGGCCTCACGAATCCTCGACCGGACTAGTATAGAGCAGCATTTGTACGGGTGTCCCGATGTATTCGAGTGTTTCATATATCAGCGGATAGCCCCGTATGATCTGACTCCTCGCAGAAAACGACACACGAGAGACAGCGATGGAACTCTGAAGGCTCCTCTCGCGCTTGGATGCATGCTCCTTCGAGTATCCGCTTCGCCTGGGACAAGATGGTCATGGCGGGAAGAGTCTCAGCAGATCCGAGTGAGTCTACTCTGGACCGGAAAAAAGAAGAGAAAACCGGCTCCTCCAGGAAAATCCACTCAATCACTGATAAGAAACTCTTCCAGCCGATCGTGCGCCTTCCGGTCGGCTTGCTCGCTAGCTCGCTCGACTGCTTACTTTCGCGGGTTGCTTTCGAGTTCGCGTGAGCACTCCCTGTAATAAGAGCCTCGAGAAATATCTCCCTCAATTGGATTTATCGCGGGTACGAAAAGGATCGTCCTCGGCAATTAGGTGTCCGCCGCTAACCCTGATCGATGGATTCACTCGTCCTGGTCTTCGAATGTCAAGAAATCGCATCGGGTAGAGCGAACGAAACTCTTGCAGACAATACCCATACAAATCAAAATTGGAGGGGTCACGGACTCGACCCGCCGAGACTGTCGCTTCCAATGAAAACCCGATCGAGGAGTTGTTCCGAGTCGGCTGCAGAGCCATATGAGAGATCCCGTTACGGAACCTGCTACGTTGTGCTATCTCTCGACACTCGAATTCCACGAGGGATATCCGATTCGATAAGCTCGCAGCAGAGATGCAGTACGATGCGGAAATAGCAGGCTCAGCCAGGGATAGCATTTTGGGAAACTTCCGATTCCGTCTGGTGAGGAGAATCAGAGTGTGGATTTTCTGCGAGTTTCCGGCTGTTCCAATGTTTTGTCAGCGCCATAACATCTGGACGACTCACTCACAAACGGAATTCGTCTCGGTGAAATTCCGTTCCGTCGGAAAGCAACGCTGAATAAGTTGCTAGACGTCTACCGTTCCGCGGATTCTCCACCAGCAGCGGCTGCGGCAAAGCTCCGATCGTCTATCCAGAAATGCGGGAAAAAGTGGGAAACGTGAATAAGCTCTGATTGTTGTCGGCAGCTCCTCGGAGCCTCATCCACCGAGAGGGTCTCTACATCCGTAATGCAAACGGTTCCGGCTCGATTTCCAAACATGGAAAACCCTCATTAGCGAAGTAGGGAAAGCTGGAAGCAGCCTAGAGTCCTAGAGAATCGCTCACTCGTTCTTCCGCTTCGACGTCGCTGACAACTCCCGGAGGACAACGTAAATCATTGCGGGTCCACACGGGAGAGTCTCGACCGCACCGAGAAGCAGAACTGCATTTCCTGCGATGAGACCCACTTCCCGGGTCGGGACCCGAAGCGAAGAGGCGGTTGCGTCATCAGGAAGTCTCCCGAAGCCACCGAGCTCTGTGGGAGGTTCGATTTCGTTTGTGCAGCAGGGACCTCTGGGCCCGAGTCGCCGCTCATCGGTCGTGGTGTTTCACGTGCACGGCGAATTTCACCGAGGTCCTTGATGACCTCATTACGCTCTCGTCGCGATAAAAAAGAAGCAAAGGAAGCCGGTGCGCATGTAGATAGGGATAGAGCGGCTGGGAGCCGGTGACGTGCGAATTCGAATGAGTCTCTGGGAACCACTTGAAGCCCTTCCCAACTTGCAAATCATCCAGGCGTAAACACTCATCATAACGCCGACAAGTCATTTCGCACGAAGAGGAGGTGAACTCGAACCCGAACGGCCCCGACCGCCAGACAGCGTCCGTGTTCTCTTATGAATGGAGCTGCTCTCGTGAGCTTCATGTTGGAAAATCAACGACAGAAATCAATGAGCACCAGCGGACCCGCGGGTAAGGGACACATATCGAGCTCCGAGGAAAAGAAATTCGGAAGATGAACGCTCCTACCAAAGAGGAGTTGCTCCGCTCGTATTTGAGCTCTGGAGTCGGGAGCCTCACAGAGAGGATTCCCGGGGCTCGATCGCATCGGATCTCGCAGCCTCTACGTCACTACCTCGGATCGAATTCGTCGTATACGAGCGATGCGTCGTCGATCATCGAGAAGCGAGTCTATTCGCAACAAGCGGCCTCGTCGGTCGTGGTGGAACGGCGCGGCGGAACTGCTTCAGTTGGTGACTAGCCGATTATGCAAATCGAGTCTTTCTGAATAAACCTAAGTTAAACGGCAAAATTTCTCTACTTACTGCGAACGGTACACCGAAGCCACATAGTCGTGAACGGGGGATGAATCGTCAAACTCGTCCTCCTCCTCGAGGAGATGGACTTTAGACCTCTGGCTGTGCAGCAGGAGGTTCTTATGCGGCGCCCCGACCCTCAGGTGGATTTGATTCCCGACGCTCAGCTGGTGAACGAGGAGCGGGTGTTCCTCCACGCGGCTGTTAGAACTCACAATTTATGCAAACATCCACAAGCATGTTTAGACTACCGACAACTAATGACATGACGATAACACAAATTAATTTGGACATGGACTCCTCCCAAAACGATTTGACCAGTTTCGCTAAGACTTCGAAGCATAGAGTTGGCTCAGAGTGAGCCGAACAAGGCCGCGGGGCATGAACAGAACACGTTGACTGAAACCATGCTACTCCCACCCGAGGTATCAGCCGACTTTCGAGCACATAATAATTTCTACCATCACAGACTGTAGCTATCTACATGCGGCGGGTAGAAAGGCGGCTGATCTCTACGGGAACATCTCTTTCAACAATCATAATGAGAGCTCTAAGCCTCGAGTCTTACACTTTTGCCAACTCGAATCGAGGCAAAATGGGTTGGCAAGGAAAGTTTGCTGATATGTAGTTACCTGTCCGATTGGGAGTGCTGGATGAGAGTTTCTTGCGCAACAACAATGGATGGCGTGGAGATACTTTTTTGCAATGAATGATCTTTCTTGCTTTGCACTCCCGGTGGAAGGGGTTTCACCATCTTCGGGGCCAAGGGCGCTGCTGCCCCGCCCAGAATCGAAGTGGCCCCTGATTGCAAATCCTCGCGGCGATTGAGGAGCAACATGGCCTGGAACGGATGGAGAGAGTTGAGTTCCCAACTCCTCACACACTCCTTACACCTTTGCTTCTGGAGGCTAGTTCAGACTTCCGGTCTCGCCCGTGTGACCATTCTCCGCTTAAATGTTCGAGCGAGCTAGATCGGAACCCGGGATTACCCAATACTGGATGCGGCATCAAATTCATGCTTCATGATTTCGAATTCCAGTAAGAGTTCAGGCTACACCGCAATATCATCGGACAGCTCAGGAGGTTTTCTTCATTTCGAATCCGATAATATAATTCGCGAACGTGACTCGTGAATATCAACTTCAAGCTCTGCTCCGATAAGGCATTCAGTAAAACTTTTCCTCTTACCTCGCCACTGCTCGCCGACCGATGCGTTCTAGGGGAAGGAGGGGGTTGCATAGAGTAATTGTGTTCACCAGAAAGTGGTAATTGTGTCGGGACGCCTCTCGGTTGCGGAACCTGTTGACTCGCCCCACTCGGGGGTTTCGCCGCATTGCCTCCCGGAGACTGCTGTTTGGCGTTGATCCCCTGCTGCTCGGTACCCGAGGTGTGAACATCTGACTTCTCGGCGATTTCAGGTCCTCCGCTTTCGCCTGCTGTCTCTAAACTGTTCAGACTCACACTGAAACGAACAATGTAGAGCTATTGCTTGCGCGTCGAAACGGAGCCGCCCTAGCGTGGTCTAAAATACGACGACTACTACTACTCCCGCGGCTGCTGCTCTATAGAAGCGACCGACCTCCCCGAGTCTTCCCCAACATCTACAACACAATCATAATAGTAAGTATCTCGTCTTCCTGCTGACTGAGCCGTGAAACGGCCGCACGTTCGAATGTTTCGACTTTTGTCGAGTCGAGAACTACTGCGTCCCGTGGCTCGTAGTCCATTCGGAGCATCGTGGAAGTCGACGTCGTCGTCGCCCTAAGAAAGTTCGAGAACACTCTGCTCGATTTGCTCTTCGCCGACGTTTTTCTCCATCCGAACCGAATCGCCTCGCGCTCCGTAGCTTCCCGCAATACAGTGTCGAGAAGCGTGCGCGAAGGAACTACTTCAAAAGTCAGAAACTGGGCTAATTTCCCTTCCGAAAACCGAATGAACGAGCTCTGAGGAGACCCCGAACGAACAGCGAGCTCTACGCCTGGAAGATCGAGTGGAGCTCGCGAGATAGAGGGAATAGGCTTCTTCCCAAAGATACGGCGACGGAGGCAAAATGCACGGGGTTCTCGACCGCTTGACGTCGGGAGATATTCGGTTCATGACGTTGCGCAGGACGGCGATGAGCGCCATCGTCTTCAACAAGCCAAATGCTCGAGGCCATGGCAGCCGCCGCCGCCGCCATCGCTGCGGAGCCCGTGAGGCGAACGGGAGCTACGGCTCTGACCCTTAATGGAATATACCCCACTACCACGGAAATTCGTTCTGCCGGAGCGCAGAGCGAGAGCCCTCGCTGACCGGCGCGGCGGAAGAACGAGATCGCTTCCGAGGATCCGAACATAGAACGAAAGAGAGCGGCTGACCTCCAAAGAGAAGAAACGGGGTCAGAGGAATGAAATCTGAGATCCTGATCCAGAGATCGGGAGGTAAATACAATGAATGACAACGAGGAGGATCCTCGAGAGGATTGTCTCGAGAGCCCTTCTCCCGGTCGGTTCCATATTCGCTGTTTCGCTTTGTCTTCGTGACGACGGCGACGACAATGACGACGATGCGCCGAAAGCCACTCCCCTTCGTTAACCTGGCCGCGGAGCGATTCAAATTGATTCGAGAGCTGGAAAATCGTCGGAAACGAGCTGAAATAGGAGTCTATCCCCTGGAGCAAGAACAAAGGCAGGACGCGCCATCCTCATCGACGGTAGTGCTGCCGAGCTCGAATCCAGCTGACAACAGGAATTTCTTGCGCGAGTAGTTCGACTCGTCGTTCTTTTCCAAGTCAGCGCGCTTTGCGGTGGCCAATCCCTGTCCGGAAAAGGCAACTCAAACAGGAGGATGCCGTCTCTCGGAACCGCTCGAGCTCGGAACAACCGAAACCTCGTCATCGGCTCGTCATTCGGAGGAATCGAGAGGAATTTCCCCGTTCCGGGGAACGACGCCGTCGGTGGAAGGCCAAAAGTTTGTCTCCTCTCACATCAAATAAACAGAGATTCTCGTCTTATTTGAAACCTCATCGATCGTTTTTCTCGCGAAACTTTCTCCTATTGGGGAACTGTTCACGGACGGTAGGTTCCCCCCTCTTTCAGTGGGGGCGGGGGACGACATATGAATTCAGCTGACTCACGGTCAAGGAGGCCGGTACGTTTGATAGCAACATTCTGCTATCCTTTGCTTCGTTCAATAAGCTGTCGGAGTTTCATTGGGAAAAAGCATCGGGCAATCGTCGTAATGATATCCGGTCAATTGCCCACACGACCACACGACGACCTCAGATGCGAAACGAAATCGGCATCGATGTCTAGAATTCCCCCCTTTGGATTCCTAAATACGCACGTCCCTTTGTTTACGTTCGGAATACCGAGCGGAGGAATGCGAGTCTCGAGACAGTGCGAGTTGCCGACGTCGCATCGCGGCCCAGCCGATTGCGCTCCCCTCTCGAGCCTTTCTGCCAGATTTCTTCTCCGCCGGGCTCGGGTGAGATAAACAGCTGATTTTTTTTCTTCGCTCGGTGCTCACCTTCGTTGCAGTTTTATGGGTGACCGGTGCGACCTTTTACCCTTCGGGCTGCCGCTGCTGGATATGCTGCTGCTGCCGCCAGTCGCAGCTGAACTGGCGGCGACTCCGGCCTTCGTTAAGTCACTCCAACTCTGCCGACGCTGACTTTCCGGACTCTGTTGGAGATGTTTTTTCGCAAGACGCTGGGCTGTGTTGCCTCCGATTGAATTTCCGGAAGGGCTGTGCCGAACGTCGCTGGCCGAGGACCTTCGTGATGATGGGTTTGACGCTTGGAGGAACTCCTGCAACGCAAGAAGGATCACATTGAGAGGCTACATTCGAAAAGAAGAGAATTCCTGGAGACATCCGGTGCGCGAACGAAACCGCGATCTGGAACGGACGGACCAGACGATGGCGACGTAATCGTCCGGATCCCAAGAGCCGCTACTTTCCACCAGTCTGGCGAAGCAGCGAGTGTTTCCTATCAGAACGAACGTAAAGAACTCCCGTGAGAGCTCAGCCGAGGTGACCCGTGCAAGCCGACAAGCGCCAGCTAGCCTACTTGAGAGCTCGTCTCTGAGCGGCTCGCCTGCTTTGCTCCTGCCAGCGAGGCAGTCGAACCGACGGCGTTTTTACAATGACACAACTACTCGGAGCAACATTTCCCGGATGAACGAGCGAGCACCTCATCTAAATGCGTGGGGATCTCGACTTCAACTCGATCGGAGGAAGGGGCTTCCAGCGGGACGCATTTATTCTGCGCCGGCGGGAGTTCGGTTTCCTACCTCCCCTCCCCGCGAGATCTGGAGGACAGTTCCTCTGGTCCTTGACGATTTCTGGACGTATCCCCTTAGATCCTCCTCGGAGGGAGGCACAGACGAGGCTAGAGATCCCATCGGAAGCTGGAATCCATTTTCCGATCGAAAAGTTGGTCGTAGTCGTCCTCGTCGTCGTCGTACTTTTCACTTCCACGTGAGGAGGCGATGTTTATGAGAACGAATTCGCTCGGAGAGCCGTACGCTCTCCGCGCACAGCGGTAGCCGGAGCGGGTTCGGATGGAAATTCCTCCTGAAACCCGTGGAGAGATCTGCCGCAACAAAGGTCCTTAGCGGTGAAGCAGAGGTGGCGACCGTGTCGAGAGCTCGACAGAACTCCGCTCGAGGTTTGCCGAGCACAGTCGAAGGAAGTTGTTTGGAAACTGAGGAGTTCTGCTCTCGGTCCGGAAACGGATGTCGATCCGTCAACGGTTCCTCCGAAGTATCGGAGAACACTCTCTCGGGGAGCGCCACGCTAGCACCTAGCATAGGAATCCTCTGGCTCTTGCCTTTGCTAGGTCGGTCATTCCTCTCCATAATCGAGAAACGATCTGTGCGTACGACAGCTCACCTGAGAACTCGCCGGAGTGATGTCGTTGACAAGAATTTTGACGTTGATGGCGTCCTCATCGTCCTCCGCCGGCGACGCCCGTCTCGCCACCGCGTCCAGTGCCGAACTAGACACAGACGATGTTTTCGAGTTTACCTGCGAGAGAAACAATTGTGCTCAGCAATGGCTAGACACGAGTTAGCGTTTCCCTGCAGCTCCAGTCGAACGCCTTTTCGAGCCCCCGTGGCCCCGACAAAGGACGTCGCTCCATCGACACCTCCGGAATGGAGTTCCCCAGGCCGATAACGCGAGTTGTCGCTCGGTTGAATCAGATCGTCACAATGCGAGGAATATTCTTTCCGCCGGACTTCAATGTCTCGATTTCGTCCCTGTCTTGGGCCCCGTGCTCGTAATCAGGGAGCTGGAACCCGTCAAAGGTCCCGACGGATATCGACCGCACCCCCAAGGAAACCCTGGTTAGCCTCTGTTGGCTTGTTCGAGTGATCGCATAGCAATCCAGAAATGATTCATAGTTATACCATGAAATTTCCTCACCATTAACCGGGAATCTTCCTGTGCCGTTGAGCTCTGCGGCCCGCGTTGAGCACTGTTCATATTCGAGCCGCTGGCTGAGGCGGAATTTGGAGGATGGACCAGATGATTTGGGATTGAAGGACATGATGAACTCAGGCGGCAGAACGAAGGACGTCGCAAGACCTGGAAGAAAGGAACTGACTGAGTGAAATCCAGGAGTCCGTGAGCCTAAACGCCCCAGCACTATCAGTGACGATCCCAGGAGGGATCCCACGATCGGAAGTCACGACATGGAAGAGGGTCTGACTCGGTGATTATTTATCCTGAGCGCAATAGCTCGCCTCCGGAACAGCGGAATTGCTCAAGGTCGTATGCAACGGAAGAGGAAGCGGCGAGTATCAAAACAACAGCGAACCGGTATTCATAATGAATGCTCGGAAGGTCCTGACTTGATTCGCACTCGAAACGCTCTCTTCAAACAGCGTCTGCTTTATAAACTCTGACAGCCCAGCTGACCACCTCGGCTCCGACCGTGGTCTGAATGTGTTCGGGCGGGCTCGACCATCCATGCTGACGCGGAACGTGTAATCAAACGATGTCACTTTGTTGACTCGGAACTTTGTGTCGGAATTCATTAAAGTTCCGGAGCGAAAAGGAGTCACGAGGAGAATTCAGGGCAGCAGACCCGTCGAACGAAGCCAGAGAGAGGAACCATGGGAAAAAAAATCACAAATCCTCTCACCAACGGTAGAAACATCGCGTTCTGCCGATCTGCTCGAGTTTCGCCACAGACACCAACGACAGCTGCGACAGCTGCCGCATACGCTGTGAGCACGACACGAAGCCTACACCGCCGCACAGCACGGAAGAGAATTGCATCGCCTCGGCTTTTGGATTCCGCGTCGTCTGCGAAGGATAAAGTTGACGCAACAGAGCCGACCTTCAGTCGGGAATTTACGCTCCGGTCTCATGCCTTCGGCCGGCAATCGGTGTCTGGAGGGAAGACATCCCGATCAGTGGAGGAGCCACTGGAGAGACTTCATACGACCACACGGTGGGAGGATCCGATGAATGATAATAATCTGTGCTTCCGTCGATCAAGCGTATCGTGAGGGAATGAGTTCGCCGAGCCAGCCATAGACAATAATAGTGATCGGAGGGAAAATATGGAACCTGATGAGAATGGTTTCTATTTAAGTTTCTCTTTCGGGACATCACGACTACGTCTCCCGAGGGGAGTGCTCGGCCGCGACGCTGACCGGTGCGGCGATCCGGGCTTGGACCCATTGCCCGTATTGGATAGAGACGCAGACATTGTGTTCAAAGCGCCTCCTCTTCGGGGAGAATGGGAATTCCAAGCGTGAAGGCGTTCGGATTCGCAACGTTTGCTCTGGCCGACTGCGAGGATCCACTGAACTAATGATTCTATTTCCGAACAGGGGGTCGCTCAGAAACATCGACTCCTTCCCAATCGCTTCGACTCCCGACGCCAGTCTCCGCGCTGTTCCAGAGCATCAGTCAATGGTCAGCTCGCTGGTATATCGGACAGAAGTTGTGGCGGTCGAGTTGGCTCGGAGAAAAATAACCTCCGTCCTCAAGACCGAAGACCGGCTTCCTAGATCGTTTTGTCTGATTGTCGCGACCATGTCGCAATTCCCCGGGTGGCGGCGCCCATTTGAACATTCACTGGGTTGTCTTCATCCGGGACGTCGAGACAGCGACGACGTCTCGTTCATCCGGAAGGAATCGAAGCTTTCCGTCGGTCTCAGCTCCGGACGTAAACTCCGGGAGAAACTCAGTATGCGAAGCGTGTTGTCGCCGGCATCGTCAATCGAAGGTAAATGAGACTTCGGGCGATAAAGCCGGTCTGCTGGCGGCATCGTTCGCCTGCCAGCCAGACAATGCACGACTTTGGAAGGAAGCGATCATGCTTCGACTCCGTGTAGCAGCAGCACAGTCGACAGCTACCACCGAGCCTGAAAATCCGGGCGCACTTTATCGGCCTACACGCCAGCCGCGCGCGGCCGGGAGCTTAGACAGAGGTCCGTCCATTTGCGAGAGGGCCGAGCTGTGTATGTACAATGCTTCGCGGGAGCCGCTCCACGCGCGAGTTGTCGCCGACTCATGGTGGGTATCGCACAGAAAATTGCGACCCGGGTATGTCGACATCAGCGGGGAATTCCGCCGCATCGAGAAAATCGGTTTTCGGATTATAGCACTCCTTAATATTAGTTATAGATCAACGGATCGATTGCGTAGCGTACACACCGATAGCGACGCTGAGCTGCCCGCGCTCCCAAGCCGTCTGAGTGAGACCCCGACGAGGAACTTGTCACTCCGTCTAAGAGCTCTCGCGAATGGACATGCTGCGAGTTAGCCTACGACGGCCGGCTGTAAGTGACTTCTTCCTTTTGGAGAAAGTCTCAATTAGTCGAAGAGGCCGGTTAAAAGGCTAGACTCGGAAGCTCGCAGACTTTTCGAGTGAGGATCGATGCGAGCTGTTAGCCTGAACAGGTAAACTTTATCGCAAATCCTCATGGAAACATCGCACTGCTTCATCATACGCTCGACGGACGACGCTCGACTTTGTCCTATCGCCGCAAAGCTGATCAATAGAATTTTGAAACAGTCCCGGAGCTTGAACCAGAGCTCCCAGTAGTCAGAGATTTTTGGGAATAGTTGGCGGGAGTTGCCCGCGCTCAAGGCTAAATGTTTGCGGACTTTTTGAATTTTAATTGGTTGGCGAGAGGCTCGTGCCTATTATCGAGTCCCTCTGCTCCAGGGCCACTTGGCCCGGGACTCTGGGCGCGGGATGCGTTCGACGCAACAACAGTTGGTGAGCGATGCAGGTGTTCCAGTGAGCCAGTCTCGCCTTTCCACGACATTAGAGCTCCATTAGGAGCACCCGGGAGCGGCTACGACAACTGCAACGTTACTCAGTGCCGCATCAGCTGAGCAGGCGGTCGGCTGGTCGATCGTCTAAGCTTAAAAATAGAGATCAACTCGTCGAGCTTCTCGACAATGAAGAGTGAGTCTCCCCGTCTTCCGCGGGCCGATGTCGTTGAAGCAGACGACAGATGTAATTTCGGGCCGGTAAGAGACAGGAATCCAGGGAAAAGCTCCCCGCACAGATTTTCGGGGAGCTGCAATCCTCTTTTCTCTGCTCGAGGGTCCCCCTTGCTTTCCGGAATCCGCTTTATTCCTCGGCGGTCCGACATTTCCCCGGGTCGTCGATACAATACATGAAATTTGAGTCTCGCTCGACAAATCGACGCTGCCTTCTCTCGAAGTGAACTTTCCATTGGACAGAGATCCGAACGTCAACGAGCGTCAAGCACCGACGCGAGGGTGAGCGTCCGGGACGAGAGCTCTCACCTGGTGGGAACCGCGACGAACTTCGAATCGCTCCGAGCTGGCCTTTATTCTTTGAGGTATATCGTTCGTTATCGTGATCCGAGTTCTAGAATCGCTTTGAACGCTGCCAGTGACAGCTGATTTCCTGGCAAGAACATCAACTCATGTACCATGTATGAATGTCTTTATGTAGAAGTCGATGCGGGCCGCGTGGATGGCGGCGGTGGCGGCAAGGACGACGTCGACGAGGCTCTGCTTGTAGGCCCGCAACAAAAGAGTAGCACAAGACCGGAATGCGGCCCGACGACTGAAACGCATGTGACAATCGTCCAGGGTTTCCGCCTGGGCGAATTCATCGTCCCGAAATAGCTCTCCACCCGGCCAACACATTCACCCATCGAACCCCGCAGCTGCTGTCCCGGCGGGCGTTCGTCTCTTGGGCTGGCTCGCGATGTGTGCACGAGTGAGGGACAAGTCCTTTTCCGGAACAGGATCCGCGCGATTTGCCTGAGCCTGCCGAAGGTGTAATCGATGTGCGTGGTGGCGCTGTCTTATGTACCGAATCCTGTCTCATCTGAATTGTGTGATTATTTGCAGCTGTTTCGGAGCCTACTCAATAAAGAAATTCATTGAAGTAGACGGAGCCGTCAGGGACCTTCATTCCGGGGGCATTTTTCGAGAAGCCCTACAGGCGAAACTTCGCTCCATGGAAAATAATTATTCGTGCAGTACCCGAACTCGACGCGCTAGCCCGTCGAGCATGAAGCTATTTATCGCTCGTCTTAATGTCTTGCAATCAATTCCAGGGCTAATAATGAACTTGGAGGGGGAGACGGTCCCGTGCGAATCCTCGGTCGGATCGAAAACAAGCGGAACGGTCATCTGTCCAGCGAGCTCAGTGCCATGAGGAGTCGAGACATGAGAACTTGAACCGAGTCGCCAGCCGCAAGAGTGAACACTCGACGGGTACTTACGATGGCGGACGCCGGAGTCGACGACGGCACGGACTAAAGGTCACGCGATCTCAAAGCAATCCTCTCGTTCACGGTTCTCAACTTGGCCTGAGGGTCCTCTGCTTGGAAAGACACGAAAACCGAGTTCCGGCAACGCCAGCAAGCGTATTCATAAACGAAAAGAGGAAGCCGCAAACTATGATCGTTCGCAGAGGCCATTATCCCTTGTGATTGCATACTAAAGCAGCTCCTTCTTCCTCTTACTTTCCCTGCTTCATATTTCCGCTCTCGTATGCCCTGGCTCCTGGGCACTTCTTGTTCGATCGATCGACGTCATATTGGCCGTAGACCTCGCCGTCAATAGGTTGGAGACTCGAGCCCATCTCAGAGGTCGCGCAACTCCGTCACGACAACGGAACGACTGATAAATAGCCCAGCGTCGACTGATCAAATGCCAATCATTATTATTATTGCTGGGTGCGCGGATCGAGACGGAGTTCATTTTCCGGATGGGGCTCGGAGCGGATTCCATTCTCCGCGCTACAAGTGACCGTTTCGGTGGAACGGTTTCCGCCTCGGTACGTCGGTCACCCGTGACGCCGATAGTGGCGATATTATCGTGGATGAATGATCCCATAAAGAGGTGTCAATATCCTTGCGGTCCCATGGGGGAAGATTGAAAAATTCCCCCTTATCTATAGGAGCGAGGCAAAAGTTCATTCCATGGCAGGCGACCAAGAGCGTTAGCTGGAGCATCGCCGTGCCCACGACGACAACGGCAATGCAATAGCTGCCTGTGCTCGAAGCGAATTCTCCGGAGATGCGATAAGCTCGCTCCAGGCTTGTTTATGTCCTGCTCTGGTGATTCGGCTGCGAGACTCGCGCGCTCGCTCGCTACGGGGCCCTTGCCTGCCTACACCACACAAATGACCGGGCACACATAGAAAGCGATTTGTTAGGAGCGGTTTCAGATGCAAACTCAGTGTCCGGAGTGAAAACGAAACATCTTATCGAATCGAGTCACGCACCGACAGACCGGCACCCGGGTCGAGGACCCGCTGCTTCGCCGAAGTCCGCGCAGTCCCTGCTCCAACCCAAGTCGGGCTATCGCTCTCACGGAAACGATGTCGTTGAGCAACGAACTCTAGGAGCGAGTTGCTCCGCGTATGTTTTCCAGAGGAGCAGACCACGGTAGATTGGACGAGAGGCGAACGTTCGACAAAGAAGCAAGTCGGAGTCGAGTGCCCAGACGAGATTTAGACCAGAGTTCTGTCTGGAAAGATCCTCAATGGGAGCCATCAAATACTGATTTCCCGCCGAGCTCGGTTGGAGTCGTTCGAGCGCCGCGAAGAGAAACAGCACAGACAGGCTACCACCCTTCATCGCTTTTTTCCTGTCCTTCTCTAGAAGCAATTTCTACGCTCCGGTTCGTCTAATTTATCAGGTGCAC